TTAGCATTGGATTAGTGGATAAACATCAGATTGAGCAGGTAAGTGTTGGATAACATTAAGAAGTGATTTGTGTGTAATATGTATTTGACATGCATTGGAAAATAGCAGAATATGAGCCTAGCGTGAGCTCGAGTTCTACATCGGGTCTGAAATACATGTAAAACAACATAAGATACTGCAGATGATGAGAAAACATGTAATAGTGCTGGCTACAGCATGAGTAACATGTGAAATAAACAACTACATACCTAGTGGGGCTAGTACATCGGATATCATCAGGAAGTGGTTTGTGTGTGATGGGTATTTGATGTGTATCAGAAAACAAATAAATATGAGCCTAGTGCTAGGCCAAGTGCTACACTGTCAAACTAGACTCAAATTCCTCAAACAAAAAAGTGAGGCACTTACCACATTTAAGGCCTATGAAGTGTGGGTCGCACATCAGTCACCAGGGGTTTGTTTATGCAAAGTCCATTCAGATATAGGAAGGGAGTACCTGAGCATAGAGTTTGACAACTATTTGTGTCAGCAAGGTATTGAGTGCCAACTAATGGTGCATGACTCACCACAGCAGAATGATGTTGCAGAACGCCTCAATTGTACTCTGGTTGAGCATGTGAGAGTGATGCTCCTAGGCAAGTAGATGCCCAAATATCTGTGGCCCAAGGCAAGTTGGAGGTGATGTTAGGGTCAACTCACACCCCCACTAATAACTCTAGAACCGGAGTATGGTCTCTTAGGGTTAAGACCGTGTGGATACCCATTACTTTTCAATACATTGTTCATTACATTGCTAAGAAGTCTTATCGCTCCAGTAACCGCCATTCCTCCCATGCATAGCCCTTATCTCTTTATCATATGACATCGCCTCTTTATGGACTTGTACGCTTACCATTCTTGGCCTGGTCTGTGCACTCCATAGGGACTATTTAAGCACAGTAGTTACCATGTTATTTCCCTACTTTAATCTACTGGGTTTTACTTGGAACATCCGCTCTACTGAGGTATCTACCTTAGTAGCCTTGAACCACTATTCTAAGGCAGTCAGTGTCACTGTCCTTAGTCAGAAACCTTGAACCTACATTTGTAGGAAGAACACCGCTTCACTATCAAGAGACGATTCGGTCTTGGTGAAGAAGAACAACCCCAGTCGTAACAGGTGAGGGCAGAGGAGGCTGTGTTTGTGAGTGTGGATGCTAAGAGCAAGGGTTATTGGGTGTATTGGCCAGGGAAGCATCATGTCTCGGTAGAGAGGAATGTCACTTTCCCACTAATGATGAATGATGGCATGCTGGACAAGGGGGAGTCTGCTGCAGTCAATGAACATAATAGCAGCAATAGTAATAATAACTCACCTAATAGCATCCAGCCCATTCCTATCACCTCACAATAGCAACCTCAGCCATCTACCACCCAGCAACCTCAACCAGCTATCACCTAGCAACCTCAACTATCTATAATCCAACAACCTCAGCCATCTACTCTTCCTCCAAGATCAATGAGGGCCAGACCTCCCCCAGGTTACTATGCAGCACTGAACAATGGCCAGAAGGCAGCCATAGTGATGAAAAACCTATTAAAGGCATCAGAAGTGGATCTACTAGACAAAGAAAATCACATTCACCTTGCCTTAGCTGCTGGAGAACCAGAACCCACCCTCCAATAAGCATTGAACAGACCTGATGCAGTTGAGTGGCAAGAAGCGCTATATTATGAAATAAGTCAGCTCAAGGAGCTAGGTACATGGGAAGTCATGGACCCACCTTGAGGTGCCAACATCATACCTTGTCACTATGTCTTGGTGATCAAACAAGGATCTGCAGTGAGAAATTGAAGCTCCAGGCTTGCCTCATTGCAAATGGCTGCAGACAGAAGTTTGGCATCAACTATTTGAGATGTTCACACCTACTGCCAACATGAGCATAATCTGCACAGTCCTAGCAATGGCTGCTCAGCAAGACTGGGAGATACACCAAGTCAACATTAAAAGTACGTACCTTTATACTAGCATCTAGGAAGAGATCTATATGTGGACCCCACCTAGCTACCTGAGGGAGGATTAGCATGGGAATGTGTTAAGGCTAAAAGGAGTTTACCTGGGCTCAAGCAAGCAGGATTCGAGTGAGAAGAGGAGTTAGCAGGTGTGTTCTAAAAGCTAGGTTTCAACTAGTCAAAGGTCAACCAAGTCGGTCTACTTCAAATGCACACCTAGCAAGCACATGTTGTCACAGTGTCTGTTGATGACATGGCTGTAACCACAAACCACATCTCTTATATCTACTGATTCAAGTCTGATCTCTAGCAGTTTTTCGAGATCTCAGACCTAGGCAAGCTAAAATCGCTGTTAAGGTTAAAGGTATACATATGATAGACTTGTACATACCTTGACTCTGTTGCAGAAGGCTTACATAGCCACCTATCATTGAGCATTTCCACCTCAATAAAACCAAGGCCATGCAGACTCCCATAAAACCAGGTATTACCCTGTCTACTGATCAGTCCCCCAGCACCCATACCGAGCTAGAGGCAATGAAGGACGTACCATACTAACAGGCAGTTGGGTCCCTGATGTATGCAGCCATGAGCATGCTACCAGACATTGCATTCATGGTCGCAACTTTCTTACAGTTTATGTGAAGCCCTGGCAGAGTGCACTGAAAAGCTGCAAAATGTGCCCTACATTATCTGAAGGCCATGGACAATATGGAGCTCACCTTAGGGTCCAACGGACACCGGGTTAGAAGCTTTTGTTGATGCAGATTGGGTGTCCCAACCTCACAGACACTCCATGTCAGTGTATATTATTATGCTGAATGGCAGTCCTATAGCCTGGAGTGCGCAGAAGCAGCCATTAATTACATTGTCCACAGCTGAAGCAGAGTATATAACACTTACCAGTATGGTACACAAACTCCTTTTCCTGCAGCTCCTCATCAGTGAGCTCTATGAGGCCCCTGTTTTCCCCATCCCCATCCTCTACAATAATTAAGCTGCAATAATGTTAGTGTTCACTGGGAAGTTCTAGTCATGAATTAAACATATTAACTTATGGTATCACTTTATATGCACACATATGAAGAATAGCATCTTCAAGCTACTCTACTGTCCCACCAATAACAACGTTGTGAATGCATTCACTAAGGTACTGCCGTACCTCAGACTCCAATGCCTATAGGCCTTGATAGGTTTGAATAGCACTTGAGGGGGGGTGTTGGAATATGTATGACAGAGCTGAAATGCAGAGGGACAAGACAGCCGAAGAACAGGCACAGGGGGAGATATAGAAGGTGAGCACATTCAAAATGGGCATGACAAGCAATATGTTGACATTGGCTCGCACCCTCCAATGTTTCAGTCTATTTTATCCTATGTTATAATACCTGATGGATACACCTTATAAGCCAACCTCCCAATATCATAACATCTCAGTTTCAACTCTGAGTACTGAGATGTGAGTTAGTATTTTGTGCTATTAACTATTAGTCTAACATCAATTAGATTCGCACCTTGTCTAGGTATAGAATTCGTTAGTAGAGTTTTAACTCCAAATACTGAGATATTTGCACCTTGTCTAGCTCCTACATGACCATCTCACTATACATTACTTTACCAGCTCCTCTCAGTAACTAGCATTAATTGACTATTATATATATTCATGTACATGAGTCAGTTATTCATATCATGGGCATACAGAGGATATTGCATGTGATATATGCAACTCTCAATATTCCTATTTACAAAACATCAAGAAACATTCAATTATATTACTGATGCTTACTATGCAACAAGATAGATAGATAAGACAATACTATATACATTTCTTACTAATTATGTGTGTCAAGCCCATCTAGGATCAAACTATATTAGCACCATATAATGTGTAGTATATAAAAAACCAACTTACTTTGTGGGCCTGCCAATGTCATTGTCATATTCTCTTGCATTGAAAGGTTTATGCACTAGGTAATGCTATCTGAGAATAGTTGAAATTGATTAGCTGAGGAAGTAGGTGTATTTAGTTGTTATAGTCACCTTCCATAATAAGGCTAAGTTCCAGCTTGGACCAGCAAAGTTGATGCTTCTTTGTTTTGAGTCTCAGTATCCCTAACATCTAGGAGGGGAGTTGTAAGAGAAATAATAAGTGCCAGTATCATTAAAAGCATCAGTAGTAGAAGTGTTAATAGAGGGTTGGCTAAGATTAAGAGAGGAAGTCAGGGAGAGCATCCAAAATGCTAATGTTAAAATTTGAGTTATTAATAAAAGTAGTAAATGTATCATGGTCAGACACAGAGGTGGGGAGTTGAAGACCAAGTGATACATCACCTGAGAGTTATGCATAGGGAAGTAATACAGTTGATGCTATAGTGATACCAAAGTCGTTTTCAATAAATGACTCATTGTCATATCCCGTATTCCGGACCTACATTCAACGATGTTCCCATGCCTCATCCGGACCTTCGGACCCCCTGTCCATGTCCTTTATCTGTCCAGATCCTTGTACCTTTGCATATCCACACATTCAGATCCGATATTTGGACACCCAATCTCATATCCACTCTTCAGGATCTCCGGATCCGACCTATGCTTCATATCCGAAGCCAAACCTTAAATCAGCACTCATCCCCTTATGGTAATCACCTGTTTCCGGACATCCGGTTATCCCTATAACCGACTGTGCTTTATTTTCCATACCTGATTCATTTCTGTCTTCATTTTATTAAGTTCTGATACACTAGTGTTAGGCATTCCACATGCTTTGTCCATAGCCTCACATAGCCTTGCACTGCGCTGACTGATTCTCTGTTATGTCCTCATAGTATATAAACCCTGTAGAAACTCCTGTATTTCCTTAGTCTGAATATTACACATATTAGACCTCGCACTAGATCTTGCACTAAGTCCTCATACTAGTTCTAGTCCTCCAACTTAGTCAATACCCATCTCAGGCCTAGGGAGGAATTCCCTAGGCCGGAGCTCCGCTCCTCCGATCCTACACTCCTTCAAGTTTCCAGATGTTCCTCCGGAACTTTCCCGTGGTCCTCCAGACCTATTCTGCTTCGGACTTTGTCCCTGCAGCCTTTCCTCTGTTTGTTTCTACTTGGGACTTGTCCTGAGTAGCCATTACACATATCTGTATCAGGACGAAAGCTCATTGTAATTTCTGGAAGTTTCTCGCACTCATCCAGATCCAGACAGTCCTTCTGGACTTTCCCGTGCTCCTTCGGAAGTCCTATGGACTTCCTCCAGATGTCACAAAAAAAGTTTTTAAAAAAAGTAAATAAGAATAATAAATATAAAAGTATTGATGAAATGCAATTAAGGGCACATACTTGGGTAAGGGGTGCAGCGCACAAGCTGAAGCCAAGCCCTTCGGAATCCCTTTGTGCACGGTGTAGGGATTCATTTCTGGCTGGGCTTGCAGAGACTGTTTTTACCTTAGTGTTATGTTTGCACTTTTGTAGCTTACATAATCAAGTTACCTTTTCACCAGTTACCAGTATGAGTCTGAGTACTCAGCAAGTTTCTATCATATTTCCTCTTCTCTGAGCCTTGAGCCTGGTCCAGAAACCCTTTAGGGTCGCATAGCAGCTAGGTTCTGCAAGACCCAACATTGTTCAGACTCACCATCTGAATTGTTGTACCTTCAACGGTCTTAACACTCATACTGAAAAGTCATCTAGTACATACCAGCAGTGTTGATTCAATGAGTGCTAAGTAACAGATATCCTTCAAGTTCCACTTCCATATGATGCCTACTTTGCTTATTGCTACTCATCTCAGTTATCATTATTATTTGATAATAAATCTTCTTCAGCATCTAAGCTTTGGGCACTGTCAACTTAAATGCTAGTTAAAAGGTGAGTGTATGCATTTGAACCAACACTTGTATTAACATACCAAGAGTGTCCCCTTACTTGAGATGGTGTCTACAGACAAGGAATTATTATTGATTTTTTGAAGCATATCAAAAAGCATTTGATGAGGTGATTGCAATTGAAGGTAATGTAAAATCAATGGTAACTCAACTTCATCAGGAAACCTGGATTTTTCCCGATTTAGCTGATATACCTGCATGACCTGACTGGTCTGATTTCAGACCTATCATAATCCCAGATTGTCAAAATCACAGTCAGACAGTGATGTCAGACACAACATACTCTCAGTTCATCAGGATATCATGATGCTCAGGTATTTCAGACACAGCAGGATATCATTGTTGCAGGATGTCTTGCTTTTCAAACATAGCAGGCTATATAGTACATCAGTCTTTCAGAACTACATGGCCCTCAAGTATATCTACCCATGCAGCACTACAGTTCTGCCAGGACTTCATAATCATCAGCTTCATCAGACAAATCATAAACACAGATATGCAGCCTAATTAGTCAGTCAGACATATCAGTGAGATCAAACATCCAGATACCCAACCTATCTGATCATGCAGACACTAGAGCTGTGTCAAGTAATGTAGTAGGTCAGATAATCTAAGTATTCAACTTTTGCAAAACTGCAGAATTTCTATTCAAAACTTACCAATGTTTCATTTTCATTTTGCTTATATCTTGCTCAAATGACTACCAATTGGCAATGTAAGACTAGTCATAGACTCATTTCAACTAGGACTACAACTTTCATTAAGACACATAAGGATTTTACTGACTTTTATTTTGCATTTTGACAAATTTGCCGATGTTTCATTTTTATTTTGCTTATATCTTGTTCAAATGACTACCAATTGACAAGGTGAGACTAGCCATAAGTGGTGTTCAAAGTAATTTCCTGAAAACTCGGTAAGCTCGGTAAGCTCCGTGAAACGTCGGCTAAAGTATCTTGAGTTTCGCCGAAGTTCAGGGTTAGTCAAGTACGGCGAACATCGGCATGTCGTCGGAGTGTTAAATGCAATGCCTGCCCTACAACCACGACTTCGTCGGTCTGCACGCCTGCAGACCATCTCTCAAAACATCAACATACCGTGTCGCAAGGACAACAGGAAACGAATGGACCCACCAACTCGTGGAAGGGGGAGATGGGGAGGGGGAGGGGGAGGGGGAGGGGGAGGGGGTAATATACAAGACTCGTCACCAGCCACAATTTCGTGGCATAACGTCCCTATGCGCACCAACAAGCTCGTCGATTTCCTCGTCGAGCATCCGCCAGACTGTGCCATATTATTTGTGACTGAGAGTAAGAAGTCCAGCAACTATCACGCTGACTTTGGCCGTGCATCGGGCAAGGACAAAGGGGAGATCTACAGTGTGATTGCAAAGGTAATCTTTCACGACGATGCTACGTATGGGAGTTGGTATGCCACCAACCCCATCAAGTTCCATGACTCTGTGGCCAATCGCATCGCATCGTAAGTACTTCTCCATCTATTGCAACTGTGCTAACTGGATGATCTGAAGTCTACGGACTAAATTCCGCAATATTTGTGCTGAATTCGAGTCTACAGGTGCGGGCATCGTGCCAATTGACTCGGAGACGTCTGACAACTTACATCGTGAGTATCCCACTCATGTCTTATCGACACCACTAACAAAATTTGTAGGTAAAATCAAGAAAGAATTTCCATGGTACAATGACCTCTACCGGATATGGGGATCCAACCCCTCGTTTTCTGCCAAAACGAGCTCATCGAAACCAGGTGCTGACCATGCTGGTGACCTATTCGCACTAACTCGTCCTGCGGGAGGTTCACAGAACCCTCCTTCAGGCACCCATCTGCAACTCAACATAATTATCCCTAACCCTGCCATAGGCAGTGCTGGTTCCCCGCAGCTCAATTACATGGTTCGTCCCTCAGGTCCTTCTACCTCATGCGCAGGTGACAACACTCACGTCCAACAAACGGACTATGCCCGCCCTCCTCCAAGTGTTGGAGGCAGCTCAGCTGACTCCCCTGTGCAAACGCCTTATGTGCCTCTTCCCCGAAGTGGTCCTGCTACCCCCCTGGAACCAAACCACTCCCCTCAATATGCTCAGGGAGCCAGCGGTGCTGGCTCCTCCCCACAACAGGGCTTTTCTCAAGCTCCCGCAAGCAACTGTGCAGGCAGCACGACAAGCTCCCCCCTCCACTTCAGCCATACGCCCCTTCCTCCCAGTAGCCGTTCATTCGGCCGTGAAGATTATTCTCCGGCCCCCCTGGGATCTGATTATGACCCACCTTTCGATGATGGCCCCCTTGCTCATGGTATGGGGGACCTTTGTATGGACGACACGGACGAAGTTCGTCATGATGAGGAGAATGTATATAATTTGGACAGCCCGCCCAGATCAAAAAAGGCATGCGGAAAGAAGCAGCAGCTACCTTCCTCTCCCACTCCGTCGCCTCCCAAGGCACCCCCTCCCCGCACCTCCAACCACGACAGTTGCAGCTCATTCAAGTCCCACATCAATCACGTCATCATGCGCAACAGCGCTTCTTCCCCCACCTCTTCATCGAAGGCTTCGTTGCAATGGTCCAATCCATCCTCCCCTCAGCAGGCATCTCCGACGTCCCAAATGTTGCTCTCCGAGAGACCGAGCAGCAGGGAGTCGGTGAAGAAGCATCTCCGAACGGAGGTTCAGCAACAAGTTGAGATGTTGAATGACGACTTAGAGAGTGTGCACTCCGAGAAGCTCACCTTATACCAGCTCAAGAATGAGCGCCTGATGGTCAAGCTCAACGCCAATCGCCAAGACAAGGAGCACCATTTCATATGTGAGGAGTGCGCCCATGAGCGCGCAGACGCCGCGCTCGTCCATCAATGGCTGCAGGAGAGCAAGGACCAGGAGATTCGTTTGCGGGAAGCGGATGCGAAGGCTCTCGAGTTAGAGAGGCAGGTGATGCTCTTGCGCATTGAATATGCCAAGATCAACAAGCCATGATGTTCCTGCGCGCACTTCGTCATATGTTTTTTTTTTCGCCGTTTCTTTTTGCTACATGTTGTCATTTGTTCACCGCTATTTGATAATCCTACAACCTACTTACTAGCATGTATGTAGTACATTTTTATGTCAAAGCTATACCTGTTTCAACTTATCCTTGCCTATGCTGAGCATCTGAGTGAGGACTGTCAAACAATTGATCCATCAACCTGGCCCTGTGTGCTTGACCAGGAGTGCCTGCATATGAGCTATCACCCACCACTTCATTATCATCTGGTCCTTCATATTCTGGATGCAGAGTATGTTTCCCTTCTTGAATGGCCCATCTGGTTGTAGGTTTGTTGCGTTTCTCTTCAAATTTGATGATCATGTTATGAAGGATAAGGCAACACCTAACCCAATGCAGAGTAATCTGGAGGTCTTTCTGGGTCTGCATAGGGTGACGAAGCTCCTTAAGAGACTGAAAACGCCCCTTCAAAGCAGCGAATGTGTGCTCAACACGGACACGGACCTAGATGAAAATCAGTAAAAATTCCAAAAAATCAGCAGAAAAATTAGAAGATACCCTAGATAGGTGAATATTGAAGGTCTTCTGGTCCCTTGTCAACCTGCCATTCCGAGGCTTCTTGAAAGGTGGAATACACCACTTCTCAAGTGGATATGCACTATCAGCCCAAATCCAATGGTCATCAGGAAGAAGTGTGTCATGTTCCTGGTAAACACGAGTAGATTATGGGGCATAATGATTGCCTGAATTTTTCATTAGTTTCTAACCGTTAGAATAAGAGAGAGAAAATACCTGACAGTTGAGGGAATAGTTAGACTTCCTGTCATAAAATGCCTCACCATAAAGACCAGGTTTTTCATACAAATTAATAGTGGAGCCATCAATTGCAAGGATACCATTTCTCCACTCTGGACAAGACTTGGCCTCAACATATTGCCGAGCACGCTCAGCATCCTCAGAGTCAGGAGCAGGGAAATGGATGAATGTGTCATGCTGATCAAGGAGGGCAATCATCACACGGTTACTGCAATTGATTACCGATCCAACACTGACACCAGCCCATTGGCCCACATCATCTGGTGAGATAGTGTTGCTGTAATGGCCAGCACGGTTGAGAAATATAGCCAGTTGAATGGCAATGGGAAGTTGAGGGTTGTTTGACCGGTTAGTGAAAATAGGGTGATCAGAAATTTGATCGAGGATATCATCGAAGATGTCAGGATTAACGCGTAATTTCTTGCGGAAGAGGTGGTGCCGAGAGTGCCCAAAGTCATGAAGGAGCTGAATCTGGGGGGCTCGCATAGGAGGTGCATCCGGTTTATGAAGAACATGGGCCCTAGTGACCTCATCGCGAAGAGCTGTGATGGTATCATGAAGGTGGTTGTAATGGGTAGTGAAGCCGTCAGATCCATCACTGGAAGAAGAATCTGAAAGGTCAGATAATTGTGGGGTAAGAGGAGATGGAGGAGTGACCATCAGATCAAGGCCAAGATCAGAATCAGAATCAAAATCAGAATCAGAGTCAGAGGAGTCGGAATCATAGAGATCATTAAGGGTAATGCGAGTACGCTCTAGCCTGGCCTTGGCTAAGGCTAGTTCAGCCTCATCCAGTTGCTCAAGCAGCTGATTGCGCATAGAGAGACGAGGCATCTGGGGATCAGGAGAGAGATAAGCTTATCACCTGCATCAATAGGGGACACTGTTGCTGGAAATGGCAACATTTTCAAGCGGAGATTCAATTTTAGTTGGCGGCTCTTCCGCTCAATGACGAGCACAGCGACAACGCTCTACACGCCTGACATCCACTGCCTGCACCTTCGTCTCGCACCCTTGCAGCGCACCCTCATCACACACCATTGTTTGCGCCCCACACCTTCATCCTGCACCCCTTGTAAGAAAAACTCCACTTCCCTCCCATCTTTAGTACTTCGTTCAGCCCAACTGCTCTACTCTACTCTACCCCCACCTTATCTAACCCCATGAGCTACTGGGAAGGCGTTAGCAGGGGCTGCGCAACTGGTTTTAGCATTTACCGTCCCACTATCAAACTTCCCCTAGATGAACTTTTAGGTGAGGAGTACGACGGCAAAGACGACCAAATGGCTGACGCCCCCATCGAGCAACTAGATGATATGAAGGAGGATGGCAACGGCAACAGTAATAATGTCCCCACCCAACCTGAGGGCGAGTCCCTCCTTGGCGGGTCTGCTTCTGCTGAACAAGATGTTCTCATGAGCGATTCTCATCAGCAGCAGCAACCACAGCCATCTACTCCTGATCTGTTCCCAGTCCCGCAAGTTCCTTCTCACTCTCATACTCACGCTCAATTGCACCTGTGTACTCGTGGCAAGGACCATTCCAGCAAGATGCCCACAAACCATCCTGTACTAACTGTACAAACGTCTGCCACTAAGAAGACTGGTAAAGCTGGACGGCGTGCTTCTGGGATTTTATTCACTTCTAATTTTCGCATTTTTGACAAATTTGCCGATGTTTTGTTTTTATTTTGCTTATATCTTGCTCAAACAACTACCAATTGACAAGCCAAGACTAGCCATAGACTAGGACTACAACTTTCATTAAGACATGGAACGAAAATAACAAAGTTGTGAAATATTTCACAAGTCCAGTAAATATGGTATATATATAATTTATAACTTAGAAATATATGTGGTATCATAGCCTAGTGGTTATGCTGCACTCGAAGTGTGCATGTTGTCATGTGACCTGATGTGCACATGGATGGTTGAGAGTTCAAACCTGGCTAGGTGCAATTATTTTTTTTATTTTTTATTTTCATGTGAGCCATGATGAGCTGAGATTTCTGACCATCTGTCAATCTGATCCACTGAGGTGTCTGATCAGCATGATAGTTTAGATGAAATGCATGTCTGAACAATTTGATGTTCTGACTGTCTGATGGAACTGATTGGTCTGATTTCAGATAACACATGTATGAAATCAGACAAAATCTGATGAGCTGATTTGTTTGATTTGCCTGGTGGGCCTGCTATCAGACAACTCAGCCAAATCATGGAAAATCCAGGGTTCCTGATGTTGCAGAGGCACAACAGTGAGATTATGGATGGTATTCAAGTAGTCTTCCAGTAGTATACATACCAGTCTACAATTAGAACCCAAGTTCACCTTTAATAAAGTACTATCTTGAATATTTCCTTTTTTAGATGTGACACAATTTCAATTTTGGGAGGGGGAGGGGGAGCACAAATAATATTTGTGCAGATTCAGCAGCATATAGTTCTGGTGTTGTGCATCACTGCAATTTAGCATGATTGGCCTTTGATCATAGGCTGGGTGCTGATTGAAATAAACCCTAACCACGATGTAAATCCTGTTATGGGGCGTGACATCCGATATCCGATACTTGACCTTGAACGCGTCACCTACAAACGACCGCGTAAAGCATCAATATCACTTCGCTTCGTCCACCCCCATCATGGTATGTGCATGGTCTATACTCTTTGTGATATTATCATTAAAATATTTCCTAGTTTCGAAACACATACGACTCTGATAACACCGTATTCTCACCACAAGGTCGTCTTCACCAAGTCGAGTATGCACTCGAAGCCGTGAAACAGGGATCGGCGGCAGTGGGCCTGCGATCGAAGACCCATGCAATCCTTCTTGCTCTCAAGGTCAGTGGGTGCTAATTACTACAGGACAGCTCTTCACAAGGAGTCCATACAGCGTTCAACAGGAGAACTCGCTTCATACCAGCAAAAGATGTTCCGTATAGACGATCACGTCGGCATTGCCATTGCTGGTCTTACTTCAGACGCACGAGTACTCAGGTGTTTATTGAGTTTTACAGTGCACAACATGCATTCTGACTTGACTGCAGCAACTTTATGCGACAGCAAGCAATGGGAGAACGTATGATGTTCAACAGACCTATGCCAGTGAATCGCCTTGTCTCTTCCATCGCTGATAGTATGTGCTTGCGTATCTCTTGCATGGCTGATGCTCATCTCGTTGATTATAGAGGCGCAAGTGAACACGCAGGAGTATGGTCGCAGACCATACGGAGTTGGTTTCCTCGTCATTGGTCAAGATCAATCCGGACCCCATCTTTTTGAGTTCTCGCCATCAGGAAACTCGTATGAGTATTATGCCATGTCGATCGGTGCTCGCAGTCAAAGTGCAAAAACCTATTTGGAGAAACACTATGAAAGTTTCGCAGATTGTATGTGCCGTATCAATCTTACACCGTGTTCATGCCATTGAAGTTGTTTCAGGCAACCTCGAGGACCTCATTCGGCATGGACTTCATGCCCTCCGCGAGACCCTCCAACAGGACAAGGAGCTTAACGTGAATAACACGTCGGTAGGCATCATCGGACCCATGGGTCAACATGAAAAGCCCATTTCGCCGCCAGGCAGCTTCCGGATCTTAGAGGGCGATAACGTAGAAGTATACCTTCAGAGTATGGAGAAGAAGGAGGAAGCACCCGCACCTGCATCCGTACCTGATGCAGCACCAGCGCCTACTGCTGATGAGGATGTACAAATGTCAGGATAAATCAAGATATAATAACAGCCGCCCTCTTATTTGATCAATCACAAAAACTGAGGTTCGAAAGACCCATGGTTCAGATGCATAACGTGAAATAATGATAAGGGAGTGGTGATGTGTAGCTCTAGAATGTCGGGTCATGTGTGGGTAATGTGTCTTACAGGCCAGAGCCCTTTGTCTGCATCCCAACTTTCCTCCATGCTTGTGCAGCTAAGCCTGGCCTACGCAACGATACTAGTAAGTGCACCATCGTGCTCAGAAGAGCGATGCTTCCCGCCTGATGAGCAGCTGCAATGGGTACAGGGACAAGGTATAATAATGTTGCAAGACCCAGAAGAACCTGCACATTTGCCATGGCAAAAGCTGCCGTGACAGATTTGCTTGCGAATGGTGGTAATAGCGCACGGATGGCGGGTCGCCGACTGTAAGCGAAGAGCAGACAAGTACTGAGATACGTAGTCATCGCCTATAATCGAACGAACACTTAGAAGAATACAATAAAGGAAAGAACGAAACGTACAAGAACTCGATGATCGAACTGAACGGTAATGGGATTCTCAAAGATATTTCTCCACCAGATGTCAGATCCATCGGCATTCTTTGCATAGGCGAACGAGAATAATTCATCCATGGGAGGTGCAAGTCGACCCCCCATGAGCGGAAATTCGTTGTACAGCAAACCGGCATCCAGCCCAGCAACGAACGCGCCTGCACATAGACTGTAATTACGTCGAATTGAAGGCCGAAATGAACGAACCTGATAATGCAGTCAAGAAGACTAGTGCACTCAGTCCTTTAGACAATCGATGAAACCTCTTGACAACGGGATTTGAAAGCACGTTCTGCCAATTCATAGTGCTGGATCCGCTCCACGAACCACCTCTGGCGTATCGCCAATCTTTAATCGCCGCTAACCCAGTTCCGAGCATCCCTGCGTACAGCACCACGGCCGTTCCGAGATGAGCTGCCAGGCGATACTGAGAGACGCGGGGTACTGCGCCCGGCGTATCCATGATGGAGTCTTCCAAACCTGATTTCACCATGTACCATCCAAGGAAACCCTGGAAACCGATGAGTAGTGCCATGCCCGTCAGTTGGATCGGCATCGAGGTAGTGAGCTTCTTCCGCAGACCAAAATAAGCCAGGGGGACCACAAATGTGATGCCGATAAGGCGCCCAAGTACGCGGTGACTCCATTCCATGTAAAAAATGTTCTTGAATTCATCGAGGGTAATGGAGTGGTTGAGACTGTGGTGCGTTCACGAGATGATCCAAGGAGCAGACATAAAAGGGATGCTCACAGTTTAAATTCAGGTGTAGCCTTGTACTTCTCGAATTCAACACTCCAGTCCTCCGCATTCATAGGTGGAATGATGCCCGTGATGGGTTTCCATTCTGTGATGCTCAGCCCTGATTCTGTGAGACGCGTTACTCCACCCACTACGATCACCGCAAAAACCATTGCCGATGAGAATAAGAGCCAGCGCCCGACTGCAGGTGGAGCAAGCACAGGTAATTGTGATGCCTGTGCAGCGCCATGAAAGGCATTCGCAGAGAAGAATTGAGGTTTAAGGGAATGAGGAACAGTTGGCTTGCGCTGCGCGACGACTGAATAACACCTCCGGTAGAGCCATGAGTTACAGAGAGGTGAACTTGTGACTTCAGAAGCAAGGCATGACTTGGGCACTGTTCTTCTGGAAAAGTTGACTGGAGCAGTTGAAAATGTACGCGAAGCTCGTAAGCCAAGATGGGCTCTTGGACGCAGCAAAGCGTTTACCAAGCTCAGCTGCATAGGAGACCTCAAGCTTCAAGCCCAGTACCTGAACTGGTTAATGCGAATGTTTAATGTATGTATGCAGTACTGACCTACTTGACAAACTCTGAGAAATGAATACGTCGAAAATGCAGATTGAATTTATGCACAGCCACAACATGCTCGCCGTTCTCCCGTCCACACCACCACCATGTTAACCTTAAGGAGAGGACTGGCAGCATCACGAGCCTTCCGGAGCTTTTCAACTAAGCCCCATCTGATTCCGCCAGCCAACCTTACTAAGGGAGAGAAGCTAATATATGACAAATTGACCGACAAGTTTTTGCCAAGTGAGCTCGACGTGCAGGACATCTCAGGTGCGACTTTTTTGCCATTCACATAGCTCACAATTAGATTGATTGATCTTACTGATACTATTAGGAGGCTGTGGTGATTTCTATGCCATCAAAATAGCAAGTGAAGCTTTTAAAGGCCTTTCAACCTTGAACCAGCATAGACTTGTAACACGAGTACTGAAACAAGAAATTGAAGGAATTCATGGGTTACAGGTCAGTCAGGCGTCGTCGTCATTACCAGAGGTTTGCTGACACACGATCTGATCCCCTAGGTCAAGACCATCTCACCCTCATCAGAATCATAACTTGGGCGGATAGTGCTTCTTCGGTCACCAATTGCATACCCGTTTGTGTGGTACATACGCATACAAGGTGTTGACGGCATTTTATTTCATTTTAGCCATAGAAAAATCTCGTCACCGAGAATGATTGCCTTTCAAGTCACACATGCTACACTGCTACATCAGAGCGTTCATTGCACCGCATCTCTCAAGAAGCAACGGGGTATTGAGATTACTCCAGTCTAGAACGTGGTGAAGCGATCACTTGACGAACCTCCTTATGGCCGCTTTGTTAGAGTTAGAAGCGAGATGGCTTCGCGATTGTAGATTTCGCGATTTGGGTCGTCCTCCACCTTGTGAACACTTGTTATCAACCTGTTGTCAGATTCGAGAAGCCAAAGAAGACTCGTACCTCTTCCCAACTGAATTTCTTCTTCAACATTGTGAAGAACCGCTTATCCGCCTGGGCAGTGCTAGTACGGACATTTCATCAAATTACAGATCTGACGCTCACCTTACGTCTCTTTTTGTAACAAAATAAAATTTCTGTACTGCCATTAACAGCCATCTCTGATAAGGTCTGGACCAGAAGAGGGAAAGCAGGCTCAAAGTAGACACAATCTGCTGCAAGGATCAGTTCAGGAAGAGGAATGTCCGAGGGCGGTGTCTCTCCCCTGTACGGAGTCGATTATGCACAGCCTTTTACACAAGTCAAGATTATCTCACCAATTGAGTTCGCGAACGGAGACACAGGACTGCAAATTGTTCAATGTCACATTTTGTTGCATGATACCCAACAACGGGCTGGAAGAATTATTGCTTCACTGAGACAGCTGAAATAAACAATAAGGGACGAACGCTTGATCAGTGATCCAAACTGTACCACCGAGTGCGCCTGCTACCAGACCAACTAGTCCCGTTCCACTGCCAACTTCTACAATCTTCTTGCCTTGAAGATACTCGATGCCTCGAAATGCGATGTAATTTGATAAGACCTGCCGCATTGCATCAAATGTCTCGCTCTAGCATTAATAAAAAAGAACCCACCTCACCAGCCGGCCAAGCAATGCCACCACAACCATGAGACGCATCAACCTTGAGTGATATCGACACCAGCGGAGAGTCCACAGGAAATGACAATCTGATCGTCTCACCGAGGATAGATCGTGGTTGTGAAGGTACGACAACAGTATCTTCGTCATCTCGAGCGAAGTCGCTGGCGTCGGTCCTGAAATGTCGCAAGGGATCTGATATGTCGAGGGCTTCGTCTAGGGCAATCTCGTTTAAACTCGTTACTGAATGGGGTGGACTCTCGAATGGCAGCGATGTGGGTTGGGTTGTAGCCATCGTAACTATCCGAGATGCATACGTCAAGTTAGATATTCGGCTACGATTTGAACCTTGAGCTTGACCCTGACGAACGTTATGATATCTTACAGAAACAGTCACGGTCAGGATCGTCAGGTGTTATCAAGTGTCAAGTGACACGTAGAATGATATGAGTCAAGTTGTCGGTCCTGATTTGGTCCTGATTTAGGTTCCCGCGGTCCCTGCTGTTTCAAGTTTGGAACGTCGTGTGACCGCTGGCACCAACTTGAAGACTATCCGGTGAACATGGATCGCTATTAGTACGGGCCAGCAGCTAATTATGAACCTTTTCCTCGAACTTCTTCCTGCAACGTTCATCAGCTCGCTGTCTACTTTGATGACCGGACTCACGGGAACAAGTAATCTACGCACGCATCATCCAGGAACCAACGTGATTGGCATCACAGCACGAAGCCATGCAATTATAAGTCACTGATCACAAGTCGGTGTTACGCCAGTGCCGCAACTACTAGACAATTTGGGAGTCGCTTCGGCAAGATGCGTTTCCTCAGTGGCTTGGCCGAACAATTATTGATACCTCTATTGATAGCGTTCCGATCCTCTTCATTCCCTGCTTTCATGACATTCGCAAAGATGCAGTCACCTCATGCAGATAATCTCGCACCTCTCCCTGTATTTTCTCGGCGGAAGACACCTAGGTTACGGGGACCACGCCCATGCAGCTGGCTTCAAACGGGGATAACAACAAAAGAGGAGATTGAAGGGGACTGGTCATGGACACATCGGCAGGCCGACCTGTCCAGAGTATCAACAATATGCTCCCGCACCTCTAGCGACTCTACTTCATCCAATCAGTCCAGTATCATTTCCTCATCCTCGTCCAGCGCATCGTCATATAATGATGATACACCAATTTCGTCATGTGACATATCGTCGCGCAGACATAAACGTCGCTCTCAACGGCAGAGACCATCTGGTCCGCGCCCTCCCTCCCGTCCACATTCCCCCAGTTCTCCCATGCGACCCCTACTTTCTATCAATACGTCATTATCACCCCCCGTTCCCCTTGAGGACCCTGTCCTTCCGCTGCCCCTGGCAGAGTTCCCACATATAGCACCGACTGAACCTACGACGCCCGTACCTCTGTTACCCCCAGCGATTACGTTTTCACCTTCAGATTTACTTGACTGGGACGCAATATTTGAGGTATTGGCTTTGGAAAGCATACCATAGTTTGAGCTTGGAGGTACAGTTCATTACCAGCATTGTAACGACAAGCAAAGAGGCTGACTGCTTCGTTGGATAGCATTGTAGACCACGGATTCTCGGACCCATGTAGCATACTCACACTTTTATTGACATACGGACACTCCATTTTACAATCTCATGAATTAGTAGTTTTTCTTGCAATCTAATAGGTAGCTCGTGGTGCTTTTTCTTTTGCATGATCTTTCTTCCACGTTCCTTCGACGAGAACGTGGGCGTTGACCAAAATTTGTACATTATAGCATGGACTCGGATGTGTAAATCAAAAGGAACGACTACGATCGTCTTTCTATTGGCGTGCCTAGCGGGAGACTAAATAACTTGCGGAAGACCATGACGCTTTTAATAACGACTCTGGTCCTGAACTAACTATAGTACCAACAGTAATAGCTACCAGCAGCTCATGGCTTCGACACTAGATTGAATATATTACAACACAAAATTGAGCTTAAGCTTGAATTAACCGAGTCAACCGAGTCAGGGAAAACACGAGGCGCGGCAGCCAGTGGTGCTGCGCCCAGCCCCCCATACTATAAGTCAGACGTGAATGCGTCACTGATGTCTCCTTCGGTGGCATCCTGTGGTGTCGCCACTCGATTGGGTATATAACTCACCGTAGCCAGTTGAAAGCGAGTATGGTAGAATGCATGACAAACGCTGGGCGCAGCGTCATTGCGCCCCGTATTTGTCTTGGGCCCTGTTGCGAGTCAGGTACAAATCCCTGGCCAACGGAAGTGCAGGTTTGTCTGCCATTCATGAATTAATATGGGACTATACAACAATATCGATCATATATGAGTGTGAGCCCTGAGGGTGAGGACACCATGAGGGTGTGAAAAACAAATCACGGTGGACCGTCGGGAATATCTGAGAGGTAAGTGGCTGCGCTGTACGGAAGAGACAACGGGATTCAAAATTTAAATAGATATGCGAGGCAGGAGACGTGCGAGAGGATATGAGGCATAACCACGGTGCAGTCAGCGGGAGACGTGCGGGTCGGCGGTAAGTGACATTTATGGTGTGAGAAAGTGGCGGCGCCACTGGTGAGCGCTGGTCTAAACGCACGTGACTTAGTCATTTTGACAATAGCCTGAACGTAGATGCGGCCAAATGAAAATTCATTCACCCTATAATATATATGGCTCGGGATTCGAGTCGGGAATACGTCAGATTATTCTAGGCAACGAAATTGTAATTGATAGATGGATAAGGGAAAGTCGTGAGGGAAAGTCCCCAGACTCCAATCAATTTCAGGAAAATGATGAGTAGTCTGTGTACACGGGAGACTGAATTACAAATTAATACCAGGCCACAGGATGATCGATGAACGTTAACAACGGCCTCATGCAAGGATGTTATTGGCACCTGCTCATAGACATCAGTATGTACATACCAAGTATACAGAGCAGACATTGAAATTAGACTGTAGCAGGTCCCCAGGTAGAAGCTCTTGTGCGCAGCTTACTAGCAGACTTTAGAATCATAGTAACTGCGCACTGGCACAAAGTATCATCGTGGGAATGGCTCACCCGCCGAAGTGCTAGTGCGTATACTGGCAAATCTCCAGGCCTCGGGAATCGGCTACAATCTCTATTTCGAGAGACCACTGGATTTATTGCATGCAATCTTTAGCACGGTCCAGAGTGGAGTTTCACTGCCTTGCATCTGAGGCTATTACATATATATAGCCTTGATGATATCAGCCCATACTATTGACGCCACAGAGACTGCTTACTGGAAATGCGTCAGCCACTGGCTGGGTTACTCTTGATGCTGCGGTAGATGGGACACTACGGCAACTCATTGAATACTTACATATAGATCTCCTCTGACAGTTATCTGTAAAACAACGACACGATTGTCACGTTAAGCGTTAACAGTATGTGAGCAGTTCTCATGTGCGAAAAACGAGTGGTGACAGAGCAACTGCGACCAGGAGTCGGTTGGAGGTATGATAAAGAGGGAACCACTGTCTTCCTCCTATTTTTTCCAGGTATGTATGCCTGAGGAAGAAGGCTGCAGTGGCGCAGCCCTTCCTCATAACACTGGTAACTCGTGTACTTGGTGGAGTCCATTCTCGTCACAGTTGCACTGAAAAGCCAATCGGGACTCGGCAAGCAAATTTCAAAAGTCACGTGCAAGCTCATCCTTGATCCGTGGTGACTTAAGTTTTGACCACTAGTACCATCTTTCAAGCTCAAGGTTTGACGACTGAGAGACTAGCTACGATTTGACTTAGTCTTCCCGGCTTTTGCAGGTTCCCATAAGCAATTTTCTGGTTCACCAAAACACAGGACCTTGCCTAAACTTTCACGTCACGGAACCCGTCTAGTAGGTTCCAGTGTCCACGTCATACTGAACTCCTGGCGCTTGGCATCACATATATTTGCGCACAGGAGGAGTCGCCACCACTACCATCATGTTTGCCTGAGGTTTGTTGGAGGCAGTTAGCTCCGAACCTTCATGCCTCTGCCTCGTGGCTTCATTCAACCCCGCCAAGAGCCTCGAGGTGTCCTTCTGATGCACTCCTGAAACAGATCTCAATGATTTTTTCGGTCCCTCATGGATATGGAATGCTTTGGCTTCCTTTGAATTTACCGCGTTTCGAACTTTTTCCATCTCCTCTGAGAACGGAAAGGGGTGTACGGGTTGATAAGGGAGAGCGGGATGGCGCGTCTCTGGTGCACACGCTGCACGTGTTATATTTGATTGATAAGATCTATGCACAGGACCCCGACGTTTTGGCTCAAACATACCAAATATGCGAAGTCGAGAGGATATTCAAAGCCATTTTTGCAAAATAGTGAGTTTTCGCATTGCCAATTTTGTAAAATGCAGTAATTCTTTAGACGCCCGAGGTATTCTGATCGGAATGGGTCTCCTGGCATGATTTTGGACTCCAGGTGAGCTGTCTGTCATGAAACATCGTTGCTCAAATCGTCATCAACCTTGGCAAGATAACTAGTGCAAGCGTTGCAAGAAGAATTTATATAATTTTTGCATAAACCTCGTCCAAGCTAGTTTCTCCTTACCGCGAGTCACCGCGGGATCCAGATACTTGAGATTGTGGCAATCGTTTCAAACCCTTTGAATTTTTATGCCTCAGGCCATATCTCTGGCAACATTGCGGCCGCGAACTCACTTACTGCTCGCGACTTTTTGATATCAACTCCACCAAACAACCTCTCCTTATATCACAGTATGCCAGTATCTGATCGCAACCCATCATAACCGACAAATCATCTCCCCTAAAGCACAACTATGGTTTACTATGCGTACATCGATGACGTACGTGCAAGAACCTCTCTTCAATGTCTGTGATACCACGCTGAATCTTTTTTTAGATCAGCGACAGCTCCTCCCCGCGATACATTGCTGTTTTCGCCAGCCGTGCAGTCGCCGATGAGTGGTGGCGTGGCGTGTCCACTTCCGCCAATACGAAGTACTCGGACAGTATCAGACGTGTTGCCCCCCAGTTCTTTACCCACGACGTCAGCAAAGCCAACGCTGCCTCCTCCATCACTGGCACCCAAGTTGCATCTAGTTTTTTTGGCAAAGTGTTTTTCAGGCTACTGCCAAGTGATGTCGGATTTAGTGTCATTCCGATTCTAGATCTCGTGGATCATGTTAGCGGGAACTTGTGAGTCATTTTGTTGTAGGTTCTTTCATAACTGCTCACAACGATTATGTTAAAGATTTTTCATCCGCTCCAAAGTCTCTCCTAACGAGTACTGGTACTGTCCGGGATCGTCAACAGGCAACGTCACGCCTAACTCCAAAGTCTATGTATCGTGTACTGAGCGGACCCGCTTCCGGGTCCGCCTCATCAACGAACGCAAGGACACTACAGGGACCATCATGATTGGCTCTGATGACATCGCTATTACCCTGACTTCCACCAACCTATCCATCAGAGTCTCCCGCAGCGGCCATTTGATCGTTTCGAAAAACCCTGAGCTAGGGCTGAAGTTCAGTGACCTTGTGAACGGATTCGGGGTGGCAACTCCCTTGCTGGACAACGAGGGTCATCGCGAGAATGTAAAGGAACTCTTCAAGACGGATGATGGGGAAGAATGGGAACTTGCTTGAACTGGTGTCATTTGATGTTGACAAAGCACTTGCATATGCACGCGAAGTTGGCTTTTACTCTTATGATAGAAGCTACGTCAACTCGTTCTGCAACTACAAAAGCATGCCAGATGATGACATCATCTGGTAGATATTTCAGCCATAATCTCGTGATGCTGAAAGCAAATATCTGGCTCAACTAACGGGACTTTGAACAACTTTATTCAAATGTAAATACACTCAGGAGCGCAGGTGAGAAATTCATGACACGGTCACTCGCAGACATTATTACAATATTGGGCGGCCGTTGATTCAAGTCTGACCCGGCACATTGAAGTCCTGGACAGACTGTCGATGATGGGGCGGAAGGTGAGCTCGAAAAGTAGTTGGGGTTGAGACTGGTACTGATGCCACAGACAGATATCTTGCGACAAATGGGCGCGCTGTCCACCGTTGAATTTCAGTGGCAAGAGGAATGTTGGCAAACCACTTGCGCAGCTTAAAATGCCACGCGCCACGGTTTAAAGGGCTGGTGGATAGTAAAATAACGGTTTTAACTGTCAGCAGTAAAGTGCTGATTATTCGATCGATGCCATGCCGCTATCATGGCATCTCGGTTGACGGTTAAGTATCCGCCAGCATCCTATCCTTCGTCGGACGCGTTGTGCCGGGTCAGGTGCGCTTAGGCGCCTCGGATATGATAGGAATGATGACAAACTTTTTTTTGCCAATCAATTGATAAAGATCAGCAGACAGACAGAGCCAAATTGTGGTACGGTCTGGGTGGCTCCGGGTTTGCGCAGCAGTGTACACTGGGTAATTATACCACCATGTTTGTGTTACTCATACTCACGACATTATGATCAGGTGGCTGCAAGCTACAGGCTTAGATACGCACGCACGATCGGTACATGTTTTCCTTGTCCATATCTAATTCTTCCGATGAAACTCCTCCTAGCAATGATGGAAGACATGGCTGTAGTCAACTAAAATTCTAGTCAAACTCTATGCCACTGCACACCTATTGGCTCTCTTCTGTTGCTCCGACTCGGACTCCTCTCAAAGGATGGCGTCCGGTGTTTCGCGTTCTGCCTCAGATCACGACGAACGGGGCCACGATCCTTTAATGGTCTACAAAAGGACACCATACCATGCGCCCCGTGCCAAGACGAAAGGCAAAGAGCCTAAGTCGAGGTATTCTTTTGATGCTACAGAGGACGACGACCTGGACCAGGTTCAATTCGAATGTTTCGAATCTGATTATCTGCCGGCCTGACTCGGAGTCTTTATATACATATTACTGTCTCATGTAAAACTGCCATAATTACAAGGTTGTTGTCTTGGTCTTGTTTACGGATTTTGTCCGACCTCCACGTAGCTTTTTCGCGTTGATTCCGCCGTCGATCCGGTTGTAAGATCAGCTAGTCACGAGAGTTGAACGTGTACCAGAAAGTTGGATAGACCCGGCCGGACCCAGCCGGATTGAGCCGTCATTTCCAAATTCTCAATCGCTGAGTTCTGCTTGTCGTATACTTGCCTAAACCTTGAGCAGGGAACATGCCTACACCATGCATAACTAGCTAAACTAGCCAATGCTACTCTTATTTTAAGGAATTGAAGAACATAGCATCGTACAGGATCTGCCACCATCAACACTGTCCATGACCGTGACTGTCCATGTGTTGACCTCGAGGTTCGTTGGAGTTTTGGGGCAGTTGGGAGGCTTTTAAGGCGCCTCCAGTGCTGTGGCGTCATGGCTCCACCGTGTCTCTGTGCCAAGTGGATCAAGGCCAACCCCAGATTTTCATCTCAGCTGGTATCTTCGGTGGTGATCTGAGCTATCGGCGCCCTCTTTCCGGTCACGCACGAGGCCAGGTACAGTGCACTTTCGATGCCGCGGCCAGGTCTTCGTGGAAGAGAGCACAACCTAGTTCGAATTGTACCGATATTCCAATCCGGACCATAGTTCCTATCTTCCCACAACCCTCGAGGTTACATGATGGTGCACAAGCTTACGATACTACTTAAAGCCACTCCAGCAGTATAAAAGTCTCTTCCATTTTGCTCCCTGAGACTTCCACTTCCTCAGCGCTTCCTTTATTATTGTTACAAAACATGGCATACTCCCCATACGACGCCTATGACTCCTACGACGACTACGACTCCTACAGCCGTCCTCGCAAGCAGTCGTTTGGATACAGAGCGACCACTCCTGTCGGTGGCTACCCATACGATCCACGGTTGGGAGCAACGTACAGTGAACCAATGATGCGCGGAGAGGTGCCACAATACTTATTCATGTTCGTTGTCATTTGCTCATGTTTAATTGTGAAAGCGCTACTCTTCGTCAGCCTACCCGATGTACCCGTCCAGCCGCAGCATGTACCGGACACCCAATCACAGCGCGAATTATCTTCGTAAGTCTAGAACTTGGATGCATTCAGACAGGCTCTGACCTTTATTAGCGTATGATGATATGGACTACCGTGCTGGAACTCCCGGCCTTTATCCCCCTGTCGTGCAACCCTTAGCAATGGGTAGACCGCGCCGGGCATCATCAGTATCTTACTCACCAAGGCCGCCAGCATTCGGAGACCCCTTCCGCAGAAATAGCCCCCCTCAGGTTAGATTCAAGCGTAAGGGTGCCTTCCGGAGCGGAATCACCCTTGGTGAAGCACAAGCCAATGTTCGATTGGCTGGACACGACTCATACACCTTCAATGACCTCGGTGTTGATCACCGAGGCAAGATCTATGTGAAGATGTCGGTGAGTACAGTATAGATCTGATCTCCAGCTAAAGCCTCAATTGTCCATCTCAAAGTGGCCTGGATATTCACCACTTAATTACGAGATACCTGTTGATGGCTATGGGGGTCTCATCGACCTTCAATCGTTGACACGCAGAATCGGACGTGCGGTTTCACATTATCTTCAGGTAATTATTCAATGGTATCTTTTCAGTATAGAGATTTCTCATGCACTATGTACATAGGCCAACATCATCCCTATACCATGGGATCGTATCGAGCTATCGCACATGGAAGAAGTCAGCATGGGTACATGGCATCTCAAGATGACAACAAATTGAACAATATCCTGTCCCGTGCGTAACCGCCTGCAGCGAGAAACTCTCAGCGTACTTTATTATATATCTGTCCTTGATAATCTATTCATACTGCAGCTACACTCGTGGATGCCTGGTGTATCATCATCTCTGCGCCTTTCGAGCCGTGCTCAGTTGTACACAGATCAAACCATGTGTGTATCATATTACATCACGAATCTTACGAACTTTTACGAGGTGTCGTCTACGTATTGGAAGGAAATGCATATCATACACCATCGATACTACCAAACGCAACAAGATATGTCCGGAGTTACACAAGTGCCGATCGCTGCTTCCGCCTCCTGTTGGACTCTCCCTTCTGACGAGGCGAGCTGCGAATACCAAGGGCACGTTTCACTTTAGTCATGAATGGTAGGTGGGTTTCCCTGTCCCTTCCCTATCACAAGATATGGCAACAGGCAACGGAAATGAAGACACGTAGACTAACCATGGGACGAAGTCCTTGCTTCGCATGCTTCTTGCCTTGTCTGGATGTCCTGGGATTGGAAAGTGCCGTGTCTGTAGAAGGGCCACGGGTACATTAAACTCGGCTCATATCGGTAATTGCCTAAGTGACAAACTTACTCTTGTCTCTACTAAAGAAGCGCAATTTGCGGCGAGCAGGTGTACGATTTCGTTCACGGTGATGTTCGTTACTCTGGAAAGGATTCATATTGATTGCAAGTGATCGATATATGGTAAAGTTTTGGTAGAGGGCAAAGGGTCACGGTTAAATCTTGCGGAACTTATGGAACGTAGCTGTTATGTACTATTCAGAAGCTCCACCATGGGAATGATGTAGTTGTCCACGGTGGATAAGTGGAACTTGCATCGTCATGATATCCATCGATGAAGTGATTTGCGCCCGCCCGTGGGGCTGAGGGCTGTCATGGGTTGTCATCTTGTGCTGCGGCCCCAGATTTACGGCTTGTTTGTGATTATTTGTAGTAAGAATGATTTCATATCAGAGGCTTTCTGATCTGTTCTGATCGTTCGCGCAGCTGAAGATTCGAGAAACCGCGGTGATCATCTGCATGTTTTCAGATGAGGATACAACCCTCGTTCATGCTGTGCAGAAGCAATATGCTTCCATGAACCTCAAGTTACCAACCGGAACTTTCACGATTCTAGCTGCAATCGCCTTGATTTCGTCTGATTCTTTAACACTCCAGCCAAAGATCATCGGATTAGCTACAGGGTGCAAGTGCCTTCCAAAGGACAAGCTTCCACTGCAAGGCGAGGCTGTGCACGATAGTCATGCAGAAGTTCTCGCTCGCCGCTGCGCCATTCGCTGGTTGATCGAAGAGATCGGTAGGGCGGCCTCTGGTGGATCGCATTGGCGTTCTGCGTGGATAACAAAAATGGCAGATGATCACTATCATCTTAAAGACGGCGTCTACATGATCATGTATATATCGGCACTTCCTTGTGAGAAGCACTAGCCTTGTTTGTTGCGCGTGTCTCATTTCAACCGATCAATGTCAAGGCGGAGACGCTTCTATGCGGTTCCTCGCTACTTTCCAAGATGAGGAGATGGCAGCGCTGAAGGACTCTGCAATGTTCCCTCCTTTGGCTCCCAATGTTGCGTCCAGAGGACGGGATAATTACTCCCTTTTGGGTGTTCTCCGTACGAAGCCTGGGCGTGCTGATTCTCCTCAGACATTGTCGTTGTCGTGCAGCGACAAAATAGCACGCTGGAACGTACTCGGAATACAAGGGGCTTTAGGCTCAGCCCTTTTTCACCCGATCTATTTAAAAAAGATAATCATCGGCGAAGTCCCGCTAGATCTGCACGACGTCGTAAAGTCTGATTGTGAACGGGCATTCTGGGGGCGTCTGCAAGAAATAGATGGTGCATATGTTGTTCGATCATAAAATAATGCTTACGATCGTGATATATCTTGCACAGGCCTTCCCGAGGGATACAAATTGAGTCGGCCGGAAGTCCAGTTTACGTCGGTTGGGTTCATCCATTCAAGATCAGCGCAAGAACATTCTTCTCCTGCTCAAAGATCGTGCAATGAATGTAGGTATATATTTATCTTGCATTGTCTCTCTTAAATGCTTTATCATCAGCTTTGACTTGGGTCGCAGACTCTGCGTCACCACATGAGGTACTGATAAACGGCCTCAAACGAGGCGTCTCTCCAAAACATCGCTACAAGACGATTTTCTGGTAAGCAAGCAGTTGATTAACTTTTTCTGCAAACTATCTTATGCAACATTTTGGCAATTCAAAGGCCCGGGCTCTCAAAGGTCTCCTTGTTTCACCTGTACAGAAAGACGAGGAGCATAGAGAACTTGCCCCTTGAAAGGTAAAGATCCAGAACAAAGAGGGGGCCATCCCTAGCACTCACAACTTGTTATGTAGGCAAACAATGACATATTATCAAGTGAAGGAGGGCATGACCCAGTATCAGATAGCAAAAAACTGTTTGCTAGGGGAAGGTCGGCCTTTTTCAGGGTGGATTCGAAGTGGAGCTCGATGGGAGAACTTCGGTACTTGTAGCGATAACGGACAACAGAGTACTGACATTACGAATTAAACGCCAAAAAGAAAAGCAACGAAAGCGCATGTATGTAAGTAAGTGGAATACAACGTGATCAATAGCTGGGGTATATATTAAGAAACACAGCGAACTGTTATATGTGGCGTTCCAAGGCGTTTCCAAAACACCCAGAGATACAAGGAAACTGGGCAACCGTTGGCATTATGCCTATAGATCCTTATCCTTGTCAGAGGATTCGGCTTCTGCGAGCAGTTCATCAAGGGAGGTAGTTGGTAACGTCTGGGCCAATAATAATGGCGTCCCAACAAGTGATTCACCATCTGTAAATGTGGGGCTTGATCTGCCAGAGCGACTGTTGCCATTGTTATTATTATTGTTACTGCCATCCGCAAGCTCCTTTCGGAGTGCCTCTAATTCGCGTTCGAATCTTTGAGGGAGAAAAGTCAGATTCTGTGCAAGGAACCCTGAGTTGAGGATGCTTACTTGCGACCGAATACCTCGATGTAGAATCCGCCACCGTTCCACACGCTCACAGAGAATATAAACAAAAGGAATGCTCCACTCCACATAGGGCTATCATACAACAAGAACACCGCAGGCAGTTCTGTAAGGAGAGAGTATACTGAAGGAACATTAACATTGCTGAGTTGTAACGTTGAATTTCACATACCAAGTTGCCCCGTCATGAATGAAGATTCACGGTACTTTGGAGGAACTGTGGACAAAGCTCGCCCAATGGCACTACGTTTGTCATTCAAAAGGAAAGAAAAGGACGTCGTTCGCTGGCCAGATGCAATCTTGCTTCGACGATCTACCAGTACAAATTTCCAGTACATCAACTGCCAACAGATATCTGGATGTCCAGTCATGTTCAGTCATCAAGATCATCAACATGAAGCTTACATATAGCACCGCTCATAAGGAGGGCACGGAATGGATTGAGGTATGGGAGTGCCTTCAGCGCGGGGAACCTGTCTTCTGCATTCGGATAGAAATGCCTGTACATAGTGATTAATAATTGTATGGAGAAGATCAACTATAACTGACCTGATCACTGTGAATGTAAAAGGCGCGTATATATGCACGAATAACGACGTGACTTTATCCGTGTCATGAAAAACAAGGCTGTTTCTCCAAGTGATAACAGCACTAGCGAGCGAGCCGTGTGATAAACCATAACAAGCCATGAACAGCGCTGTATTTGATGGGAAGAACCACATGTAGATGAAGTTGAGGATCGTGACGTAGTAGCAGAGATCGAACAGGAAATAATGCCATGACCGCTTCTTGTATTGGTAGGCACGAAGAGGAAGGAGATATAAGCCTTGCACTGTATATGCGATATGGATCCATCTGCATACAAGACATTAGTCACCACCAAACGCAAAGAACTCTCAAGGATGCATACTGTGGGGCTAAGCCAAAGAGCAACGCCGACACGAGGAGGGACATGACACTACAGAAAAACGACACTTTATCACGAGTTCTCACTACCTTGGCGGAATGCCACGATTCCGCTAGATTTTGCATACGAAGCGAAACCTGTCATCGACGCGTTAAATCCTGATGAAAGCCACAAGCTCCGAACGTACCTTCAGCTTGAAGTTTTTGATCTCGCGATCAAAATTCTCCGCTAGCACATCGCTTGATTGCACACGTTTCTTCAAGGCTTCCTCGGCTTTCGATTTCAATCTATCGCTGTGCTTCTGTATCTGCCGCTGGAGTAAGTCCAGCCGAGAGTCAAAGAATGTCTCCATCGTATCTATCGCAAAAGCATGTCAGATTTTGGGGTAGCCATGACAAGACGATACAGCAGAAGACTTGCCTAGCAAGGTAAAAGCGCCTGTCTCGTCTCGTATAAAGCGTTCGAAAGGTGCAGAAAAGTATCCTGCCCCGGTCGCTGGCCCAGGAGACTCCATTCTTAAAGTTGGGGACGGTGGCCTTGAAACCGTTGTGGAAGTCTGAAACTTGAATTTGCGAGTGCAAAACAGGCTTATACGGAGTGGCACTCTAAAGCAGTGGATGTTTGAGGCGCTTGTCAAAGGGCAGTGCGTCACACGCCGACATAAATGTATGCTTATGTCACCACAAGTAAGTTTTGCCTCTCATTGAGTCTCGACCTCTTTTGGATTCGACTTCAAAGTACACTCTTTAGTATTGACCTTTGGACCTCCGTAATAGTACTGTCGTTCCCAGTACCTGACTTAGCAGAAATCAGTACTAGTAACGTAGTGAGCTAATCAATTTTGTTTTATCGTTAGTCCGCGTTTAGGTAACTCTAAATCTTAACGAGAGGGTTCAGAGAAATAAGCACCAGAACAGGTATAGTCTGTCCAGTATATAGAATTCAAGACACAATCACGACAGGTAACGGGGTGCAACGCTCTATATAGGTTACAGCAATTGCTCACATCAATGAAAGGTCGCCAAACTTCTCTTTGTAACCTGGAAGCATTGCTCAAGCGAAATGAAGTAGAATACAATCCGGTGAACATACCAGGTACAGTCCATTTGCCTTTCTGGACCATGGTCTCGACTGCTTCCAGTATCCGTGGGTGGGCGTTGCCGACATCCTCCACCTAAGCAAGTAAACAAACAAAATTAAAATAGATCCCAAGAATAAGAGGAGAAGACGTACCGTCAAGTCTTCGAACGGACGAGCCTCTTCGATGTTAGCAAGCGTTGCTTGCAACTCCTTGAGTTCCACGTCAATCTGGGCGGCTGTCGCTTGGGCTTTCTCAACCTGCGTTGATCATGAAGACACTCAGTCACGATACCACAACCTTGAGTAAATAGAGGTCGTACCGCTTTGGCCTCGAAAGTTTCGATGGCTTTGACGTGGGCAGATACGTCGTACGTAACAACCTTGAACTCCTTCAACAGCTTCTCGGCTTCGTCCACAATTGCCTTGTTCTTCAACACAGAGCGGTAGTGCGCGAGGTCAACAGTGGTGGGTTGAGATGCATATTGCGACTGGAGACGTTGAGCATCCCCGTGCCGTTTGCGGAATGCTTGCAGAGCAGCGATGGTATCTGCAAATTCAGAACCTCTATCAGCCCAGCTGTGCCTTTTACAAGTTGAGGTTCATGCCTTTTCCGAGCCCAAGTGTCGAGTAGATACGGGTGAAGTCCTGTTAGCGAGGAAACGAAGATGAGCGATGGTGAACGCGACCGAGTACGAAAAAAACGAGACTTACAACCGCGGCTACTGCTGCTTTTGATGCCATGGTTTAGAGAAAGGCGGGAAATAATGCGAGAGCTGGGACACTAGAGGCACGCGTTGGCTACCCACAAATAATAATGCTGCAAAGGACGACTGAAACGAGCGGAGGCAAGGCCGGGAATTGCCGATCCCGTTTATTCCGACTCTTGACGAAACTTGACAGACGCGTGCTGGCGGCGTGCAAAGTCCAAGCTGTACAACAATGCCTCATTTATTCATTTTCCATGGTCTCCTCTGCTTTACACCAAGATTCTATTCCAAAATACTGCATCTAAAGTTCCCCAGAAGATACTGAGGTGAACCTGGTTTCGCTGCAGGCAGGCGCTCAATGATAGTCTTGTAAAAACTTGTGAAGTTTGAAATAATGTCTCGAACATCCAGCTCGCAATGTCCCTTCAAGTTGAAGCAACCATCGAAGTCAGTGTGAGATCCAAGAAGCACCAGTACATGTAATACGACAGCACGGCCCGTTCAGATAAGACACACGAACCGTCTCCCAATCACCTGACACCCTTATCTTGCGCCGCTGCCCTTATAAAAACAATACGTACGAATGACCTTCTCCTCGACCCTTTTTCCTCTGGAGCGCAGACGTAGATCGAGAGCCGTGGAGCTTGTGTGAGACAGAGAACCTGGGCTAACAACGCATTTGTGAGTCAAGTAACGCCCTTTCCTTGACCTAATTTAGATGTATGTGAACGCCCAGCGTGCCCGAGTTATTGGATGGACGGGTTTACTTCTACCATTGCTGTTGTCGAACAGTTTCGCGCTATGGGACTGTTACCTAACGTTCTCCTTGCTGTCGCAGCGATTGTTTTGACGTACAGTTTCATTCAGTCGAGAAAGAGGCCTGTGACATCCTCGAATGTTGCTCATACGTCACCCGTGACCGAGAAAGATGGAAAGACAAACAAGAATAGGGAACCGGGCGGTATGTTTAAACATTCCGGTACATGTGATGACGCTCACAAATTAATAGGATGGATCGCGGAAGAATTTGATTATCCCGAAATAGATCCGTGCTCCTTCCCACTGATGGATGTGCGCCCAGTACCGTACAGACCATTCCGGTATGGTGAATATCAGTAAGTACTTTACTTGTTTCTTTGTTTCGTTTGTGATGCCCAAATGTTGGCGCACGAGTCCGCGTGCGCGGCACGTGGATACAATCCGCGAATATGATCTGTAGCGTCATTTTGTACCCACCCCCCCGACCGCACTCATGGCTGATGAATTTTGTCATCTCTTGCGAATGCAGAATCACGATGGGTATTCGCACGATGCCTTGGAGCGAATGGATTGAACTGGACTCAACCTACCCACACTGGCAGCATGTGCGCAAGTTCCGCGTTCGCACGCGCGGGCATGACGCCGTGCGCGTTCTCCCCGCCCGAGAAGACGAATCTGTCAAGGTCCAGGGTGGCGCATGGGCAGGTGTGTGTTATTTCCTTTGAACGGAACGGTAGAATCTTTGCTGATAAGCTACAGCAAAGGAGCTCGTGTATGAGCTCGCAGAGTACCTTCCACGGCGATACCCCTCGAGTTTCCGGGTAACACGATTTCCGAACGGTGTGCCAGGGCCGTCAATTGGTGGCGTATCGCTCGCTTGGGGACAACAACAGCCCGTGCAAATTATTGAAGCGGTTGAGACAGGAGGTAAATTTGATTTAGGGGTGCTGGAGGGTATGAATGGTGTTGAAATGGGCGAAGAGGCAATGAGGATTACTGCAGGGCTGTGAGTACCGTGTCACTATATCAGACATTCCTGACCTTCTGTTAGTATACAAGAAGACGTGGCACTCATGATCGAGGGTATAGGGTTTCTACACTACCTTGGTTAATAAATCTGAAAACGTTTGTTCACACAGGCACGGATGGCAAGTACTATTTCCAGGGAGGAGCGATCTGCATTCCAGGTAAGTGCAAACAACGAACACGAAGATTGCACCTGACATCATCTTCTCAGGATTCTGGCGCATGCGGGACAAGATCGGAATGACCCTGGACGATATACATATTTCAGGAAACGTTCCACGGTGTAAGCCTGACTTATCATATTTATTTTTGTCCACGCTGATACCGGCGGGCGCAAAGTCAAGGAAAAATTGCAGATGAGCATGGAAAAGTTTTTCAGACGGATGCCGGTGGACAAGCCAGTTATTCGAAATAATTATTTTATGCAAGTGTGTAAGCCATCGTCGCACGTGTCAGATGGCGACGATGAGGCACGACTGGACGTCGAGGAAGAGTGCGCTTCCGATATTGATCCAGAAGAACTGGGTTGGTCGGAATCGACGAACGGACCGGAGGATGAATTTTTGCATGGACACGGACATGGTGCACTACCTGCACCGTACCTCGCGCCGTCGACACTACGACTACGATCGGAGAGGCAAACACTGCGTCGACTTCCTCGCACAGGAGCCATCGTTTTTGGGATTCGGACGTACCTGTTCAAGATCGAGGAACTGGCTCGGGAGCGAGGAGTGGCTGATCGGCTTGCAAGTGCCATAAGAAGTTGGCCTAACGATGTTGGGGTATACAAAGGGCGTAAAATGTATGGTGATATACTACTGAACTACTTAGATGAGTGCGCAGCAAGGGAAGGAGTGCAGGAGGAGGGACTTAGATACCCATATTGAGGTTAAGGGGTATAATAATATTTAAAAGGAATACCTAGCACAGGGGAAGAAATGACGTGCGTCGGATCTTCTAAAAGTAGCAAATGATTGGGTTTATCGAGCGTTTATTAGAACTCCGATTCAAGTTCAATATAACACGAGACTACGTCAGACGTCGTCATTCCTCCTCTGACCTCACCTCAAGAAAAATTGGAGCAGATTACACACGGGCCACAAAGGACACACCGGAGCTGTTGGCTTCGTGCCGAATATTCATTATATCGGTAAAATACTGTAAAAAAACTTTATTGACCACCAAAACCTCGTCATCATGTCCGCTACTCCACCTAAAAACGGTGATACATCCAACTCCCCTGACGTCAGGCCACAACCCCCTCTTGCAAGGCAGACTAGATCTGATTTTGACCTCGAACCTAACCCATTCGAGCAGTCCTTTTCTCGTCCATCCCATGTCCGCCATTCCCCTCCATCCAAACGTGATTCATCTAGTCCAGTATCTCTACATGACAGACCACCCTCTGCTGCTTCGAATAAAAATTCAAAGGATGGTAGGTCTACTTCTCCGAGACCAGTACTACCCCCTTTGGCATCCATAGCATCTCCTACTACAGATCAATCTTATGGTTGGCAGTTTTCTTCATCTCTTGCAAACTCTCTTCGCGCTGGTCCACTCTCCCCCGCCATGCTAGCCGGCCCACAGCAAGGTTCAGACTCCGCATCCCATTTACCTTTTGACACCTCTTTCCGAACTGGTTTGACACCCCGCACCGGTCTCACACCCCGCACAGGATTGACACCAGGCACCGGCTTGACACCCCTGGTAGGGGGTCCTGTATCTTTCCCCCCTCCTTCCCCGAATACTGCCGCTTTTTTGGCGCTTATGAATAATAATGCAAGCGCTAATTCAAACGCGACTATAACACCAAACACCCTCAGCGCAATCACAGGTGTTCTTAACTCCTCTTCAGCGCAATATAGTTCCGTCACACATGCTCCCACAACTAGTTCTCACCTATCCACATCCGTCACTGCTAATCAGGAAAACAGTGATCCTCCTTACCTCAGCGCATCCTCTGCCGCAAGCACGGCTGCAAATGGTTTATATTTGCTTTCTCAAGCTCATCAGGAGCTTACGAAACGCGAAGAGGCACAGGCACGTGCTAACAATGTTGCAAATGCAACTAACGGAAGACGTGGTGTAAAGCGCAAATCTTACGATCAAGCAAGTCCACCGCCCCAACCTGCTCCCACAGCCCGTGCCCAATCTCAGCAGCAGCATACTTCACCCGTTAAACGCGCACGCGCTAACACTGTAACCAGTGTCAGCACCAACGGTCGTGGTAAAGCATCCACAGATGATGAGGAGGATGAGGAGGACGAGGATGATGACGACCTACCACCTTCTCAGAACGCTGGTGGGCGGAAGCAGCCAAAGAAGCCCGAAACAGAGGAAGAGAAGAGACGTAACTTCCTCGAACGAAATAGACAAGGTTTGCCTTTCCTTAGATTTCCTCTTCAGGTCACTGAGTTACCGTGTAGCCGCCTTAAAGTGTCGACAGCGCAAAAAGGCATGGCTTGCATCATTGCAGGCCAAGGTCGAGTATCTTCAGACGGAGAACGAGCGGCTGACATCCGCCCTTGTCTCATCACGCGAGGAGATCTCGCGGTTATCTGCCCTCGTTGGAGGTGCCGTCATTGGACCAGGGGGACCGACTGTCGGTCCAGGAGTGGGCCCACCACCAGTAGCGGTCAATGGCGTGGCCACGAATGGCCAACCCATCAGCATGAACATGAATCTTGTTGCCAAGGGCGCACCCGCCACCTCTGGCCGCGCGAGCTATGGGTACTAAATGCCTTGAAGCTCCAGCCGTCCTTCGATCTACTATTCGTTTCATGATGTGTTGCGCTACACGTTGAGTCGGCACCGCTCATTACGAATATGCGCCGCGTAGGATGTAGGATTGTCGTTATCTTTATTTTTGCATCATCGTTAACACACGAGAAAGATATCACTGCGTCTCCCTGCTCTTTCTCTTGCATAGTCCTTGCATCATCCCTAGCATTCTATTTCTCACTAGTCTCTACCTACCGCCCGCGATGCCATCGCTTGCATTGGCACCACTTCGACGTCGTCCTCGGCACAGCTTAGCACATTGCCATACCCCTTATCTCGACCTCTCGACCTACACACTCCGCAGAAGAAAATACAAATTGTATCCCTCGCTTGTACGTTGTGAAGTAGGCAATATATCATACATACGTCATACATTTGTACATCCTGACCTGAATACATACAGAGGCATCGGCGCGCGCACATGAAATGCGCTGCCCTCGGTTGTATAACAAGTCAGGGAAATGAAGTCATTGTCCCAGACGCAAAACACCTCCGTCGCTTGACTGCAACCAGGTACACAGATGCATATTGATATTGTTGTGCCGCATAAGTCCACATATCGGACAATGTGCCAGCATGCCCGCGAACTTCCGACAGTTATCACATGGTATCCGCGTCCATCCATCAATATTCCATTCTTACAGCCTGGCGGCAGTTCGGTCCCCAGGATTTAAGAAATCATTACCAGTGAGTCGGTCACTTACTACCTTGTGGGACGAACTATCACAGTCGCAGAACCTCATTATCGACGCCCCTTCGTTGATAATTCTCTGTGGTCTGATTGCGCCCATATTTGATAGGCTGTGGACCCTGAGGCCTCGAGGCCTGGTGGCGCGATCGCTTTATGCGGATTGTGACGAGAAGTTGGCGCGAGTCACCCTATCTGCCAGTTGTATCATTTTCCGTTGGACGTACGTACATCCTCCGCTAAGCGCGCGTTTGTGACATAGTACCACTTCCTGCCCCCTCCCAAGTCAGCGTGACGGTGGTGACTATCCAATCTAAGCCAGGTTCTGATACGTGGTCGGCTATTGGATTCTGTCGGCCAAATAGATAAGGCGGATAAGCAATTTATTTTATGTAAAAACAACTCATTTTCCATGCGTTTGCTAGATCTTCGACTGGACGATTCTAAAGCGGGCAAGGAACACATGGACCGTCGTGAAGGAAGTAAAAACAAGCGTAGAAGCCTTGATTGAACCAATGTTACGACGTCGAGGAGCCCAGTATCCGCCGTACAGTTATCGCTCTCCGCTATTGCGTTCATGGTATGTGCACGCTTTTGCGATGAGAAATAACATGTCGTGCGAGACATGGGGCGGCGAACAGATTTAGGTTCGTTTGCGCCTCCATATTTTTTCGAGGCATCCTGAGTTATCGCTGACAGCCTCCGCACTCAGTATGTTTTGGACCACTGCGCCGCCGGCCCGCTAAGCGCCTATACACAGACTTCTCGCGATTTGTGCTTTCGGGCCGCGACATACAGTCATATTCACATCTAGTTGACAGTGTGATATGGACACGGACAGACCTACCGCCTGCTGATGACGCAGCTAACGTACCTGCACCTACAGCCGGCGGAGCGACTGGCGCCGAATCTGGACCACCATCAATATGTCTCCTTGCCCTGGTGAAACACAGGCAGCTCTCGCCAAGACCTCCCACACTGTGTCACCGATATCTCTGAAGATACGCAAGATTCCGATCTTCGTGAGCTTTTCGATACGTTCGGGTATGTCGCCAGGTTGTATGTCGGCCGTGACCGAAAGGCGGGTATTGGCAAAGGTTCGCATTCGTTTTCTTTGATGAGCGCACTATATATTGCGCAGCGGGCGATGGAGAAACTAAACGGCAAAGGTGATTTTGAGGGTATTGGACGGTGGTCGTCACCTGAATATGGACTCTTCAACTCAGGGGAACCTGTGACTCTCGCAGTACTCGGGCCCCTCTTCTCGAGCGCTTTTCGTTCCTCTTCCACTCTCACCACAACTCCGACGATGCAACCAAAATCCAAACGTGGTGGGAAACGAATCAGCGGACAAAGAGGCCAAAGACGCTGAAAGGTAATGAGTACAACAGCCCAACACACCTACTCCCGAAGTACCTCAGAGGTCTCCGACTACAGAACAGCGCGTCGGCACTAAGGGGCGCTTCAGAATACCAAATCAAGAGCTCTATGGAAAGCGTTATGGGAGAAGTCCCCCCGGTATGCACGCACCCGCACCATCGACCCATCAATTCCGTCCGAAAAATACATCAAACTCGTCGACGGTTTCCCGAAACACATCTCCAGTTTAGCTTCGCACCCGCCATGTCCCACTCAACCACCACCTCCACCGCATCAACAGGAGCGACACACCTGACTGTCCCGTATGCCCCGGAACTAAGGAAACGATCCATCATGACCTCTTTGATTGCCCTCAATACAGACAGGAACGCCATCTCCTCGCCAATGCTCTCCGTTGTGACGCCACCTCGATCTCCATCCCACACCTCAGCAGGTTTATCAGTAGCACAGGACGTTTCGAGCCGACTTTCGATGAGCTGAAATACTGTCCAAGTATGCTGGTAGAACGCACGCCCAGGGGTTGTCCACGACACCGCCTGCCGTCCCCTCAACATCCACGGCACCTCCTGTTCCTACTACTAGTACAACCGCATCAGGTGCAGCGACCATGCAGTCACCTCTTCTATTGCGAGTTCACTTCGTGCTATTTCTTTATTGTATATTCCCCCTACACGTCGATGAGCATTAACACTGCAGCATATGGAAAGTTATCTTATCTTTGCATCTGGTTCTTTTGTAATTTTTGTCATCCCCTTGTCCCCGCTGAGAATGTGTGTATTTGTATTTGCACAGCTTCCTCAATTTCAGCTTGCTTTCAACGCCCTGTCATGAAGTCTTGGTTTTATCGAAACGTGTCCTGGCTGGTGCTTACTACACAGCTCGCGCATCCATCCGCATGTATTCCTCGAACCTGACAATGTCAATCTGTCGTCAATGGAATGGATGGGGATTTTCAAGAACGGCCTGATCTAGCATCGAGCTCTCAGCCAGACGGCTAATGTCTTCGATTATCCTCGCGATAAGACTTTACTGGCTTGCATCGTGCCCAAACGGTACCGCAGGTCAGTCAATGCGGCAAGTGTGTAACAGTGCAGATAAATGATATTTTAAGTGTGCTATTCTAATCCATGCTTACGATAAATGCTCTTATGCACCGTTTGAGGTCAATTGGACTGTCAGAATGTAAAAACGTACCTTCGAGAGGGAGGATGGTGGTAACACCCATGAGTCCTGTCAACTGTTCGATGTGAACAGGGACCTCTTTAGAAAACAAATAAGTCCACCTGGATACAGGCGCTGCTTCATATCCTACAAACATGCTGGAAGAGTTAATGACATCGAGTTCAAAAACAGACTGGATGAGACGTGCAAAGTGGGGAGGAACACAGCACCTTGTCGAATGTGTGCCACAACCAACGAGGTAATCCTTACGTATAGGAAGATGGATATAGCACCGGTCGCGGATCTGAGTGCTTGCAATAAGCTGTGTAGATCACGAATGGGACGAGCCTTAAAAACGTGGGTTCCCAACTTCCTCAACTCCCAGCCAGATGCCTTCTGATGGCCAGTTCGTTTGAACGTGTTGCTTGTAAGGCGACTGCGGATTCCCACAAGGATCTTTTGCATTCTCGAATACCGGCGCTGCACGTGCATATATTGTACCGAAGCTGTCTTCTAGGTGAGGATTGAATATTGAATTCCTGCTGTCTCATCAGCAATGTCTTGTGTACTCGTATTGACTACAATAAAACAGACCCGCCGACTCACCACGAACCATACTGTTTGCCCGATAATTCAAGATCCCGGAAGGCTTCTTGTGCATATATTAGGCTACAATCGGTTGCTGCGGAGCACTAAAATCTTGGGCGCCGACTATGTCTTCCCTGAACACTGAGGTACAAGAGCATGTTGGTTACCGTGCCACGTCAGACGTTGCAAGGTCATACCCGATGGGTAAACGGTGTTGTGCACCTGCCTGGAGGATAACGGATCATCACATGTTCGGTGGACGGCTCACTCCGACTATGGGACCTAGAGAGCGATTATACGTACAAGAGAGAACTGGCGAGATGAGAATGATGCAGGAGTGTGGTCCATGGTATTATCTCCAAATGGCAAGACTGTTGCCACTTGCTAGCGGAAGTGAGGACGGGAAAGTGAAGTTATGGAACGTCGAGGTTATTGCCAAATGGTCAGTGCACACCAAATGTCGTGTGTGCATCAAACAAAAAATGTGTACACATGAGACGTCCTCAAAGAAGCTGGTGTTGAAGACCTTGATCTAAAGCTCGTGGTTCTTCTGTGAAAATTTCCCCCTCATGTACAACCTGTTCCTACCGGTAACCGAAATAATTTAAGCGAACCGTGCTTCTGGAATAAGAACACCCCTATCTCACGTGACAGGGCGGGCGTCGGGATATCTCCATATAAGTCCTCAGGGCGGTGTATGTAGAGCGTGCCAGCGTGGTGGTCATGGGCACCATCATTTTCCACACTTCCACACCAATTAACCCGTTCGAGTCAGTGATAGGGGCACACTATTTAATCCTCTCCGTTCTACTCTCATCTCTTCTCAACTTTTCCATGCCTCGCAAGAAAGCCATCTCCTCCACCGACGCCGCTGGCGTTCCGATACCAGTGTCATCGCGCTCCACCAGGGCTGCCACGAGGCAGACAAACGCCGCACCTGCTTCTAAAGCAAAACCCGTGTCCCAACCAGCAAAACCCGTCTCCAAGCCAAAATCATCCAAGAAGCGCGTCCGCGACGATGATGAAGCAGATACCGTCCCTTCTAAAATTGCCAAGCTGCACAAGGACGATGACACTAGTGACAACAAGGCGGACAGCGACTCAGAAGCGAAGAAGATGGTGAGTATTGGATGCCCCATAAGTCATACAGCCAGATGCTTACCTCTCAACTTCCAGGTTACTGTTGTAAAACGAGGTGCTGCTCCGGTAGACCCAACATCCGGTCTCATTTGTAAGTATTATAATTACGCATCGAGAGCGTGGAAATGACCGGCATGTCTAGTAACACATCAAGTCTACTCGAATGCTGAAAGTGTTTGGGATGCAATGCTCAACCAAACTGAGGTTGGCTCTAACAAGAACAAGTGAGCACACGCGTGCATGAATAATTTTTTGTTCTCATCAGGCACATAGATTTTATGTCATACAACTGCTGCATCCTATTGGCAATGACACCCAATGCTCCCTCTATACGCGTTGGGGCCGCGTTGGTGAGAACGGTGCAAGCCAAATCAAGGTTGGTCCCACCATTTGAATTTTACACTAGAAACTGATTATGTTAGGGACCATGGCCATCTGCTTCTGCCATTGGCGAGTTTAAGAAGCAGTTCAGGTCGAAATCTGGAGTTACGTGGCCTCAACGCTTTGGCATGGTGGCTGCGAAGGGTAAGTGGTTATTTCCTGGAAGTACAACCCTCACATGAACACCGGATAATCAGGAAAATATACATGGTTAGGTAAACGCACTCTTAGGTTCAAACGCGAAGGAGTAACCTGATATATTCTCCAGAACGTGTATTCGAGGATGAAGATAGCAAGGCGGAAAGCAGTGGCAGCAACTCCAAAGAAGATGAACCTGTTCCGGAATCCAAGTTGCTACCTGAGTTGCAGGTAATTAGAGAAAACAACTTCCTTACCTGCGCTAATACAATCAATGGTCGTGGCAGGCATTCTGCAACCTTATCTTCTCATCCAAGTAAGTGTCGTAGCCTGAATTCTCATAGCGTCAACTGATCTATGTAGACTTATTGATGCCCACTTGTCGTCGATGAATTATGACGCCAATAAGCTTCCACTTGGTATATCACATCCTTTGATGGGAGTTGTTCGACTATTTACAGTCTTGCAGGCAAACTCGCAAAGTCAACGATTCTCAATGGGTTTGCAGCATTGAAGGTTCGCTCATCGCCACGAAATATTTGTCTGAAGTATCGATTTAACGATTTCAGAAACTTGCGGAAGTGGTCGAGCATCCGGATGGCGACATGGCAAAGTCTCTAGGTGGCTTCCAAACCGCCTGTGAAACGCTTACTTCGGAATACTATTCGTGTGTCAAGTGGAAATTTAAGTGTTTATTGCTCTGATGCGAGTTTTTGGCAGCATAATCCCTCATGTATTTGGGCGCACGAGGCCCACTGTAATCAGAGACCAGGATCTTTTGAAAAGGGTAATACAACTGGGCTTTGTCGCAACTCTTATGCTTACATTTCCACAGGAACTGAATCTCGTCGACGCTCTGGGTGACATGGTATGGGAACCGTATTCGTGCATATTGATTGGCTCACCGTGTGTCATGTCAGGAAATCGCCCATAAACTCATAAATGATTCCATCAATGTTGACGACAACGGGAAGCCACTTAACCCGCTGGACGCGCACTTCCGCTCGCTGGGTCTCAATTCGATGGATCCTGTCGCTCCAGACAGCTCGGAATTCAATGCTCTCGCACGTTACATCTCCGACACGCATGGACAGACGCATCACTTCAGGTCGGCAGTTCTACATGCATTTAGGGTGGAGAGAGGGGCAGAGACTTCTGCATGGCTAGCGAAGGGTTACGATAAGCTTCCTGCTGGTGATCGGATGCTCTTGTGGCACGGTTCTAGGACGACCAACTTCGCTGGTAAGAAATGTGCGAAATATACCGCAAGTCATAGACTCACAGCTTTACTTCAGGTATCCTCAAACAGGGTCTTCGTATCGCCCCTCCGGAGGCGCCTGTTACGGGTATGTCACTGAAGATTGTTTATACACGTACAGCGTACTGACATACAATTCAGGCTACATGTTTGGCAAAGGTGTCTACTTTGCAGATGTGAGTACTTGATTGTTGTCCCATACCATAAACTAACCTGTTGCCTAGATGATGTCAAAAGTAAGTTTGGAAGGGCATTTGCGAGCATCGATGGTTGATGTCTGTCCCATTCCAGTCTGCAGGCTACTGCTACGCTAGGTGAGTAATGCAACATTCTCGAAGGGCGCCTCACTAACCTTGATGGATAGCTTGAGTAACAAAATAGGCGTGTTACTCCTCTGTGAGGTGGCTGCAAAACCGTTCCTCGAGATGAACAATGCAAATTACAATGCCGATGAGGACTGCAAGAAAAGCAAAAAGTTGTAAGTGCAATCTCCACTGGTTCCGCATGCAGGCTTCTTAAGCTGCTCGTACCGCCAGGGCAACGAAAGGGGTAGGTATGGTACAACCTACCAATTGGCAAGATGCTGGTATGGCGCTTGGCCACAAAGAACTTGAGGGCGTTTACATGCCCAAGGGAGAGGCATCGCAGGTCAACCCCCCTGGTGCCTTTCTTATGTACAATGAGGTTCGTGATTGCGATGAAATGTTACTGTGTCAGCTCACATTTCGCTAGTACATCGTCTATGACCCATCCCAGATCCGCTTGCGGTACCTGCTCATGGTAAAGATGGATTGAGTAAGATTGAGTCGGGACATATATGTAGCCTCACTTTTCTTCTGTTGGGAACTACTATACTTGATGGTTTCCATTAGACATGAATTCATTGATCTCCCCTAAGAAGAGTTCAGTGCTATTATCGAAGGAAGATACCCATCCCTTTGTATCAAGTTTAAATAGGTTTAAACAACGCTCACACTTGGCTCTGGCCGAGTGTTGGTCTGTGCGCATACTTGTCACTGATTGTGACGTTTGCCTGCCACTATTCATGCTATTGTCAATACACTGTGAGAAGTAAAAACCCCAATTTTCATTGTGTAGAATAAGCTATAGGGCCAGTTAAAGTGGCAACACTCGCTAATAGTGTTGTGGGCAGAACTGGCAGAATTTCATAGCGCTAGAGTACTAACTACATACATGGATGGACCACTTCGTGGGGTAGTAATGCATTACCTATTGTAGTTGCAAGTTAGACGTATTGTATTATAGTGTATCTGATCAGCTAGTATAGATATGTTGAATTGGTGAAACTTACCACATAGTAGACGGCGTCTCCTGGGACAATGGTGTAATTAACGAGCGTTGGCTTCGCAGCATAGACAACTTTCCAGGTCTTCATGAGAATATAAATAAGTGCATCGTCCTCGATGAGCCATGAACTTCCCGATTTCGTGATGGACACGCCCCTTGTTTTTCCACAGAATGCAAATACTAAGACAGTTCTGGAGTTATGGCGTCTCCGGGCTGATGATCTACTAGGCGAGGGAAGCTTTGTACGCCCATGCTGTCCTCCGTCATTCTATGCCTGGCATTCTCTTAGGGACGGGTGTACAAGGCCACTCGAGTAGTCACCGATCAGATCATGGCTGTAAAGAAATCCCGAGCATCTCTTGCACTCAAAACCACCATCTTGGATCATGAGCGACGGGTTCTGCAGCGTCTGCAGGGGCACCCTTCCATTCCAAAAGTCTTCGCCCTATGGACGATTGGAGCATTTCGAGTATCTTGCTATGCAGCTCCTCGGGATGAACCTTGGTGAAGTACAAGCACGCCGTCCTCTACCTGCAGCAAACACCTTAGTGGTTGCTGATCAGATGGTATGTAGCATGAGCCATCTCTAGTCCATCAGTAGGCTCATGCTGACCTTGCGCTAGATCTCGGCTCTCGAACACATACACAAGAACAAACTTGTCCACTGCGACATCAAACCCGGGAACATCATCCTCCACCCCACCGATCCCAAGCGCTTGTATCTGGTCGACTTTGGGCTCACCCGGGCTATTGCACATGAGGCCCAACCCAACCTCTCTACGGATGAACCCCTAACATCGCATGCCATTGGTACGCTGGAGTACGTCAGTTTGAACATCCATTGTCACATTCGCAAGTTGGCCCAGTATTATATGCTTCCCTCTTACCTGACAGGACTGTAGGATCAGCTTCGCGTGACGATATAGAATCTCTTGGCTATACGCTCCTCAGTCTTGCTCGGGGAGACCTTCCATGGACATACAACACTCGGCATGGAACAAGCAAGAATCAGGAAGTTCAAGTTAGAATCAAAAAGCAGCAATTTAGCGGTGCTGACATGTCCCCAGATGGCTTACCTTGCTTTGGTCAAATGATCGACTACGCACGCAGCTTGAAGTTTGATCAACTACCAGACTACTAACTGCTGCGCTTGCAAATACAAGAAACCCGTGCACTGGCTGGCTTGCTGGATCCTGCTACAATCAACTGGAATATTCCGGCTGAGGCTTCGTCAGGTCTGCTGATTTTCACTGAACATCTTTCTTTCGACTGAGCGCTCCTCATAGACTCTCCGTCGCTTCCCCGTATATGCGTGGACACCATTCCCCTCTGCCCTGGACAAATTGTATGCTGCCAAATCGATGTTCGCACAACTATTGAGGGCTACAGCGCTCGAGCGGGTGATCCATTGTTCTGTCGGGATCCCAGTCTCTCCCCTGAAAAATGGGACACAGCGGTCCGCCCTGCGGTTGTTCTCCGAGTTGGAATAGACGAACGAAGCAAGCTCCAGAGTATTGTAGTCGTCTGTATCGGACAAGGAGTCCTCTCTTCCACTGACATGAATGTTGTTCCCATCTCCTCCTCGCCTACTGAGGGCAGTTTGACGCCGAGTCCCGCTTGGCCGCTCTCTGACTCCTACTGCTACATATTTCCTCGGCTGATGCGATTTGTGTGCTACCCGGGCGAGGAACTTCATATTCCCTCTCGTACTTAAACCAGCCAAGCTGATTTGATCTATCTAGGTCCAACCTGTTCCTTCTCACTGGACGATCAGCAAAACCGACGTCGATCTCCTCCTCCAGAAGTTTGGTAATCACACGTTCGCACACACGTTACCGTACCTGGACCGATATATTGCTTACCAACATCCTTTTGTCAAGATCACTGCATTTGGCCCGGATTTTTCTCGTGGTAATGGGGAAGGCATGCCCATCGAATGGGGAGGACGCAGAGCATGGTACGACGAGTGGCAAACTGTCAAAAAGCGTCGCGAGGAACTTGACCTTGACCAGGGCTCGAGCGATTATAAACGCGCTCTGCCCGAAAGTTATTTCGCCTCGGACCTTTCGCAATGGGGGGGTTTACAGATGGAACTGAGCTCATCTGTGACGGCGGGTGTGGATGACAGTGACGCTGGGTTGCCTCTGCTGCCCCTGATCGTTGATGTCGAGATGCCTCGCGATGTGCGTTTCATGAGAGCTTTGTGATGCCATACTGTACAATGTGCATGCCAACCTGCAATTGATACTTTCAATTCCGAACTCCTTAGTTGGGTTTTGTCGGCAAGAAATCTGTCAAAGTTTACTGCCGAAAGGGTAGCTGGACTTACATAACGTGTAAATGACATTGTGATGAATGCGAACGCTACACAAAATTTAGTTGGTCTACTGGTAACAGTAATTCCGTATCTAATGTTCCTGATGCAATAGCGATAAGCTACTCGCTGTGCGGCACCTCAGGCTTGAGCAAGGACGATTAGATTGATCCATCAAAACCAAAGGCAAAAGATAACATAGGTAACACGAATCTAAGCCGGTGTTATATACACCACGACATATATAGGCATACTAGAAATGTTGTGGACGGACTGGAAAGGGAGAGGTAGGCTTGATGAACTCAGGCACTCGGGCCCGGGGTGAATGTAAGTAGGACAGACTGCCGCACGCGCATAACCGCTACACAAAAGGTAGAATGCTGAAGCTTAGCCAGCAACAGTACATGTACTGATTATGGGAACTCAGGTACTAAGCCGACGTGCTCACCGTGAACTTTAAAAGAACATGCTGTACGATGCACGGCGGCCATCATGAAGAAGAGTAAATATATGAGACGCGCCCATACCTGAGGCTGTGCCCTTCATCACTCTTCGTCCTTCCTAGCATCCTGGCAAGACCAAATCCCATGTAAGCATCACGCACGGAGGAACTGACTACTGATTGGAGCAGCAAAGTGCAACAGCTTTCGAGCGAATGAGAGTTTAAATTGACCCAACGACAAGCCTAGCCTTACAGAGCACAAGAAGAACTCACCGAACACATCCATTAACTGACATCTTCTGGCCAATGTAGCTGTGATGGCTTCCAGCTCGATGCAACCCGATACAACAGAAAACAAATCGATTCTGACGCCAGTCATAACCTTGGAGGGACATCAAGCATGGAAATATTCCTCTCACGAGTACAAAGATATTTCGTGGATTTCCTATTCTCCTGACGGCAAGCACTTAGCAAATGATCAGCGGATCGGGGGATAAGACGATTCGGCGATGGGACCTGCGGGAGGGTAAGGAGATTGAGGAGTCTCGGGAGGTTTGCAAGAATGGTGTCACGTGTATATGAATTGCCAAGGGTATCAAGGGACATGGTCGATGGGTTGTGACTCATGCATGAGTACTTGAGTGCCAACTCTCTCGAACCTGATGCACTGATGAACAGACTAACCATCAAGAAATGATTTGATAACTTGAACGTACATGTTACGGACTCAAACATAGTACAAGCGTCTAGCAAAATAACAACAGTCTAACGGATTCGATACACAAATGAATACTGCCCAGCATTATACATCCTATCGTCTGTCTTCTAATTGTACACGGATTCTTCTCACCGCGACAAGGAGGAAATGTATGCAACTTCGATGGGCGGCGTAACCTTAATATCTTTGTGGTCGTACTCATATGCGCCGTTTGTATGGTTGGCTTGACTCTGTTTCTGCGCAACGAGCGCACAGAGGGCGGCTGGGACAAATTCAGAATGGAGGCCAAAGAGCTGAATTGGTTAGACCTACCACCCGCACCGCTTCCATCCTTGGCCATACCAATATCGACACGGCTTTCCACCTCGGGACCAACAAGCGCTCGTAACGATGCTCGCAGCTTGGTTTGGAAGTTGGGATAGAACTCGACCAAGCTTATCACATCCTGGTTAGCAAAAACTGAATAGAAAAGGCACCACTCCTACCTTCCATCTACCCCAACACCAATCCTTTTGCCTTCGTCCTTCAGCCCAGCAGAACTTTGCTCCCCGCGGACCCACAGCCGTGCTCTCCCAGTATGAACCAGTATAGCAGCTACAGCCGTTCCGCTCATGCGTGCAGCCCTCGATGCTATCAGATTGCACACTTGTCTGACGATGTCCGCATCCGCGAGGGAAATGTCAGGCGGCGACAACTCTAGTCGGTGCGCCAGTATTCCTTGTATCCGCCGTAACTTTTCCGCCTTTTGAGCTTCTGGGGAACCTTGTTCTGGTGGAGAGAACTTCCCAAGACCTTCCCATGCCTCTTCGATCTCGCTGAGAACTGCAGTGTCCAGTCCCCATTGCTTATTCAGTGGAACCGAGGATCGACCTCCGAAGAGGAGGGGTTGCGGAGCGGCATCAATCAAACTAAGAATCACGTTTCGGGTGATCTCCCCCAGATACATTCCCGAAATGAATTTCTCGAAAGCCTGGAAACGTGGGTTAATAGATTCGCGGTCCAACTTATTGTCATATGGAGTCGTTGGCAAGGCACTTCGCTGCAGTTCGCCATCAGTAATCAAAGTGATGGGATAAAAGAAGTTAATTCACAGAGTTGTTGAAAGCGCCCCACTCGGTGTTCACGATCATTTCACCACCTGCGGCAACTGTATGGTTCTGGCTTAATTTTGTGATCTTGGAGACTTCCTCGACATAAGCCCCATTAGTTCCTGTTCCAAAAATAGCACCTAGAATGCATCCGCCAGACGTATATGCTCGTGAAAGAAGAGCTCCAACGGTCTGTGACGAAAAGTCTCTCATCAGTACATACGGTCACGTGCAAAATTAAGATCTGCAGATGAAGGAATATTGACTGACGTCGTTGACGAGAGCTACACACTTGACATGAATGTGTTTCCGGTCAAACGCGTCTTGAAGAAGTTTTACGACGTCCTTTCCAATGGCATTTTTTGCAGAGAAACCTTTGGTCCAGGTGAGGAGGACGCCTGAATCGAGAGCAGATTGTTCCACAGGGAAGGAGAAGGTGAGGGCCAGGGGAACATATGGACTGTCCTCGTCAGCGTGAGATACGTGAGAGTCGTAGTCTTGGGAAGGGGTGTCCGTGAGGAAGGCATCCACGGAGTCGGCAAGGTAATCTGGGAAAATATTAAACGATAATGGCGAGGGAAAGGACAAAGGTCGCACCGAAAAGAGTGGTCGCCTCACCGGTCTTGAGGGCCTCAGAGACTTTGTATTTTTGCTGCCGGAGGGAGAAGGTCTTGTCTCCGAGCAGAGTGACCTCGCAAACGCGACTGACAATCCATAAGGCAAATGAAAAGATGGTAGAGTTTTGTACTCACAGGTTAGTCCCACCAAGATCGAGGGCGAGGAACGTTCTAGGATACTCAGTCAGGTGCAGCAATATGTAGGGTAGTCCACATACCCCGTTTCGGAACCATCTGGCACACCATTTACGAAGGTCGGACTATCTGACAATCAGATCAGGAACAAGACACAACTTGGAAGCAGGGAAACGTGCATCATCGCCATGGGACGACCATAACTGGACAAACCATCGGAAATTTCTGATAGAAATGTTTGAGTGATCTTGAAGAGACGCTGATCATCGATAGTGAATTGGTTGTAGAGCGACTGGAGGATATCCTCCTTTGCGCTGCCATGAAGCGCGGTGGTGTGTGACATGGCGGGACAGGAGAGAAACGGACTGGTTAGCGCGAGACAGTGTGAGTAGTCTAAGATAAGCTAATAAACCCCCTTTATAGTAAGAATACGATCACTATGCTATTGGACACCAACGTTCTCTTACAGACTCCACCAATCCTCGCTCAAATCTCAATCATATCCCTCAAGGGTTAAGGCCTCACAATCCGCGGTGATCTTGTTCCCCGAGAATCTCGGTTCGCAAGTCTCATCAAGTTAAACATAGTCTGTAAGGCGACTATTAGACCAGCTTTCGGAATTAGTAGTTCGGTCGATTAGGTCGACATATCTACAGAGCGTTCATCGATAGTATATCATCGGCCCGTGACTAACTTATCAGTCGCACATCACCGAGCAAGCTCCAGCTCATATCAAGCTCATCTGCCTCATTTTCTGAGAGGTTTCGACTGAAAAAGATTATCTCCGTGTAGTACCACTATTATGTAGTTAAAGCCTGGTCAGAGAACATAATAAATATACTGGTATCCTTTTCTGGATGAGTTCGCTTTGTTAGGCAAGACTATGTGTGTCGTGGTCAAGTCCATTTACATATCGCGCCCATGGCTATCGACGGTTTGATTATCCTAGATCCAACGGGGTATGGTTCATCATCTTTGCTCATTGGTTACTATAATCACAAGATTTTGCATACAGACGTCCCATCATCCAATCCAGTTACACCACTTATCCGGCAGCGTACCCCTTACTGCACATCGAAGCGTTAAACAACGCGCTAGCAAAGGCTCCCCGCGAGGGTAGCGTAGACCCGGTTATCTACGTTGAAGAGTTATCGTGTTCCAGTGCATGCTGCCATGTTGAGGTTGGCGGGATGAGATTCCTTGCGACCATCAGTGGAGACGGTGAGTGGTCCGCAGCTCAGTCATAAACGGCGCGTTTGGGCTTTTCTCGGGCAGCAACTAACAATCCTCTATCAGTGGATCCCCTCATTGCATTCGCCTTTCTCGACGCCTTCACTGAAATACTCCAAGACTATTTTGGCGTAGTCAGTGTTGCAACGCTCAAGGATAACTTTGACATCGTATACCAGGTTCGTGGACGTGCTCTTACCCTTGATGTTTACTCGTATTGAATGTGTATCTAATCGCAGCTTCTCGAGGAAACGCTTGATTCGTCTGGCCACCCACTGACAACCTCACCGAACTTGTTGAGCGATATAGTACTCTCGCCTTCCTTAATCTCGAAGCTTCTCGCCTCGGTATCGCCAGCTACTCCCGGAGTTCCAAGCGTGAGACAAGGAGGTTAGTCACCTATTTCATTCGCAGTTGTTGAAAACTGCCTTAACATACTCTCGATAACATAGGTTCTTTCGGTTCAAATGGTGCCAGTGGAGCTTTTACATCGCCGATACCATGGCGCAAAGCTGGGGTTCGGCACAACCACAACGAGATCCTTTTTGATGTCGTTGAAGAAATGCGAGGCATCGTCGGCAAGTACGCTCGAGGTTTATATCAGCCCGTCTTTGTTGTTGAAACCGTTCAAATACAGGAATGGTACAACGTTAGTGAGCAACGTTTTCGGCAAAATTGAGAGCAACTCGAAACTTTCCGGGACACCCGACTTGACGTTGACATTCACGAATCCTAATGTGATGACGGACTGTGCATTTCATCCATGTGTACGGTGAGTGGTCTTGCGAATCTATCATCCTCGCACTGACAGTAATTCTTAATTCGACTTTAGGTTACAGAAATGGACCCGCGACAATGCCTTATCTTTTGTGCCTCCTGAGGGGCGTTTCATTCTCGCAGACTATCAGTATAGACCACCACAAAGCGCGGTTGTCAGCAATGTGCCCATACCACTGTCTCTCAAAGCGAATATGGACATGGGAGAGTTTGGCGGTAAAATTGATTACTGATGTTTTAAGTCGTAACTGACACTGCGCAGGAACATTCGCACTCACGTTAACCTCGCGTTTGATTAAAGTGATGGAGAATCTAGAACTGAAATTCTATCTCGGAGAAGATGCGACCAGCGCGCAGTGTACACTGTCAAGTGCGGGTTCTAGCGTAGGATCTGTGGGAAGTGCAGATGGATCATGGTCATTTAATTCGAGAACAAAGGTACGCTTTGCCGGTGGTTCGTGCTGTCCAAAAAATCACTCCCTTTAGACGCTCCAATGGGAGATTCTCAATATGCGGTCTTCGGGGAGCTGGATTCTTCGAGGTTCATGGACGTCAAAGTAAGGAGCTTTGAAATAACTTTCACGAATGTGTGATGCTTATAGTTGCCCAGAATCAAGGCCCCGCGTCCAGCACACGCGTTCCAAATACGTTTCGAGATACCCTCTTACAGCTTCTCTTCGCTCAAAGTCGATCAATTGCGGCTCTCAAGCGAGACGTACAAGATGTACAAGGGAGTCCGGATGCGCAGTAAAGGGTCGATCGAGTGGAGATGGTAGCCAGCTTAGGACCCTGGCTAATTTGTATATTTCCAAGAGTTGCACTGTCCAGACTTAGACTGTACGAGTCCTCTGAGAGCTGGCACAATTGCTTCCGTGATGAGTTGCTTTGTTCACAGTAGTAAGTTCTCGGATGCTTGCATGTGAACATCTTCAGCATTCCAATGATATTATTGGGGCGGACACAGGGCTTCGACACTTTCTCGGGAGTAATTATACTCGGTAAGCCAATCTGCTTCCATTGTCAGAGCTGCCTCATCGTCACGGAACAGTGCCGGATTGTATTTGATTCGTCAATTGAAACAAGATGGCCAGCCTATGAAATGAGAAGCGATATACCAGCGACATATTCCCGAAATTGATTGCTGCCGCGTAAAAGAGTTCGGCGCGCAGCCGTATTCAAATCAGCTAAGTGATGTGTCGGACCTTGAAATCAGGGAGGGCAGTTGTTCCTTCTTGTTGAGCATAACCCAAACTCTGGCATTCTGTCATGAAGATCTGGTTCGCAGATGGGTCTATAGGAAGAACGGGCCTGGGACGATTTGGTGAATTTTGTGATTTCTTGTCCTGTTGCCCTTTAACCGGTCCTGGTTTGATTTTGATCTCAACGAGGAACAGGATGTAAAAGAGAACAGTGAGCAGAAAAAGCAGGCGAAGATGTTACTTGCTCAAGGACGTGCTGGCTAATTCAAATCAATCTTATCCCCACCAAACAACAAAGCAAGGTTTTTACAAGCCGGCGTTCGGCGAGTCTCGAGCATACCTCGTTCGTGTCAACCACAAGGCGTCTGTGAGCATACTTTTGGTCTACCTTGATGTATTCGGTAACCGTAAACCTTTGAGTGGCATTTATCTGTGTCACTATGCCTGCAGTTTCGAAGCTTGTGCCAGACGAGACTGTATTCTTCCTCTGCGACGTGCAAACACGTTTCAATACGCTTCATTCTGAATCTACTGCGAATCGCTGAAATCAACCGTTGTGCCATTCTCTCAGAAAATCTCATATTCGGTATTGATGAGCTGGTGTTGACAATCAACAATATGCTCAAGGTTGCTAGCTACGAACGAGTGCTTTTCAATTGCAACGTGCGCTTTTCATTCTAGATTATGGGGTCCCAGGCCTACTCATTAATTTTAGGGGATGCTGGTGTTCCCGGGTTCAAATCGTTCTCAAACGTTGTGAAGGAAGAGAAGGATAACACGGTAAGAACGTTGCAGAAGCTGTTACAACACCGCGCTGTCCTGTAGACTATGATTTGCCTGCAGTGATTTGCCATGATTGCGTATCATATTTTCCCACTCGAGAGAGGATCCGGAGAGCTTTACACTCCGGCAGATCTTGAGGCTCTCAAAAGTATGTGGATCTTGAAGGGCTAATGGATATAAGAACTTACGCGCATGTAGTATCGAGTGATGAACGACACAGATCAACTACGTCAATGATAATGTTGGTAGTGGTGAGTCCGAGAGACGATGTTGGATGTCCATTGAAAATGTCGATTGATGCGCACATTTTCAGTACTTAAAATTTCCGTCTCAGCTGCTAGAGCCGCGATGCACACAATGCAGCCTTCGGCGATGAATACTCAAGCTCAGACGAATGGCGTGGCATAAATCAGGGCATTGAAATCGCTCCTCACGTCTCTTTCAGTCAGTCAATGTTGAGTGTTCAAATTACAAATTCAAAGGCGCCTCCATTGCCCATGAAGCAGGGGAAATTGTCTAGACTCCAGGAACAACTACATTGACCAACTCAGCAACGGACTATGTATTGTGCCATCAGTACAGCACTAATGCGAAAGCAGAAATATGATTCACCGTCCAGATGTGCTCACAGACAGGTTGCCAGCCATCGGTAAGCAGTCTTAGTTGCAGACTGGTTGAGCGCCAGGCTATTAACAGCAAGGGGTGGTGAGCAACGGGGTTGAATCCTGGATGCAAAACAAACTACTCGTACTCACCACCATCGCAGCACAGACATTACTGCAGCATTCATACTTGCTTTTGCAGCCCTTCAAATAAGGCTTGCACTGTGCAGCGACAGACATAGATGCCGCTAAGGCAGTCACGACTACGAGAAAGGAGAAATGCATGATTTCCGCGAAGTGATACAAGCTTTGTAAAAGGGACTCTGATCATGAGCTACTGAAGCAGACGAAGCTTGCTTTAATACACTGAAAACATTATTGCGGGAAAAACTTGGAAGTTCTGCTTTGGAAAATTGGTTGCGCCTGGATGGCAGAACTTCACAACGGATAGTTTAGGATGAATCCCAGAATCAGAACCTGCCTTGTATGTGTATATCTCCAGTCGATTCATCGTCGGCCACGTTATCTCAAAAGAATGAAAGCCCGAGTAGTATCCTGCAGTCTAGATCGCTAATAATCTCGTTTGATAACATGAATAGTTCTGGCAAAACCTGCTCCAGCTGCAGGGTTGTCGTCGTTCGGAGTCCTCTCCTCCTGGCTGCGTTTCTCCACTGTCTTTCATCTCGAACGATGTCCGCGATAAGCTCTGAGCAATGCAGTCCGAGCGTCGACGATCCCGGACAATCGCCACATTGACAAAGGCCAGAATCCACCTCTGCACATTGAAGCTCCGATCTGGTTCACTCACATCTTCACTGACACCCGGAACGGTATATCTATATCAGATGAAATTGGACTGCAAGCTGGCATGACGGATGCTAGGTGAGCACGCCATGTCGAGGGTGTATCGACGACAGCTACTGCAGAAACTTGAAGTTAAGTCCAGCTACCCTTTCGGCAGTAAACTTTGACAATTGAACATGACCTTGCGGAGCAAGGTGATTTCTTGCCGACAAAACCCAACCAGGGAGTTCGGAATTGTAAGTATCAGTTGCAGGTTAGCATCCACATTGTACAGTATGGCATCATGAAGCTCTACATAAAACGCACATCGCGAGACATCTCGACATCAACAATCAGGGGCAGCAGAGGCAACCCAGTGTCACTGTCATCCACACCCGCCGTCACAGATGAGCTCAGTTCCATCTGATAAACCCCCCATTGCTCCAAGTCCGAAGCGAAATAACTTTGGGGCAGAGCGCGTTTATAATCGCTCGAGCCCTTGTCAAGTTCCTCGCGACGCTTCTTGACAGTCTGCCACTCGTCGTACCATGCTCTGCGTCCTCCCCATTCGATGGGCATGCCTTCCTCATTACCATGAGAAAAATCCGGGCCAAATGCAGTGATCTTAACAAAGGGATGTTGGAAAGCAATACGTCGGTCCAGGTACGGTAACGTGTGTGCGAACGTGTGATTACCAAACTTCTGGAGGAGGAGATCGACGTCGGTTTCGCTGATCGTCCAGGGAGAAGGAACAGGATGGACCTAAATAGATCAAATCAGCTTGGCTGGTTTAAGTACGAGAAGGAATATGGAGTTCCTCGCCCGGGTAGCACACAAATCGCATCAGCCGAGGAAATATGTAGCAGTAGGAGTCAGAGAGCGGCCAAGCGGGACTCGGCGTCAAACTGCCCTCAATAGGCGAGGAGGAGATGGGAACAACATTCATGTCAGTGGAAGAGAGGACTCCTTGTCCGATACAGACGACTACAATACTCTGCAGCTTGCTTCGTCCGTCTATTCCAACCCGGAGAACAACCGCAGGGCGGACCGCCGTGTCCCATTTTTCAGGGGAGAGACTGGGATCCCGACAGAACAATGGATCACCCGCTCGAGCGCTGTAGCCCTCAATAGTTGTGCGAACATCAATTTGGCAGCATACAATCTGTCCAGGGCAGAGGGAAATGGTATCCACGCATACAAGGGGACACGACGGAGAGTCTATAGAGGAGCGCTCAGTCGAAAAAATATGTCCAGTGAAAATCAGCGGACCTGACGAAGCCTCGGCCGGAATATTCCAGTTGATTATAGCAGGGTCCAGCAAGCCAGTTAGTGCACGGGTTTCTTGTATTTGCAAACGCAGCAGTTAGTAGTCTGGTAGTTGATCAAACTTCAAGCTGCGTGCGTAGTCGATCATTTGACCAAAGCAAGGTAAGCCATCTGGGGACATGTCAGCACCGCTAAATTGCTGCTTTTTGATTCTAACTTGAACTTCCTGATTCTTGCTTGTTCCATGTCGAGTGTTGTATGTCCATGGAAGGTCTCCCCGAGCAAGACTAAGGAGCGTATATCCAAGAGATTCTATATCGTCGCGCGGAGCTGATCCTACATTCATGATTCCTGTCAGGTAAGAGGGAAGCATATAATACTGGGCCAACTTACGAATGTGACGATGGACGTTCAAGCTGACGTACTCCAGCGTACCAATGGCATGCGATGTCAGGGGTTCATCCGTAGAGAGGTTGACATGTACAATAGCCCGGGCGAGCCCATGGTCGACCAGATACAAGCGCTTGGAATCGGTTGGGTGGAGGAGTATGTTCCCGGGTTTTATGTCGCAGTGGACAAGTTTGTTCTTGTGTATGTGTTCGAGAGCCGAGATCTAGCGCAAGGTCAGTATGAGCCTACTAATGAACTAGAGATGGCTCATGCTACATACCATCTGATCAGCAACCACTAAGGTGTTTACTGCCGGTAGAGGACGGCGTGCTTGCACTTCACCAAAGTTCATCCCGAGGAGCTGCATGGCCAGATACTCGAAATGCTCCAATCGTCCATAGGCGAAGACTTTTGGAATGGAAAGGTTCCCCCCCAGACGCTGCAGAACCCGTCGCTCATGATCCAAGACGGTGGTTTTGAGTGCAAGTGAAGCTCGAGACTTCTTGACAGCCATGATCTGACCGGTGACTACTCGAGTGGCCTTGTACACCCGTCCCTGAGAGAATGTCAGGCATAGAATGACGGAGGACAGCATGGGCGTACGAAGCTTCCTTCACCCAGTAGATGATCGGCTCGGAGGCGCCATAAATCCAGAACTGTATTAGTATTGGACATTCTATGGCAAAACAAGGGGCGTGTTAAGAACGGTGGAGCTTCGAATCAAAATGATATGACAATTATTTAATATTAGGGGAGCTCAAAGTTAAAACGCCCAACTATATAGGACAAAAATTTGACTTAAAAAAAACGCCCAACGCCCAAGCCCGCACTGTTATGCTCGGTAAGCCAATCTGCTTCCATTGTAAGAGCTGCCTCATCGTCACGGAACAGTGCTGGATCGTATTTGATTCGTCGATTGAAACAAGATGAGAAGCCTATAAGATGAGAAGCGATATACCAGCGACATAAATTGATTGCTGCCGCGTAAAAGAGTTCGGCGCGCAGCCGCATACCTCCTTCAAATCAGCCTAGTGGTCAAGTTATCCCGTGTCGGACCTTGAAATAAGGGAAGGCAGTCGTTCCTTCTTGTTCAGCATAACCCAACCTTTGGCATTTTGTCATAAAGACCTGGTTGGCAGATGGGTCTATAGACTGGGACGATTTGGTGAATTTTGTGATTTCTTGTCCTGATACCCTTTAACCGGTCCCGGTTTGATTTGGATCTCAATGAGGAACAGGATGTAAAAGAGAACAGTGAGCAGAAAAAGCAAGCGAAGATGTTACTTGCTCAAGGACGTGCTGGCTAATTCAAATCAATCTTATCCCCACCAAACAACAAAGCAAGGTTTTTACAAGCCGGCGTTCGGCGAGTCTCGAGCATACCTCGTTCAAGTTTGTGTCGACCACAAGGCGTCTGTGAGCATACTTTTGTTCTCCCTTGATTAACCATAAACCTTTGAGTGGCATTTATTTGTGCGGCCTATGCCTGCAGTTTCGAAGCTTGTACCAGACCAGACTGTATTCTTCCTCTGCGACGTGCAAACACGTTTCAGTACGCTTCCTTCTGAATCTACTGCGAATCGCTGAAATCAACCGTCGTGCCATTCTCTCAGAAAATCTCATATTCGGTATTGATGAGCTAGTGTTGACAATCAACAAGATGCTCAAGGTCGCCAAGGTATAATGTACGTGTCAACTCTATCATGCCTTGACTCACATAAAATCACAAGGTGGTGGATATCCCTGTGGTTGTCACGGAACAGAACCCCAAAGGCGAGTCCATTCTTGTTCCTTGTCTTTAAACTCAAGTTACCGAGAAATAAAGGCCTCGGAAGCACCATCCCGGACATCGATTTACCTTCCCTAGGGCCCCTTCTTGTCGCTACTGTCGAGAAAGGGCTCTTCTTCATGATGACGCCGGAAGTGAAGGCCATACCTCATGAACTCCCACAGATAAGATCTGTGGTACTCTCTGGCATCGAGGTTAGTTTACCCTACAACGACTGGGTCATTAGTAACATCGCTCGATTCAGTCACAAGTTTGCGTATTACAATCTGCTCTAGATTTCATCGAGGCGGGATATAATGTCCACGTGATAGCAGATGGTGTCTCTAGCTCTAATAAAGAAGAGATTCCATTGGCGCGGATTCGACAGAGTGGTGGATACATCAATACGAGCGAGAGTGCGGCTTTTCAATTGCAACGTGCGCTTTTCATTCTAGATTATGGGGTTCCAGGCCTACTCATCGATTCTAGGGAATGCTAGTGTTCCCGGGTTCAAATCGTTCTCAAACGTTATGAAGGAAGAGAAGGATCACACGGTGAGAACGTGGCAGAAGCTGCTACAACACCGCGCTGTCTTGTAGACTATGATTTCCCTGCAGTGATTTGCCTATCATATTTTCCCACTCAAGAGAGGATCCGGAGAGCTTTACACTCCGGCAGGTCTTGAGGCACTCAAAAGTATGTGCATCAAGGGCCAATAGATATAAGAACTTACGCATGTAGCAGTAATTTAGATTTCCGTCTCCTGCTACAGCTGCTATGCACACAATGCAGCCTTCGGCGATGAATATTAATGAATACTCAAGCTCAGACGAATGACGCGGGACAAATCAGGGCATTGAAATCGCTCCTCACGTCTCTTTAAGTCACTCCATAAAATTACAAATTCAAAGGCGCCTCCATTGCCCATGAAGCAGGGGAAATTGTCCAAACTCCAGGAACAACTACATTGTCATTGACCAACTCAGCAACGGACTATGTATTGTGCCATCAGTACAGCACTAATGCGAAAGCGGAAATACGATTCACCGTTCAGATGTGCTCATAGACAGGTTGCCAGCCATCGGTAAGCAGTCTTAGCCGCAGACCTTTTGACCACCACGCTATTGACAGCAAGGGGTGGTGAGCAACGGGGTTGAATCCTGGATGCAAAACAAACTACTCATACTCACCACCACCGGAGCACAGTTATGACTGCAGCAATCATTGTTCGTGTTGCAGAGCTTTAACCAGCCCTTGCACTGTGCAGCGACAGACATAGATGCTGCTAAGGCAGTAACGACTACGAGGAAGGAGAAATGCATGATTTACGCGAAGTGATACAAGCTTTGTAAAAGGGACTCTGATCATGAGCTACTGAAGCAGACGAAGCTTGCTTTAATACACTGAAAACATTCAAGTTATTGCGGGAAAAACTTGGAAGTTCTGCTTTGGAAGATTGGTTGCGCCTGGATGGCAGAATTTCACAACGGATAGTTTAGGATGAATTTATTGGAATCACAGAATCAGAACCTGCCTTGTATATCTCCAGTTGATTCATCGATCGTCGGCCACGTTATCTCAAAAGAATGAAAGCCCGAGTATGCAGTCTAGATCGTTAATAATCTCGTTTAATAACATGAATAGTATGAACTAGACGAGAATGACTCACATAGTAGAGACTTCGCGAAGAAAACTACAAGACAGCGCGATTCAGCAAAACCTGCTCCAACTGGTTGTCGTCCTCCCCTCCTGGCTGCGTTTCTCCAGTCTTTCATCTCGAACGATGTCCGCGATAAGCTCTGAGCAATGCAGTCCGAGTCAAAGCCATCCTGATGATTTGGGAGTGCATCGTATGCAATAAGTCTGGAAGGACGTTAATAATCTTTTGTTGAATTGGAAGAAATTGCAGTGGTAAAACCAGAAATCTATGTAGCCACACTTAGCCTTTGGGTACACGTGACTAGAAGATGGAAATTCATTCATTCACGTGTTTACTTTGATTCCTACTTACTAGCTTGCATAGTTGGCTTTCATGCAGCCATCAAGGTACCTCTGAGCTAATGTGAGCGTAGATGGCCAAAAATTAATTAATTAATTCACTCACACGCCCCCTGTCTTGTTTTCACCAGATGGAAAATACTAAGACCGTCATAGAGTCATGGTGTCTCCGAGCTGATGATCTACTAGGCGAGGGAAGCTTCGTACGCCCATGCTGTCCTCCGTCATTCTATGCCTGACATTCTCTTAGGGACGGGTGTACAAGGCCACTCGAGTAGTCACCGGTCAGATCATGGCTGTCAAGAAGTCTTGAGCTTCACTTGCACTCAAAACCACCGTCTTGGATCATGAGCGACGGGTTCTGCAGCGTCTGGGGGGGAACCTTTCCATTCCAAAAGTCTTCGCCTATGGACGATTGGAGCATTTCGAGTATCTGGCCATGCAGCTCCTCGGGATGAACCTTGGTGAAGTGCAAGCACGCCGTCCTCTACCGGCAGTAAACACCTTAGTGGTTGCTGATCAGATGGTATGTAGCATGAGCCATCTCTAGTTCATTAGTAGGCTCATAGGTGACCTTGCGCTAGATCTCGGCTCTCGAACACATACACAAGAACAAACTTGTCCACTGCGACATAAAACCCGGGAACATACTCCTCCATCCAACCGATTCCAAGCGCTTGTATCTGGTCGACTATGGGCTCGCCCGGGCTATTGTACATGTCAACCTCTCTACGGATGAACCCCTGACATCGCATGCCATTGGTACGCTGGAGTACGTCAGCTTGAACGTCCATCGTCACATTCGTAAGTTGGCCCAGTATTATATGCTTCCCTCTTACCTGACAGGAATCATGAATGTAGGATCAGCTCCGCGCGACGATATAGAATCTCTTGGATATACGCTCCTTAGTCTTGCTCGGGGAGACCTTCCATGGACATACAACACTCGACATGGAACAAGCAAGAATCAGGAAGTTCAAGTTAGAATCAAAAAGCAGCAATTTAGCGGTGCTGACATGTCCCCAGATGGCTTACCTTGCTTTGGTCAAATGATCGACTACGCACGCAGCTTGAAGTTTGATCAACTACCAGACTACGAGCTGCTGCGTTCGCAAATACAAGAAACACGTGCACTAGCTGGCTTATTGGACCCTGCTACAATCAACTGGAATATTCCGGCTGAGGCTTCGTCAGGTCTGCTGATTTTCACTGGTCATCTTTTCCGACTGAGCGCTCCTCTATAGACTCTCCGTCGTGTCCCCTTGTATGCGTGGATACCATTCCCTCTGCCCTGGACAGATTGTATGCTGCCAAATTGATGTTCGCACAACTCTTGAGGGCTACAGCGCTCGAGCGGGTGATCCATTGTTCTGGTGGGATCCCAGCCTCTCCCCTGAAAAATGGGACACGGCGGTCCGCCCTGCGGTTGTTCTTCGGGTTGGAATAGACGGACGAAGCAAGCTGCAGAGTATTGTAGTCGTATGTATCGGACAAGGAGTCCTCTCTTCCACTGACATGAATGTTATTCCCATCTCCTCCTCGCCTACTGAGGGCAGTTTGACGCCGAGTCCCGCTTGGCCGCTCTCTGACTCCTACTGCTACATATTTCCTTGGCTGATGCGATTTGTGTGCTACCCGGGCGAGGAACTTCATATTCCTTCTCGTACTTAAACCAGCCAAGCTGATTTGATCTATATAGGTCCAACCTGTTCCTTCTCCCTGGACGATCAGCAAAACCGACGTCGATCTCCTCCTCCAGAAGTTTGGTAATCACACCTTCGCAAACACGTTACCGTTGCGGGACCGATTCATTACTTTCCAACATCCATTTGTCAAGATCACTGCATTTGGCCCGGATTTTTCTCATGGTAATGAGGAAGGCATGCCCATCGAATGGGGAGGACGCAGAGCATGGTACGACGAGTGGCAAACTGTCAAGGAGCGTCGCGAGGGACTTGACAAGGGCTCGAGCGATTATAAACACGCTCTGCCCCAAAGTTATTTCGCCCCGGACCTTTCGCAATGGGGGGGTTATCAGATGGAACTGAGCTCATCTGTGACGGCGGGTGTGGATGACAAAAGTGATGCTGGGTTGCCTCTGCTGCCCGTGATCGCTGATGTCGAGATGTCTCGCGATGTGCGTTTTACTATGTAGAGCTTCGTCGTGCCATAGTAATGTACAATGTGCATGCCAACCTGTAGCTGATACTCTCAATTCCCAACTTTCTGGTTGAGTTTTGTCGACTTGGGATTGTTATCAACTTGTGTGATTACGTGATCCACGTACGTGAAGTACTCCGAGGAGATCGCAATGCCAAGCTAACACCGTACGTAAGTTCAAATGTCAATATCTCTACCCCTGCATCAACTACCCACTTCCCAGCGCCGACTCCTGGCAATGGCAGACACAGGAAAAGTTCATCGCCGCAGATCATCAAACTTCATAATAACCCATGACACAACAAGCTGTAGTGTCGCGATGCGATAGGCATTACGCATCTGTCATTCCAATCCTGCACACATTTGTATCGTCATGGTGCACTCGGAAGCCACCGAATCCAGAGACTTTATCACTCATAACGCACCCCGACGGCCCACTGTCAAACAATAGTGACCTTTCTAAAAGCCATCTGGTGAGCGTTTTCATTCAAACATATAATGATATTAATTTCGTCAAGAAAATTTTACATTGGCAGTACATACTACCTTGCATAACTGAACTGGATGCGCTTCAAGTTGCAGACAGGTACTCAAATATGTAAGTGCAATGAATGGACCATTGGTGGTCTGGTTTCTCATCCACCCTCCTTGCTAGGTCTCCTACTACTGATGCACACTGTCCAAAGGGTAGCTGGACTCAACTTCACTCAATGTCTAATTGACATCGTGACGAATGCGAACGCTACACAAAGTTTCGCTGGTTTACTCGATGGCAACGGATATCCCGTATCTAATGTTTCTGATGCGACAGCGATAAGCTACTCGCTGTGCACCTCAGTCTGTGGGACCGGACGGGAACCTTTTCAGTGGCCCGTATTTTCGCAAGATTTCAGTACATGGTTACTGCCAAATCTTGCACTGATCTCGCAGCTCCCTTTTGGGGCACAGTACAGGCTCGACAATCTCATGTCTGCTGTGTTAACTGTTGGGTCACCGGTACTCGCTGGTTACTCTTTATTCATCACCCTCCTCAATTCTCGCTGGATCAACCGCCGATTTAATCAATCGGTGGACTATCCCAATTCAGATTTCGCAGTCTCTATCTTGAGCAGCCTTCAGCAAGTTCCGCTAAGACTCCATCCCGGTCGTTTCCCCTCTCTTATCGTCCTGCCTGAAAATGGCTGCTGGTGGAAATGGTTCTCTGAATTTGTGGACTACACACACACATGGTCAATCGCATCCGCGACCTCCGTCGCCTGGGTCGTTGTCGCCTATATCATGAATGTAATCAACTCACCAGCAGATGTCTATACAAGTTCTCATTCCGACGGCGACGCCACTGGTTCACTGTGGCTGTGGTTGATCCCAATAGTCGTTGGATGGTTGCAACTCTCCCCCAAATGTGATTTTCGTCGCTTACAAGCGGCTTATAGCCATGCAGACAAGCATGCACACATAGGGCCAGCAGGTGCTCATATGGGAACGCCAAGTGCATCCGCCCGAAGAGCTTTAACAATAACTGCTCGGGAGAAGGATGTGATGTCTCCAGACGAGCTCCTTACCCCTCCAGTGTTTAATTACTCACGTTCGTTGCGATGGGCATCAACAGCTGACACTGTCTTCCTGATGTTCGAGATGGCATCAGAGAAGGCTCAAAACCGCATTCCCGTTACTTTGGGGAGTGATTGGGTTGAGTCCGACACCTCTGATACCATCCACCCCAGCAATCGATGTGGGTCACCCAGGGATATCGTCGCGTACTGCACTGAGCCCCACGGTGTACGTCGCAGCCATTGGGCACCCGGTGTGTTCACAAGAATGGCCATCGCTTCGTGTGCTTCGCTTGTATTACAGTGGGGAACGGTCGGGGCAGCGTTCATGATGGCATGGTTCACCCCTACTACAGTGCGTTTTCCCGACATACGTGATAAGTGGTCGAGTTGACTAACTTCAGGCAGCGCATGGGGTGTCGATCTCTGAGTTACCTCCTTTTTGGAGTCACATCGACCTTAATTTGGATGCTGCTCCTGATGTCTAGTATCCTCGCGCACTACTCTGCGGGTTATTCCCATCGAAGGGTACTGTCTGCTCGCGTTGCTTTGGTGCTGTCGCACTGGCTGCGATGGGCGGGCAAAGCATTAGCAGTTGCAAACTCCATATGGCTGGTGTTGGCGTGCGCTTTCGTGTATTCCAGCTTCTACAATACATGCTTCTGCAACTCTAGCGTGGTCAGTAGGGGAGAGGCCGCATACAATGTGATCATCGAAACCGCAGCCCAAGCTGCAGAGCTTAGGGTTGCCTGGATCGGTGGTCTTATCGTGGCATGTACCTCATCGTTATTCTTCCTTGGTCTCATGAACCTTTTATTGGATACAGTTCTGTCGTAGGAACATTTCTTGTGCGCAGATTGTGTACTTTATTTCCTATTTTTCTTGATTTGTTTAATGGAAGGGCTAGTTGAAGGGGATCTTGTCCGACGTTGCATGTCATGATGGTGTGATGTTCGTACCGCACATGAACGTTAACTGTGTTGCATCATCCTCAGCTGTCTGAGTCGCGGTGCTAGCCCAGAAACCTCCTGGACCCTCGTAGTGCCTGTCGTCGTCATGATGTTTGTTAGCCCTGGTGTTATCATGATGCACAGCATAGTACTCGATTCCCGCTTGAGCAACCATCCTTCTATCAGATTGACCAGAGCTCGCACGGTCGTACCTGGCTCAGAATGGAAGCCACTTGTGAATAACCAATCAAACTTCAAGCCTGAAGCTTTCAGGTTAGCAAACATACACTGTCATTCCCTCACCCTTACAGGTTGACTAACGCCACGAGGCTCATCGTCTGGCCCATCAGGAAACGTGTCTTATGCTTTAAAAGTCTACCTGATACGTACCAGAATCTTGGTCAATGTACAATTCAAGTGAAAAATGAATTCACTTTCTCATGTTGGACATTGGAGGTACCCAGTCGGAGTGTAAAGTGGCAGCCATGCTGAGAACGCGAGAACTCTTAGACCATGCTGATAGTATATTTCATACGGGACTACATCAGGACAACTTGGATTACAGTCTGCTCGGCAAGACCAACATTAAAAGTCATTGTGCACTCACATACATATGATACTGAAATTTCTAGTATAAAGTCTCGAGTAGAGACGTATTCGCATCTCAGTTCTGATATAGAGACTGAGATATTCTAAGTATATTATCGTTTTTGGTACGTTCCAGTCAAAACGTCGCCCCGCTCCTATCAATCACCACAAAAAATTCCCTTGAAAAGTGCCTCTCACGAGAGGGGTACCAGAGACCCAGCACCAGAACCAGCATAGATGCAGTTCATCTTCACATCCGGCAGTGGGTGATCACTTGTCCCTTTTCAAAAGTGTCAATGCATCATCATCGTGAGTATACAAGCACCCTACCAGCATGACAGTACGGAAATCCATCCTCCTTGTGTCCCCACCACATGACAGGCGACCACTCGTCCACAAGGTCAGCGAGCGTCTGGAGGTGGCCGTATGCAGCCGGCTGGGGACCGGACGGTCGGCGTAGTGCGACGAAAGTGAAGAAACAGGCAAATATAAAGAGCGCAATGCATAAGTTCCAGATCTACAAATATGTGTGAGAATGTTGTAACGATTTACATGGGCAGGAAGTGCGTACTTGGGCAGTGTACATGGCTATCGGAATGAAGTCTAGGGTCTCGTTAGCGGCGGAGATATATATGCCAAATGAAAGCCCAAACATCCAGTCTGTGATCGTCAAGGATAGTGTTCAATGACACTGACAAAAATACTAGGCGTGAATGACTCACGCAGGAAGGGCTTCGCGATGAAAAGTATGAAACAGATTGGATGATTAAAAATCGACTCCAGTGGGTTCATTGCCACTCTGAGTCCTTTGCTTCTGGTAGCGCATCTCCACTGTCTTTCATCTCGGATGACATTCGCGATGAGCTCCGAGCAGTGTAGCCCAAGCGTCAACGGTCCCTGGAGAAATACAATGTTGACATAGAGCAGAATCCCCACCTCAAGATTGGAACCTGGCATCAAATACACGATGGCATTGGACCGCTCGCTCCGAAAGAACGACCACGTTTGTAGGGTCAGCGGATAGGTACTAAATGCAAATCGAGAGCTGGTAGGGAAGCGGTCCCAGACATACATGACGAGTGCGGCCCATCCAGCGCATGCTGCAACGATGACCCAAAGAGAAATGACAACTTTCCGGATGCTAGGGTGAGCATGCCACGCAGAGGGCTGTGTTTCTGGTGGCTTCATTGGGCCTCCATACGTGTCTATGTCAGACACACGACGCATGCACCGGAAAGTAGTGGGGGTCAATTGTGCGTGGTGTACTAGTGCGGCGGTCAAGTCGAAAGGTGAGGAGCTCCACGTCAAGGCTTTGACAGCCCACATCCCTGACAATGCGATAATCACCTGGAGGAGGAGTGCGACACCCAGAATGAGGAGAGGTATCCCCGCGATGGCAATACCCTCATCAACTGTTTGGAATGTTTCCGAGTTATTTTGGTCCAGACATACGACGACCGAGGCTGAGCTGTAGGATATAATGAGGAGGACAGCCGCGATGCCGTTAAGCAGGGCGCCGTTGGGGTTATACCATCCACGAGCTGCGGTGAGAAGGCGCAGATTGGTGTTGAAACGAAGCCGAGACTCTGAGGCTAGCGCAGAGCGCAATGAGACGCCGTGTACGAAGCCTATGGACTCGGTACATAACATGACGATTAAGTCAAGTATCAGGGTCAATATCCCCTGCAATGCACCTTTATCAACATTAACCAGGTTGAACAGCCTGGTTACTCCTAGGATGCCATGATTGGCGAAAGTGATAACACCTGCAATGATGAATAAGCAGCTAAAGATAATTGAACATGCCACTCCGACAAGGGCATTTCTGCGACACGTCAGACCGTGGTAGTAGAAATCGGCTGTAGTATCAGCAGTGGACTTTGCTTCAGATATTATCGAGTCAAAGCCCTGGTGACCCGAGAGTGTGTTAGATGCAAGAAGGCTGAAAGGATGCGAATTTTCTTCTGTCAGTTCGGAAGAATCTGCCATAATGATGGGAGGCAGAGACAGGGAGGCCAGCGCATTATAGACAGGCAAATTAAGTATATTTCACTACGACCATGATCTCTGGTGCAGGGTGACTTCGAGCAGTTGTTACAACGTTGATTTACATCGCATTGCAATTAGTGATTAGCATCATGATCGGGCCTGGCTTGGCCTGAAAGCACTGCCCTGGACCTAGCTTTAAAGGCTTACATACCATATTTCGAGCCTAAGCCGTGAGCCCAAGCCAGCCCAAAGCGGTGGCTTGAGCAAAACCAGCTATACAAAAGACACCCAAAAGTTAGTATATAATGTTTTTTTATCGCACTGCAGTGTATTACTGAAAGTGAACATGTCAGGATGGCGATCATCGAGAGCCAGTCAAGTCTACCCTCCTTGCAATGTACTGACACATCTTCACTCTCACTCAACTCAATGATTTCGCCAGTCTGTGTTTCAGCGCGCAGGACGAAACCTGCGATAAACTGTCAAGATGGATACCAGAACAGCAGTTGGGACAGGTCTTGATATAAGCTTTGAAATTAAAAATGACAACACCTGGCGGAGTCGGAAACTGGGGCTTCAGGGCAGCGGCAAAGCCCGCCACCTAGTACTTTGCTCACAGGAACTCACACTTGTCCTCGCCATGGAGATACATTTCAAGGACCCGGCCCTATACCATAGCAGCGCTCAATTTGTACATTTCGGTAGTAATGTTATTGTCCATAGGGCTGGACATACTTATCAGCTCAGCCTCATTCCTCGGTCAGACGACATGCTCCCGGGCGTGCGCTCACTTGGACAGTCCCTGTCAAACGGTCGCATCATTCACTGAGGGTCGAGCGATTCATCCGATGAATCGCTCGACCCTCCGAGTCAACGACATGAAGTAATGAGGATTGTCAACTCATACAAAGATGACTTCGATATGTTTAAGTGTTTTTGATACCGAGTCGACGGCCGGGTGGAAACGCGGATGTTCAGTAGTTCCACACAAAATTACCAATACTATGACCTTGGCTGGCAATCTGCTGGCATTGCAGATATGCACATCTGTTTGAAGGCATAACCACGCACTAGCAAGAATTTCAAAGAACAATATTCAGCACATAAAAGCCAGCCATCTTCCTACACTCTCCCTGGGAATTATTATCACAAATCATTAATGCGTTTCTTCTCTGCAATTGTCCTCGCCGTCGTTGCTGCAGTAGCATCATCGATCTCTGCCATGCCCGCTGACGCGGCTGGCGCCAAAGATTGTCCCAGGTTTTGCTTTTTTGACTCGCAATGCGCGGCCTGCCCTACTGGACTTTGTGTGAGTAACAGTAGTTTTCCTGGACTTGATAACATGATTCACCTGCATGGCAGATCTATTTTATATGTTTAGTGAGTCGTGCTTCTGGGCACATTGGTGCAGTATGGCTGTTGGCACTGGCTCAAACGCGCGAGTTATTAGTGATATGTAGAATTGATCAACGCGCATCAGGAAGACATCAGCCCACTTACAGGGCCAGCTCTTTGCAATGAAGACATTAAGTTATGGTGCTGCCAGATATCCAAGTTGCAGGTGAATACCACAAACTGGTCATAATACCGGACAGTAAACAGGTGCATAGTACATGGAGTAATAGCTCGAGACAGCAAGCTACCGTTGATCATCGCATTTGACCTTTTTTCTGATATGGAACTAGAATGATACTGTTTAGTAGGCTCCTTCACCCGTGCAAATGATACCTCACCTGAAACGTGTTTTTCTGCATCGTAATCTACGTACTTACTTGATATGAAACTTGAAGCTTGAGAGTTTAGCACCTCAGGCCTCAAGTTTGAGGCGCCAGGCTCTTACATGGCTGTTGGCTGTTGAACGTTAACGTTGAACTAGGGTCTTGATTGACTCCGAGTCAGACTTGGATCTTATCAGCTAGCCTCCGTGGGAATCTGTACTTAAGCTTCACTCAGACTGTGACAAGTCTGTCCTGTCCCCGACTCCAGAAGTTATCCTCAGCGACGGTCTGCTTTGCTGTATTCGTAAACCTACAAAGATGTTTGGGTGGCTGTTTCACCTCGGCTTAGATGCATTCATTATCAGTGCATTCCTCGCTGGCATAAGACGCTCAACAGGCCTCACGTACGTCTACCATGCTGCTGGTCATGATGCTGACCCTCATTCCACTACAGACCTGCACTATCTCAAGTTCCAAACAAGGACATTCGCCGTGAGTCCAAATTCCGTGACCTGAATTGAGAACACTTGTTCACGCGTAGTTCTCGACTAGAACTGTTGCGGTCGTATCTTGAAGTCGGTCTGTAAACTGTCCCACCCCATCAACTATTTCATTTACTCATGTGTTTTAGGTGAATACGTATTCGACTTTGCAGTCGTTGTATTCGGAGTACGTGGTGGACAATCTATCGTCATATCTCACACTGCACGTCACTGACAACCACGTATAACAGCGCTCCAGTTCTTTCGAGAGGAGGCATTGAGTTTCCCAATTCCCATTTGTGTTCCTTCTGCCAATTCGTGACAACGGACCGCACTCACAGCTTTGTAATATTTTATTCCGATGACACATAATTTGCTTACAGCCTTAAGCTTAATGAGCAGGTTGCAGTAAAATTGTGTGCTTGCGCGACCAGTTCCACTTAATATTATACACGTTCATCCGAGGAAGTTAAATACGAAGAAGTGCAGCACAATGGAGCCAAGGGCAAAGTCTGCAAATGCCCTGTGCCGAGAATGAGGATCTATGACAGACATAAGAAAGGATACGCATACCTTTCAGGCGAGACTTCCTTGAATTCAGATCTGTTTTCGGGGTTGACTTGTGCGCGGAGGGATGCGGTCAGAACGAACTGGCCTACTGAACTTGCAAACCTGTGAAGGCATTCAATACATGCCTGACATGCTAACCAGTAAACTCACCCGGCAAGGAATGCATTGAAAGGAAAGTTCGTGACAAGTACGCAATACACGAACTGTAGCACCCCGCTAAGCACAGTGAACGCCAAGAAAGCGTCGATGAACTTGAGGCGGTCGGGGGTCTGATCAAGATATGATTTCCACAACGTTGAAACTGCCACATAGGTTTCTGACGACGCAGGTGAGGGTTTTGAGGATGACTTTGGGCCAGCCATGTTGAACGAGTGACGGCTAACAAACTGCTTTACTTGAAAGTGACGACGACGTGGAGGAAACAGTCTCGTCCAAACCAAGAAGGCCGGCAACTTGAAAAGACCCCGACCCGCCCGTCACGTTCAAAAAATAAGTCTTTCACTAACTTGCACGTCTCGTCCAAGGCCGAACTACCCTCTACTTAATTTGTAGTCGCCATTCTTTGTCATGAGCAGTGCTGGTCTGTGTCGAGCATCGTCCTCTCTTACCGGTGCATTGTCTGCATGGAAGAGCACGAAATATCCAAGGCAACTTTGGGGTGCACGGAGACACCTACACTCTCGGATAGAACTCGACTACAAGGTCGATGAGGGCCTTGCAAACTTTATGTCGCCAAGGACGCTTAAAATGGTTTCTGAGGAGTATCAGCAAGGTTTGCTCGACCGGTTGAACGAGATGTTTCCTGGTAAGTGTGGTTTTGTGAGCAATTTGCTTATAACTTACGCATGTACAGATGCTGCTGACCAGCGAAAGAGCGTCACACAACTCGTGATCGACACTGCTAGCTCTGGAAAAGACGCCCTTGGCTTCTCCTATGCAAGTCACGCCCTCAACAATTCGTTCTTTCTCAACTGCCTTGTGTGTCCAACTCCCCCATCTAGTTATTTCACCATACTAATTTACTTGACAGCGACCTCCAAAAAAAGATGAAAACTACGAAGATAAGATTCACAATCTTCTCATAGCCCCATCCATCCGCACCCAATTCGGTAGCTTGCCGCATTTCATCAACAACTTTTCTTCCGCCGCCAGAGGAATGTCGGGGTCAGGATACATCTGGCTTATTACGGACGCTGTAGGCAACCTTGCCATTCAGCCCACCTTCGCTGCTGGCACGCTTCTTGTTCGCTCGCGTGCGTGCACGGAAAACCCTGCGGGTCGTCATGAGGTGCTTCACGAGGGCAGGTTCCGCGACGGCCCACAACTAACGCACTTGAACACGGGGCTAGGCAGCACACCGACATCACCCACGTCAGGCATGTCTCAGGGCCCTGCGCCACTGCATCCTTCTGCCCCCGTACGAACACTGCACTCATCACCGCGTGGCCACCCAGATGGCGCGCGTTCTTTCTACGATGATGAGCCCGCAGATCGGGGGATTGATTCCTCCGCGAGGAGCCTACGTAATTTGGGCGAAAAGATTTACCCTCTGTTTTGTGTCAGCATTCACGAGCATTGCTGGCTTCTCGACCATGGAGTGTGGGGCAAGGAGAAATATATGAGGGAGTTCTGGAGCGTGCTTAACTGGGAAACGGTTAACGAACGGTACCTGACATTCACCAGTGCGAAAGTTGACCCTCAGCCATTCCGAAAGTAGATGGATGGAGCTGCAGAAATTTACGGTGTTTTGGCATAATTCACTGCTCAGTCTACTTAGATCTATAACATCCATACTTATACCGTTCGTTTTAAACTTTTCCGCGTAGCGGAATGCTATTGATCTGATCATGATTCATAAACTCAAGTTGGCAGGTCGTCGCATCTTGGGGAAGCCTTGAATAGACTATCTTGAAATGAAGTATCCAAATTCATGCACCAATACGATATACTTTGAATATTCTACCAGTACGTGCATACATCAATCTGGTGTGACTCGTCATTCAAGCAAGGCGTATGCGCGGCTCTCCTGAGATGCAATTTCTGATTTGAAATGTTTGGGAGTACATACAACTTCAAAATTTCAACTAAATATACTTTATAGATACCTGAATCTACCTCTCTCTCGGGATGGAAAATCGAGTGGTTCGGACAAGATAATAGTACATGAGGTGCAGCAAAGTGTTTGACGCGTATTTCAGAGTAGCCTTGAGTTTGAACACTCCGGGTTCACTTGAGAAACTTTCTGACCTTCCGTTCATTCTTCTTCATATTAGTAAGCGATACTGTCTTCCTCGATCTCCTTAATGCGGTTGTACCCATATTCTGCTACACACGCGCGGCCTGAGAGTGGGACGCGGAGAGAGCATCATCAGCGTCAGGGAAGCAACAGATAAGACGAGAACACGCACTCGCTGAGAGCGGGACGTCGCCAGAGCACCATCAGCGTCGGGTAAGTGATGCATTAGACGAGAGGATGCACCAACTGAAAACGGAATGCGACCAGACCACCATCAGCGTTGGGCAAGTGACCCAAAAGACGATAACACGCACATTCTGAGAGGGGAATGCGGCCAGAGCACCTCTAGTGTTCGGGTTACGAAGTGTGACAGCTACAGTTAACTTCATTGCAGTGGGTCCCATGGGATCCTGCAGTTTCCGCAGAATTGACAACACTTTTTCACGGATATCGTGTTGACTTTGCATTTAAGATGACCACTAATAAAGCAGAATCGTAAATGCATGTAAACGATGTTGAGGAAGTAGAACAAAACTGAATAATGGTCGATTTTCAATGGAGCATCTGGCGATAGCTTGTGTGACGGATGCATATTCGAGACGATGTTTTTGCGACCTTGTCAGCTGGGCAGAGGTCTCTTGCAGAATCCTAAGTACATTCAATACAGGGTGACTTCAATAACACATCAAGAAGGCATATACCTAATCATCGAATCCCTCCGACATTGTTCAAAGCGATCCTGGGCGGTCGGGACGTTGCACAGATGTGAGCTTAGTTGATAAAGTCGTGTCCTCAGGTGATCTAGGTCCGCCTTATTCTGACTACTCTGTGACAGCCTTTGAATCAAGATACATCCTGTGAATAAATAAGCTCTCACATGTATGGCTTGAAGGATTGACAATAATCCACTAATAGCAGCTTGCATCGGAGGACCGGCAGCTGGAATTGCAACTGTCATACCCTGGACGAGAGGTAAAAATGTCTGAGCCATATCAGAAGCTGTGCGGGCAAAGGAATAGAGACGGGAGGATCTGGTAGAGGAAATATTGATGGAGACTTCGAGACCTGGATCCCTCGTCACAGAACCAGGGTGCACTGGCGATGAATTCGAATGGGGAGTGGGTGAAGGAACGAGACACTCGTTGAGGATGTCTGTAGCGATAGAGTAATCGCCGTCGTGATAGTGGGTGGTTGTTGAACTGCGTTGTGTATGTCTGTCCTTTGCGAGGTACCTCGACCGACTCGGAACTGCGAATCCTTTGGGCAGATCCAAATCTTTGAAAAAAAATTGGATCAAAGCCTTGACCGAAAAAGAGGGCATATGCATCAGAGGGACTGTAAGACGTATGGGGGCGAAGAAGGAATCGGGACAAGGTAGCTGTGTACAACACAGCCCATGCCAATTTATCTTGAGATTTAGTAGATAATGGGTGCGCGATCCTCGACGGAAGCTGTAGAGGTAAAAACGACAACGGCGGATTACAAGTCACGCATCAGGCAAATTGAAATAGATTGTAAATACGCAGCACAACATGCTATGCGTGCTGGTGCATCACCTGCAGCAGCGTTATGCCAGTGCATCGTGGGAATCCATTTTGCCTAACTTAAGCGGAGTACTAACCCATCATGCATGCATCAAGGACTAGAGACCACCATACATATTAACTAACTACACAATTTCTTCCCAGACGGGCGCACTCAGGTACCAGTCTATCCCGTGGCGATGTGACCCCATTTCTACATGACTTTCCTCTGTGACCACTTGGGTATCGTGTTTACTACCAGAACACCTCCGTGGGCTTTTAATCCCATTGTGATGATGGCACGCCTCGCACGAATAACCCAGTGGCCTGTCGGGACGCTAGATGACTGTACCTCGCTAGCACTGCTGCCCGTGCCTCTCCGGTGCCTCTTCACGATACTGTGTCCTATGGATCGGGCCTACGCAAGTTCCACCTCTTGTGACATCTTCTGTGTCACCAAGAACCTTCGCCTGCCTCCTTTGCTGTGCTCCACACATTTGCCCTGTGGGCAGCCACAGACTCAGCACCTGATTACCCCATACATGAGCCATGTTACAGCCCTTTGAGCCTGTCTCAGTCTCCGTTGTTAGGAAATACCTGGCCGCTGTCTGAGCTTGGCACAGAGCTGGCCCTTGCCATCGTCCCATGGATGACCACGAACACATCATGGAGAACATATACACCACCCGTTGCAAGTCCATTCAATCACCCTCGTCATGCTCACTCTACTGAAAAGCACTTTCTGCCTCAATGAACCCTTCGACACTTGTGTCCGGGAAATGGCCTGCTGCACCTTTAGCATGATGCGTTTTTGTGAAATCTCAGTCAACTCCCTCTCCGACTTCACTCCTACCCGTCACCTCACCCATCGGGACTGATTTACTTAGTCAAGCCTATGCACGCCTGGACCTGCATACAGCATGAGCTGGTGAAACAGTCTGTATCCCTAACATTACAAGGTATTATCTGCCCACTCGGCGCACTGCACAACCTTGCGCGAGCTATCCTTGCACTAGCCTCTGACCCTTTATTCTTCTGGCGAGATTCTCACGCGCAGATATGATCAATGGTGCTTGCCGCACACTCCCACGGATCAATGGCATTCTGGTCACTCGTGGTTGGGGCACTACCTTCGGACATTCCTTCAGCATTGGTGGCGCTTCTTTCGACCTGTCCCAGAAAGTAGACTCTGAATCGTTCGCATGGCTGGGCGTTGGCGCTCACTGGCTTACGAAGCATACAACCGGACATTTGGATAAGTGGCGTTTGGCCATCTCGCAGCCTTTGACGGCCATATTGTTTGAGCTGCGGCACTTAGGTTAGGTTTGTTGCCGGTCAATTCGCTAACCGCGGAAATTTTTGCACGTGGATAGCGGCTTCCACACTTGTCACTTGTGTCCCTCCTAGAGTCGACGCTTCAGGCATAGCCCAACCCACCTAGTCGCACCGCACGAGACCTCGAGCATCAGACGAAGCTGGACAGATATGCTCTTGTTGGCGTGGTGTCTACGGGTATGATCAACTGCTGTTGCATCACTGCAAGTACCGTCACGTAGCCACTCACGGAGTCTGCAGTAGCTGTCATGAATATACAGCCCTCAGCATGGTGTGCTCACCCTAGCATCCGGAAAGTTATATTTTGTCTTTTGGGGTCATCGTGGTATATGCTGGATCGGCCGCGCTCGCGATGTACATCTGAGACAAGAACAGTAAATTCTACAACCTCGACCCGTCCCCGCTCACCGTACTGGTGTGGACGTTCGTGTCCAGCTCGCAGTCCAATTTCATATGGTATACCGTTCCGGGTGTCAGTGAAGATGTGAGTGGACCAAATCGGGGCCTCAATGTGCAGAGGTGGATTCTGGCCTTTGTCAATGTGGCGGTTGTCCGGGGACCGTCAACACTTGCACTGCATTACTTAGAGCTTGTCGCGAATGTCGTTCGAGATGAAAGACGATGGAGAAACGCAGCCAGGAGGGGAGGACTTCGAACGACGACAACCAGCTGGAGCAGGTTTTGCCGGAACTATTCATGTTATCAAACGAGATTATTAGCGATCTAGACTGGATACTCGGGCTTTCATTCTTTTGAGATAACGTGGTCGACGATGAATCGATTGGAGATATATACATTCAAGACAGGTTCTAATTCTGGGATTCCAATAAATTCATCCTAAACTATCCGTTATGAAGTTCTGCCATCCAGGCGCAACCAATCTTCCAAAGCAGAACTTCCAAGTTTTTCGCGCAATGATATTTTCAGTGTATTAAAGCAAGCTTCGTCTGCCTCAGTAGCTCAGAGTCCCTTTTACAAGATTGTATCACTTCGCATAAATCATGCATTTCTCCTTCCTCGTAGTCGTTACTGCCTTAGCGGCATGTATGTCTGTCGCTGCACAGTGCAAGCCCTTTTTAAAGACCTGCGACACGAACAGTACTTGATTGCTGCAGTCATAACCGTGCTGCGGTGGTGGTGAGTATGAGTAGTTTGTTTTGCATCCAGGATTCAACCCCGTTGCTCACCACCCCTTGCTGTCAATAGCGTGGTGGTCAAAAGGTCTGCAGCTAAGACTGCTTACCGATGGCTGGCAACCTGTCTATGAGCACACCTGGACGGTGAATCGTATTTCTGCTTTAGCATTAGTGCTGTACTGATGGTACAATATCTAGTTCGTTGCTGACTTGGTCAATGTAGCAAGTTGTTCCTGGAGTCTGGACAATTTTCCCTGCTTCATAGGCAATGGAAGCGCCTTTGAATTCGTGACTTGAAATTGACTAACTTGAAGAGACGTGAGGAGCGATTTCAAGCCTTGATTTGTGCTTCGTCATTCGCTTGCAATGAGTATCATCAATATTCATTAATATTGCCGAAGTCTGCATTACGTGCATACCGGCTGTAGAACCGCGTGTGCCTCGAGTGGATGGCGAATATTAACACACGAATTGAGCAGGTCATGGACAGTACAGTTGCTGCTCGACCAGATGCAATTTTAGAAAACAGGATGTGTATCGTCGAATACTCGGATGCATGTATTATTGTAATAGTCTGTTCTTGTCCTGCTCGCCTTTGGGTTCTAGGTTGTTCGAGAATGCGTCAACAATGCTCGAGTGGAGTGCACACTTTAGCCAAAGTGGAGCATTAGAGGGGCTCGATTGAGCGCGTACATGGGCATGGCGTGCACGCAAACTGCTTGTGCAGGATCAAGCGCTCCATCCTTGCAATATGTAGATGAGTTCGAGCGAGTCGAAAACATTTTGTTACCGAAGAAGTCTGGCGTGCGCATCGCCGGCGTCAATGACCTAAAAGGAATTGGAAAGTAAATATGTGCAAGTACTTATATGACCATCACGAATGGATGTCTTGATGGTCTTGATGCAGTCGGTGCGATTCCCACTCTTGTCTTGGTCGTCGACTGGGTAAAGTTCTCCTCTCTCAAGTGGGGAGATTTGATACACAATCATGGCAAACAACTGCAGGGAAATTATAGTCTACAATACAGCACGGTATTGTAACAGCTTCTGCAACGTTCTTACCGTGTTATCCTTCTCTTCCTTGACGATGTTTGAGAACGATTTGAACCCGGGAGCACCAGCATCTCCTGGAATAAATGAGCAGGCTTCCCCGTAATCTAAAATGAAAAGCGCACGTTGCAGTTGAAAGGCTGCACTCTCGCTTGTAGTGATGTATCCACCACTCTGTCGAATCCGCGCCAGGGCAAAGGGGATCTCTTCTTTATTACAGCTAGAGACACCATCTGCTATCACGTGGACATTATATCCTGCCTCGATAAAATCCAGAGCAGATTGCAACACGCAGACATGTGACTGGATGGACCGATTTCACTAATGAACCAATTGTCGTACAGTAAACTAACCTCGATGCCAAAAAGCACCACAGATTTTATCTGTGGGCGTTCATGGAGTAGGGCCTTCACTTCCGGCGTCGCCATGGAAAAGAGCCCTTTCTCGATGGTAGCAAGGAGAAGGGGCCCCAGGGAAGGTAAATCGATATCGGGGATGGTATTCCCAAGGGCTTTCCTTTTGGATGGTTTCATTTCGAAGAGGAAGGACGAGGATGGGCCCACCTTTGGGGTTCTGTTCCGTGACGACCACGGGGATATCCAACACCTTGTATATATCCATGTACTAGCAGTAAAGGCGTGATAGGGAGTTGATCTTACCTTTGCTATCTTGAGAATCTTACTGATCGCCAATACAAGCTCGTCAAAGCCGAAGATGGCATTCTCTGATTCGGAATGACACGACAGTCAATTTGTGCTGTTCACAGTGGATCCAGAAGCAAGCGTACTGAACCGTGTTTGCACGTCGCAGAGGAAGAATACAGTCTCCTCTGGTACAAGCTTTGCAACCGTGGGCATAGTGATACAGATAGGTGAAAGCTGTGCGTTAGTGAACAAATGGACTGTTCATATACTTTATCGCAACCGTGACATACTTAAGCTCATGTGAGCGGGATTTGCCGAACCCGGTCCTCTTCATCAATTTGCTTTGGTGTCCCTCTTCATAAAAATGTTTGCTCGTCAGTTGTCGTACTCTAGGCAACGTCTTTCTCGTCCTGCTCGTCTTTATTCAACTCCCACAAAGACAGCAAATGCGCCTGTCACCGCATTCGCCCAAGTCCCTCTCCCCCATCCGGATTATCCTTCCCTGTTGGCTCAGAGGGAAGTACCAGCAAACCACCTTGTAGCTATGAATGGCTTTCTGAAGCGCAGAACCCCGTACACAATCCTGCCAACCCCCCTTCCAGATGACCGTGCTTCAGCTTTGAACAGCTTCTACTTCACTGATTCTCCAACTCAGGACCAGCTCGCTGTCATGGATGCATGTTTGCATAACCTGTATGACGTTCCCCGTGCAAAGCAGATCTTCGAGCAGCTTAGAACCACAAAGTCTCATGAACCCTTGCTCGAGTCTCGCATATACAATTCTTTTTTGGAGGCCTATATCCACATGGCATTTGTCAAGGAGCCCGAGGATAGAACTTTGTGGGTCGAGGATGCGTGTCACCTTTACGACCTCATGGAAAAGGGTACAGATAGAGTCCACCCGACCGCGTCTACATATGCTATCATGCTGTTAGCGTGGAGACGGTACGCTTCATTAATCTCCTTACCTTATTACTCTAATCACTTTTTCTAGATTTAATCCTGAGTCTGACACGCCCGTCCATCTCTCCGACCTGCCCAACCCGACAACCCTCCTTAGCAACCTCATAGAGCGAGACATTTCACCTACTGCTGTCGTCGCCGATCGCGTTTTGGCATCGTCAGAAGAAGCCTCAGAGATCATAAAACTCCTCTCCAAATCTGCAGTAGATCTCAATCATCCTCGTATATTGGCTGAACTTGGTCAGGCAGAATTCCTTGGGAGTCATGTCCCAGACCCATTGGAGGGCGTCCCGGAGGTCAAGCCTGTCCTACGACTCGCTGTACGTATTGCATGATTTCGTTTTCATCTCGCTCACATCTCCTTAGACACCCTCCGAAGAAACCTTGGATGAAAACGGGAATGTAATACCTGCGCAGTCTGAGGAAGAAGTTCCTTTCAACCTCGATAACCTCCGCAAACACTTGGCTCAGGTTACCCTTGCACGACGCGTCCTCCCAGAAGACCTCGCTTCCCGACAGAAACTGCTAGAAGAATCAGTTTACGACGTTGCAGTAGAGCGCCTCCGTCACGAAGCCAAACTTTTTGACGAGCTAGGTTTAGGCAATCGCGAACTTCATCATGCAGATTTACAAAAGTGGATGTGGGACTGGCATCAAAAGCTCAAAACGCGTCTCGAGGCAGAAATAAAAGAGATCATCGTTGCGGAGGCAAAAATATGTAAGCATATACGCGCTTGTCAGACATTTGTATTAACCGCCAGCTAGCTACAAGCAATCAAGTTCAACGAATGGGCCCCTTCCTCTCCCTTGTTAAGCCCGAGAAACTTTCCCTTATCACTATCCTTGAGATCATGCGCCTCCAAGGCAGCGGCGGTGTCTCAGATGGGATGAAAACTGCCCGGGCGCTCCTCACCGTCGGGCGCGCTGTCGAGAATGAGTACAAAGCTGAGATGTGCAAGCGCAACCATATCGCCATCCCTTCCCATGCACGCCCAGGCGAGTTCACTGGTTATTTCACGGGCCTCGGGTACAAGGACTTGCATGCGCGCCGGATGACGGCTGCAAAGTACATGGAGGACAGTGAGGAGTGGACATCAGAGTGGACGCAGGTACTTAGGGTGCGCGTTGGGAGTATCCTCGTAGATTGTCTGATGGATTCCGCGACGATTGAGCGGACTGCTGTTGATAAGCGCACCAACGAGGAGATGTAAGTTTGCTTGTCTCTTGTATGTTGCATCAGTTGAAAACTCTCCGCAGTAAAGAGAATCAACCAGCGTTCTATCATGCGTATGAATATGTGCGCGGGCAGAAACTCGGTGTCATTCGGTTAAATCCTGTGGTTTCGGAACGTATCGCAAAAGACGGCTTGCGCGAGACGCTTCACCCGCGTCATCTGCCCATGCTCGTCAAGCCCAAGCCTTGGCTCAACCACGACCGGGGTGGATATCTCTACAATCGATGTGAGTATACCCGCCAGCCTTTATCAACGGCTCGCTAACATTGTTAATTCACTAGCTGCCGCTATGCGTTTCAAAGACTGCCAAGAACAGCAAACCTACCTGGAACATGCAACCTCACTCGGTAATGTGGAGCTCGTGTACGCAGGACTCGACGTTCTCGGTAGCACACCTTGGAAGATCAACCGGAACATTTTCGACATCGTACTCAAAGTCTGGAATTCTGGTGAACGGCTGTGCAAGATCCCCCCAGCAGCATACGACCAGCCAGAGCCAGAAAAGCCCCTGAACATGAATACGGATATCAAAGCCAAGAGCGTGTACGGGGCGCGTCTCAAGGCGTTCATGCAGGACAAAGCGAACAATCATTCTGACCGGTGTAGCGTCAACTATAAGATCGAGATTGCACGCGCTGTAAGTTTTCATCCTATTCTTTCGCGCTAGCAATCTGATAAAATACAAGTTTCTGGGTGATACGATGTACCTTCCTCACAACCTCGATTTCCGGGGACGCGCGTACCCTATTCCTCCACATTTCAACCACATTGGTGATGACCTCAGTCGTGGGCTGCTTATGTTCGGTGAAGCGCAGCCCCTCGGCGAACAAGGCTTGCGGTGGCTCAAAATTCACCTTGCAAACTTGTATGGGTTCGACAAGGGGAACTTTGACGAGCGCGTCAAGTTCGTGATGGATCATCTTGAGGATGTGTATGATAGCGCTGAAAAGCCTCTCGACGTGCGTCTCCACCTTCTTATCATGGTACCTTGGTGCTGATGTGCCGAACAGGGTAACAGGTGGTGGACGAAAGCTGATGATCCGTGGCAATGTCTCGCAACATGCATGGAACTGCACGCAGCGCTCGAATCAGGCGATCCACACGCATACATGTCGTCCCTGCCGGTGCATCAGGACGGGACGTGCAACGGGCTACAGCATTACGCCGCTCTTGGTGGTGATGTTAAAGGTGCTGCGCAAGTCAATCTGAGCGTGACCGACCGACCGTCAGACGTGTACACGTACGTTGCGAACATGGTGGAGAAGGTGCTCGAGGAAGATTTGAAAAATGGCGACAAGTACGCGGCTATGCTTTCTGGTCGGGTTTCGAGAAAAGTGGTCAAGCAAACTGTGAGTGATTGTTTGGTTGGTTGATTTGGGAGTTATGAACTGATGTGGACAAAAGGTGATGACTACTGTGTATGGGGTGACTTATATCGGCGCTCGCGAGCAGATTGAGAGGCAGCTTAAGGATAGGAAGGATATTCCAGAGGAAGAGTGTTGGGGTGCTAGTGCATACCTCGCTAAGAGGGTGTGTATTCTCTCCCATTCGACAGCCTTAGACTTACTTGTCTATTTAAAGGTGCTCGTTTGCATCGGTGATCTGTTCTCGGGAGCTAAAGCCATTCAAACCTGGCTGAACCTCTGTGCCCGTCTGATCTCCAAGTCTATCCCAGCCGAGCGCGTCCCAGACGCATTGCAAGCTCCCAAAGGACGCAAGAAGAACGGTTCTTCGCTCCCCAAGAACCGCATCAGGAAAGAACAGATGTCGTCCGTCGTGTGGACGACGCCCCTTGGCCTGCCCATTATACAACCCTACCGTAAGACGAAGCGCAAGCAGGTCATGACGTCCATTCAGAGCGTGTTCATCTCTGACCCTAATGCACCTGCTGAGGTGAACGCTGTCAAGCAGGCGTCTGCGTTCCCGCCCAACTTCATTCATAGTCTCGATGCTACTCATATGATGTTGACCGCTCTTGAGTGTCGCGTAGGTTCCGTTGGCTTTGGACTTTTTTATGATTGATGAGCATGTTTATAGACCCAGGGCCTAACGTTTGCGTCTGTGCATGATTCCTATTGGACACACGCTAGCAGCATCGACAAGATGTCTGAAATCATCCGAGACACGTTCATTGCGTTGCATTCTTCTGATGTACTTGAGAAATTGGCCACAGAGTTCCGGACTCGATATGCATCCCACAAGATTCCCCCTGACATCGCTTCGCAGCGGAAGCTCTTGAAGAACCTCCAAGCTGCAGGCGTGCGCATTGTAGCTTCGTCTGAACAGGCAAATGCGCTCCGTTTAGGCGGGTTTGACAACATCATGGATGTTTCAGACGAAGAAGCCGGATCCATTGCCCAGATTTCAAAGAAAACGGAGACTGAGGCTCCGAAGCCCACGCAGACTGAGACTCCAAAGCCCAAAACAGGAAAACGTGGTCGACCCATGAAAAATGTGGTCATGATCGAATGCGCCCAAAATGATGTGTCGGCAGTTATGGACCACGAGGAAGGTGATGATGACTGTGCGGGCGAGGACGACGTTGATTCGATTCTGGTGGATAAATTCGTTGATTTGAGCGCTATACTTCCGCCTTTACCGAAGAAAGGGGACTTCGATGTGGAAACGATCAAGCAGTCGCAATACTTTTTCTCGTAAGTCTGTGCGTCCATGGATACATTTAGCTGTTCTTGTTTTCGATCCTGCATCTTTCATCACGCCGCAATACGTACACCTCGCATTTGCATATCTATCACAATTATTTTTCTTATCTTATATGTCACATAGAAGCTTACTTAGTAGAATACTTAATAGAGATTATTCACCTCTCATGATGCATGGCATGTTATAGTGCGCTCACTCAAATTAATTTCGAAATATGGATTCTACTTAATATTTGCGTTGTGCGTGTCGTATCATCAAGGTAACCATCTGCTTGCAGGGTAGGCATGCAAGAACAAAAGACCGCAGTTGTGAGCTGGTTGGTTGTGTGGTTCGGTGACTTCGGTTCCAGTAAGAAATTAATGAAGCGCGCATTAGGGGCGCGTGTTAGTTTCCGCATTTGGAAAGACACTTTGCAGCTTTGCATGCTGTTAGCTGCGATGGGGACCAGGACAATTAACATTACTAGCTCACGGTTGCTCAACGCGCATGGCCCCATACGGCGATCTAGAGGGTATACAGGGTCGTCCCACGAGCACATTTAATTCACAGGTATTGCAGGGTGGCGAAGCGGAGTTTGAAACGCGAACATAGTGGTGGAAATTGGTTCAAGTTGGGGTTTGCTGCTCGCCATCATTAACAGCCTCGACGCTTGCCATTCCGACGTCTTAAGCGTACGGCTCCTTACCTTCTTTTAAACCACACAGTCTCTTCAAGTTACACTCCTTCCGACGTTATTATGGACCAAACTTTCGACGTTTCTGACAAACTTCAAGAATCCAGTATGGCAGCCAAACAGAGGGTTAGTAGGCTTCTGGTCGCTTTGACTTATGCTCATACTTGCGTCCAGTTTGAATCGTTCAAGATGGGTGGTGGTGCTCCAGCCAATAGTTTAAACAATTACATTCCAAAGCATTCACATGGACGATCTCGCTCTCGCAACAGTTCAATCTCTTCTCTTGCAACATTATCTATTTCTGCTTCTGCACCTTCATTCCCCTCTCCAGTTGAATTTTCTTTCAATAATGCACCTTCAAACGTACTTCCTCCAAAGCGCCCAAATTCCCATCACAGACGTCGTTCCTCTGTATCAACTCGCCGCGAGTCGGCAGAGCTTATGGGCGTGTCCCTTCCTGACCTTCCAGCAGCTAATTCAGATGATAACATAAATCTTGGCGACAGGGATTCTATTCGTCGCAGGGCACTCTGGGCTCTTGAGGGAAAGCCTGACCTTGCTTTCTCCAAGGTCGAAATTCCTGACATCACGTCACACAATTTGTCAAAGTCTTTTGACTTCCGTGAGTTTTACGTCGTTTGATCCCCACAGTCTATATTTACAAATGGCATGTAGCAACCAAGCCGTCTTTCCCTCCTGGTACTGGTATCAGTGGGCATGGTATTAGTAGCCTCATGAACAAGCGCGATTCATTCGGCAAACTGTTTACTTCTACTTCTAACTCCAAAGATCAGCTTCAAACACTAGTTGAAGAGGAAGAAGAAGAGGAAGAGGAATCCCAAGAAGAACGTCCCGCTCAAGTTGCCGAGGTTGTCGAGGAATCTACGGACGCTCCCGCTGTCCCACTCGTTACTCCAGCCTCTACAGTGACAAAATCTGTTTCACGTCACCGTCCTGCCAGCCTTAATCTCAGGCCCCTCTCTCTCGTTTCTGGAAATGCTGTCAGTTGCACACCCGGAAATCTACCCACGCCCACTCTTACGCCGCATCATCCGCCCAATGGTCTGAGATCTCTCGCCTTGACATCCGGCTCTGACACCTCGTTCACGAACGCCAAACTCACGAAAGGAAGCACGGATCTCCACTCCACCACTGTCACGCCATCTTCTTCCGGTTCCTTCAGTCTCGCTTCACATCGTTCTTTTTCATCCGAAAGCTCTGACATCAGCAGGAAACGCAGCAGCATTTCATACAAACGCTCCGTTACTTCCATTCCCCGTGACATGGGTGTTTTGCCCACACCTGATTCAACCCCCACCGACCGCCGGTTTTCAGAGTTAAACGATGTCGAATTCGTCGCAGAACAGTCCCTTGCCACAGCCGAGCAACATTTTTTATTTAGATCACACAATGTGCTCCTGGCTCGCATAATGGATCTTGAGCGCACGCTACGTTCGCGATCAATGTCCCGATCGCGTCCTCTTTCCATGGCTTCAGAGGCTTCGGCAGCATCATCTGAGCCGAGCGACGAGATGCTGCAGCTGATTTCAGATCTTAAGGCTGAACGTGACGAGCTGAAGAGAGACGTAGATGGATGGCGCATGCGCGTAGCTGATGCAGATAAACAAGCCGGCGTCCTGGCAAGGCGAGTTGAGGCTGAGAGAAGAGAAGCCTGGGTGGCTCGCTCGCGGCTTGGTCTACTGGAAGTCGAGAAGCGTAGCCTGGACAAGGCCCTCGGTAATTTGAATGCCGAACTCCAGCAATCGATAAGCCTGAGCGAGCAGTTTAAGAAGGAATGTGATAGTATGAGGGAGGAACTGGACAGGTTGCGTGCTCGTCTCCGAGATGCTGACAACGCAGTAAATGAAGTCATCCGCCTTCGCGCCGCACTCGAACAAGAGAGGACCAGGCGCGCCGAGCTAGAGAAAGTTCTCGACGACGCCGGATTGCTCAATACTCCCACCATTCCACTTTTTGTTGGTGGGCAGGACGAAAGTTCAGTACCTAGTCGGTCTTATGACATCCGTCCCCGTGGACTTGGCTTCCAGTCCATCGACTCTGACGGTTCTTCGACCGATGTCGAGTCTGTCGACCACAGCTTTACCAAGGCTGAATTGACTCTCGATGCTGTCACAGAGGAGGATGAGGATGAGTACCAGGACAGCTGCGACTTTTCTGACGAGGAGGATGAGTTGGCCGGTTACGAAGATGCAGAAGACTCTGACATCAGTTTCCAGAGTCCAGATGGCTCATCCATCGGCTCCGCGGACGAACTCGACCTCATGCCAGTCTCAGTCCTGAACGAGGCTACAAACCGACTCAACTCATTGCCCAAACCAGCTCCGTCGAGGTCTTTGCATTCTCGACACAATTCACTGTCTAAGACGTGGACATTCCCCAGGGGCCAGCCTCTCACTGTCAAGCGTGATGTTGATGAGGTTGACCGATTCTTTGGATGCCTCGATGACGTTGAAAACTCCCCTCCATTTGGTTCTGAGGAGATGGGCAAAGCGATGTTCACGTCGACATTCGGTCTTTCCTACGATGATGACGATGAGCTGCCACCTTTTATCATCCCTTCAGACGTTGGCACTGTTGTTGATTCGACGTCGAGGACCCTTGATATTGTGCCGGAAGAAGACGAAGATGACGAAGGCGATGCTGATGACGAGAATGACGGCGAACTCCATGGCGAAGAAGTTGAGGGCGGGATCCGTTTCACATTCAACCCTCCGCCAACTGTCTGCGGTCCTCCTCCTGTCATCTGCATCACACCTCCAACTGATTCTGAGTCGGTATCTGCTGCGAGAAAACCTGTCCTTATCTATGAGCCTTTTGATGATGAGGAAGATGATGCTTCTCCCTTCACTTTCCCTCAGCGCAGGGTACAGGAGCCGATCACTCCACCGTCCTCTTCACCACCGACTTCGGAGAGCAGCAGCCGTCCATTAAGCCGGACAAGTAGCTCTCCATCGTCAATTCCTCGTGCAACTTCACTGCGCTCATTCATGCCACTCACACCGCCCTCTTCAGCTACACCGCCCAGAAGCACGAGTGATCGTTTTAATGCACAGGCAGACTGTCCGACGACATCATTTGTTACCCCTCCGTCACGGCGCGGCGGGACCACCCCATCCTTCATTCCTCACCCAGTCTCGCCATCGCCATCGAAGATTTTCAGCCCTTCAAAATCCCGCGTTCCTGTTCCGCTGATGCGTTACAAGGGTGCTACAAATGGTTCGGCATTTACGCCTCACCTCAGATCATCCATGAGTGGGTTCTAACTTTTTCTCTTTGTTTTTCACAGTCAACGGTGCAACTCTCAGATACCACGGCACCCCTGAGAAGATAGCAGAAGCGAAATCAGATTCCTCCGACACTTGTGAATACCTTGATCAATACGTCTCGACTTCATCTTTATCGTCAATTATGCCTTCACCGCTTGCGGCACGATTTTCATTCCAGACATTGTCAAATTTTATTCCCCTCTCGTGGACGCCGGGTGCGGCTACGATTGCGTCGTGCACTGTACCTGGGACCTCGGACTCGACTGATGATATTGCAGAGGCAGCATCATCATTTTCCAGTGCCTGTCCTGGTATACGACGCTCGATTGAAAGGAAATTTGTTTCTAGGGATCAGCAGTTGGAGAAGCTGAGGAATCGACTGGGCAATAACCATATTAACGGCATAGGACGCTGTCTCGCGGTCGCTCCTTGCGGTGCTGGCAAGGGTGCCAATATTTTCTTGTGAACAACCCTGCTAGTATGTTGCCCGATATATGCTTGTCCTAGCCCATGCCTTTTTCTTTTCTATGTCCCCCCTACTCCTTACCCCTACATCTCCGATTGACGTGTCACATACTCTCACATCCCCGTCATTTTTCTTTGTCGTGTTATGACTGCCCGGAGGGGCAGGTCATGTTATCCTGTGCCAATATTGTTGTTTTTGTATTATATTATTACGTACCTTCTAAGAACGTCTGAGGACTGTCCTCATTCATGCTCATATTTTTTATGCATTTCTTGGGTCTCATTGAGCGATCGAATGATTGTGAGACTGTTTTCTGAAAGTCGGTAGGTCCCGGCTGGTAGGCGTGGGAACAACGCGAGAACAATTCGGTCAATTCAGATTCAGAAACCAGCTTGAAGCCTCAGCAACTTCAACGTTAACCACCATGGTAGCACCCCGGGGAGCACGCACTTTCATGCGCAATTGGTTTGCCATCGAGGTACTTTTCCCATAGTTTGTGCTTGCGTGAGCTGACCGGTTTACTGTGCTCAGGCAATTCCTATGTGAGCTCGTATCTCCGCGTTGCTAAAGTTGAGTTTTATTGACGACCGAGCAGCTACGCCGTTATTGGTTTGGCCGTTGGTGGTGCAGGCTGGTATTTAACCCGCCTTGCTCGTGGTCCTACGGGTACATCATACCTTCTTTCCGACTTTATTCGTATCTGCTAACGAACGAGTGAACAGTCGTTTGGACGAAGAGTAACCCAACTCCCTGGAACGATGTCAAACAAGATGAAAACACCAAAATATTGGATGTCAACTCGAGGTTTGCAAAGAGGTGTGTCGTATGCGTCATGTGTGGGCTGCGCTGACCCATTGGTACTGCTAGCTGGTCGAGGGAAAAACTATAACTTTAGCTCGCGCTGGAGGAGTGCTATACCTTTCTTTCGGTCGTGCTCGTTGTCATATTACAGTTTCAATTATATTCCTGGATATGTTTTCCTCTATTCATGACAGTTCCATGTGACCATGTCATGTACTTCGGGCCGGATAGCTATAGCTGCTTTTAGTTTTTGGTCTTGAGACCGGATAGTGTTAAAAGACAACGTTGAACAAATTGCGATTATCCCACTGACCACTAATCTCACAAGTGGTATGGTGGTCCACTTCGACGATCCTGATCCTCTTTATCCTCTTCCTCCTCTTAATGAGATACCGGATGATGATGCTGACAAGCCAAATGACACGTACAAGCTGGTAACTCACATGCTCGACATTTCGGCCCTTGTGCTGACTCTCGATTATCAGACTACGACGTCGAATGGCTTCCCTGCTGTCATCTTTGGTACTGCTACGTTTTCCCGCATCTATAACGACGCCCATCATATCTCCGGAGTAACACCATTACGGGCTGCCAGACTGGCTCTACGGTAGGTGGCTTGCTAGATGGCATGGCATATATTTCTGAGAAGCTGACAGCTATGGTATGAATGTGTTCGATACTGCGCCATTTTATGGGGATTCCGAGATCATCCTCGGGAACGCTCTTCGTGCTTTGAGGCGTGAATTCCCTCGTGATTCGTACACGTTGGTAAGTGTCCTCATGCAATGGTGAAAGGAGGGTTAACAGCAATGCATGCAGGTCACTAAAGTCGGCCGCTATCCTACTGAATTCGATTATGCCCCTGAAGCTATCGAAAGCAGTATCGCGCGCAGTCTTCGGCGCTTGCATACCAGCTACTTTGACATCGTATACTTGCATGATGTCGAATTCATTGCGGACGAAAAGCTCGCGAGAAGAGGAGGAAACCATGTTGATGCTCTGGGGGAAGAGAGGGAACAATACGGGTTGGATGAAAGTCAGGAGGGCGAGGCTTATACGGAAAAGGATCACAAAGTTTTGTCCGCTGTGAAGAAGCTTTTTGAGCTGCGAGATGAAAGGGGTGTTATCAAGCGAGTCGGGATCAGCGGTGAGTACAACTTTAGATCTGTATCAATTTCCGGATACTAACAAGCGCGCGTCAGGCTTCCCACTTCCAACCCTCCTGCGTATCGCAATTCTCATCCAGAAGCGCCTCGGGAAGCCGGTGGACCTCGTGATGTCCTACTGCCACCTCACCTTGCAGAATAGCACGCTCGAGCAATTCAAATCCGCATTTGGGGCACGCGCAGGAGTGAAGCAAGTTATCGCCGCCTCGCCGATAGCCATGGCTCTCTTGCGGCCTTCGCGCTCTCTGGATTGGCACCCGGCGCCACTCGAGGTTAGAGAGGCTGCGCAGAGGGCTGCGCAGCTCAGTCAGGAGTGGGATGCGCCTGAGACTGGTCTTCCCGACTTGGCGCTGCAGTATACGTTTGCACGAGCGAGGGAGATCGGGGTGCCCGTTGCAGTAGGGCTTAGCACGCTTGAGGAGGTCCACGCGAGTGTAAAGGCTTGGCATGAAGTGGATGCTGAGGGGTTCACGACGAAGGAAGAGTGGGTTGCCCGTGTTAAGACCGTACAGGACCTGTTCAGGGATGTGCAAATGCTGGACTACTCTTGGGCGACACCTTGATTTAAGTTGGCAAAGGCGAGTATCATGTACAATTAAGTTTGCGAGGACAGTAGTTGATAAAGCAAATGATATTTGAACTGATACAAACAAAACAACTACAGTTACTGGTGTGATTCAAACATGACGGCGCAAATCACCGTGTCTTGATAATTCCTGCGTTGATGAGTTTCATAATCTTCTGACGTACGACAGGGTTTTTCATGTGATCTTGTAATGCGCCAGGGTTGCCTTGCGCTTGCTGCAGAATTTGCTGCATCACGGGGTCTCCCATGATTTGCTGTAGAAGAATTTTTGGTCAACACCACGACGATAAAGCACCCTCGGATAATACTCACAGCAACTTCGGGGTCCTTCATGGCTCGCTCGAGGGTCTGTTCCTCCGTCTCGTCGGCACGCTGAGTAAACAATGCTTGCTGGATCTTGTTCTCCTGAGTTTGAATCTCTTGCGCGTGTGCATTGGCGGTGTCGGCTGATGAAGCGGCTTGTAAAGCTTCAAGAGCCTTACTATAATCGCGCATCGTTTGCAGAATCGTGGCTTTCCGGATGTATGCCTTGACTAAAGCAACGTTCAAAGATGGCCTACGGACAATCGGACGCAATCAGAACTCACCGAATGTGGGATCGACCTCGATTGCTTTGTCGGCATCCTTCAGCGCTTCAGCCAGTGCCATGAGTTTCATGTACGCTGCTGCCCTGTTGTTGTATCCTCTTGCATCGGAGGGATCACGCTTGATACTCTCTTCGTACAATTTCACGGCCTTTGCGAAGTCACCACCCTTGAATGCAGCATTACCTTCCTCGCGCGCGGTAGCAGACTTAGCGGGGTCGATGTATGCCTGTCGCTCGGTCTCGGCAATGGCCTTCTCGGTGGCTTGAAGCTTCGCGAGGATGGTAGCGTCACGGTGTTCAGAGAGTGACTTTTGGAAGTACTTCTTCGCGGACACTAGGTCGCTCTTTGCAGTGTACGCAGTCCCGATACGGCCAAAAATTTTGGCGATGATCTTGTAGTCTGCACGGAGCTGTGTCTTGCGTCAGAAGATGTCTGGTGCATAAAAGAGAACAGCTCACTCCTCGGCCCTCCTCAACAGCCAACTCGCACGTTGTGATACATTGATCGTACTCTTTCGCCTCGAGATATGCAGCACCGAGATTGCCGAGGAACGTGATGTCCTTTGGCCAGAGATCCCAAGCCTTCTTGAAGTATTCTGCGGCTTCAGAAAAGCGTTGCACCTTGTAGTGCTCTGTGCCCTGAGCCTTTGCGGCGAGTGCGTCTGCCTTGGCTTTGGCCTCCTCAGCGTCTCCATCTGTCATTTCAACATCTTCGGGCTCGTGGGCTGGTGCTGCTGGTGCTGGTGCGCGTGCTGGTGTTGGCGCTGGTGCTGGCGGAGTCCTCGATGTGGATGCAGATGGGGTCCGAGGTGTTCGAGCCTTTGGGGGAGGCTCATACTTGAAATTGGGTGGGAGCCCGTCAAATTCATCGTCGCGCGAGAAACCTTGCATATCGATGCCCATGGCGACACCAAGAACGTCGATCATGCGGGAATCTGACTGGAGAGCTCTAGGGAATGGTTGAGTGCTGTCAAGGGACAGTGATGTTTGACTTAAACGTACGAATCAGCGAGTGCGGGGTTTTGTTGGAAGAGTTTGAGCTGTGGAAGTAGTTGTTTAGTTACATGGAGCGGGATGTTAGGGGATGATCTACCTTTTGCACGAACGCTGGGTCAGCCATATGTTTTTGTGTTCGGGGATTAGTTGCCAGCTTGCCAATGAGGCTTGGGTCTGAAAAGTATTTTCCGAGGCCTAAGGGCTCAGTTACATCCCTACCTGGATTCAGTAGCGCGAGTCAGTGACTGTTTTCATCTGGGTGGGCGAGGGTAGCCTACCCTTTGCGTCTTTCACCTCTTGTAAACCCTTGCGTAAGGCAGGGCTATCCTCCAACTTAAGACCAGCTTCATATGCCCCGACAGCCTCATCATATCGTCTTGCACCGTGTAATGCAGCCCCTTTTCTCGCGTAGCCTTTGGACCATGACTGATTGAGCTTGACACACTTAATCGCCGCATAAGTATCAGCATGCCAGACCCGAATCTGATAGTGCACACCTGTTCTGCGTCCTCTAGTGCTCCAGCCCACTGCTTGTTGCCAGCCTTCGCAGCACTCCGATTTGAAAAGAGGACATGGTTCGAAGGGTCGATGGCGATTGCAGCTGTGAATAGCTCGATCGCTTTGTCGTAGTCCTTGGCAGAAAAGGCCTTGTTGCCCTGGTCTTTCAGCGCATTCACCTGTAAAGTGTGTCTTTGCGTTAGATTATCTGGTTAGGCAATGAACTAGATGGTATGTTATACACACATCTGACATGCTCGTTGAAATTGAGAGTGTTTGTGGTAAAGATGGATCCTTTCAGACTTTGTACTAGTCTTTCACCTTGATAATTACTCCCCCTCTGAGTCTGGTACTTTTATATGAACGATCCCTATTCTAGACCACAATTGAGGAACTTTCTAGAATTTTCGAGGAATAACAGTCCAAGATTGGTCCCTGGCAGCGCCCAAAAACGTTATCTTAATCTTATCAAATAATCAACCCAACAACTGGACTACTGCTAGTCGAGTACTACTAGTAGTCCTCGCTAGTCACTAGTCACTACTCGAACTCCAACCGTACATTAAAACGCACATGCTAGGATTTGTGACAGGGCTTGAGATAAGCTCGAGATGCTGCAGTTGCTGCACCATCCTAGTATTGGCTCACCTCCATATTCCGCTTCATCACGCTTGCAGACACAAGGGGCGGGGGCGGGGGCGGGGGCGGGGAAAGAGATTAGAACAATAATACAACTTCAATTAAAGCTTCTTTACTGCGCAGCCGACTTCTCCAGCAAGATAAGTTCACCCTTAAGCCTTTTCAGTTCCGTTACCGCAGCATCTACGACATCCTTTGGCTCCTTACTCTCCTTCAGCCCACGAACAACTTGTCCATGCTCCAAAATCTTTGCTTCCAAAGCAATAACTTCTGGCGATTTCAGCCCACTAACCGCCACACCATTCAGCGCAGCGTTAACAGCGCCCGCTTTCTTTGCTTTGCGTTTGGATGTAGGTGCCTCCTCCTCCTTAGCCGACTCGTCGCCGCCAAAGCGCACCTTCCACACCTGTTCCATTTTCTCGTCAATGTTCTTGAACAGGTGATCAGGCTGGCCGATCTGGTGGCCCGCAAGTATATCCGTGGAGAGCACCTCAGGAACCACGCGCGCCGGCGCATTCAGCTGCAGCAGGAGCGCATCCGAAGTGGCAGGCATGAAAGGATACATGAGGGCTGAAAGAACGTAAATCAGGTTGACGGCGCGCGATACGACTTGCGCGCATCGCTGTGGATTCTCTGTCATTAAGGCCCTGTTCAGTCCCGAGGCTTGCAGGTAACCATTACCCCTGCTTGAGATGAGCATGACAGTTTGAAGTCCGAGTCGTATTTTTACGCTCTCCATTGCATCGATATAATCTTTGAGCAACGTGTTGACATCGGTGATAAACTCGGCATCAAGGGGGTCATTGGGGGACAGTGGGCCGGGAGCATCGCCGCTTTCTGGAAGGACGCTGTCGTATTGGGCGGAGAGGAACTTGAGGGCACGATTGACGAAGTTGCCAAAGCTGTCAAACGAGTAATCAGTGTCAGTTCAACATGTTCATTTTGACGATTACTTTTTGAGAAGAATATTATTGTTGGCGGCAATCTATGAAAAACCAGAGGGTCAAGAAGGAGTTAGTGATAGGACGCAGACCAACTTACACAATCGGCCCATGAGAACATGGCATCAGCGGTTTCCGGACGAGTGGAGAGCAGATAATACCGCCATACGGAAGCGGGAATCCCGGTTTCCCTAGCAGCAGGCCCAAACACACCGCGGTTTTTGCTCTTGGAGAACTTTCCACCCTCATAATTAAGGTATTCTGTATGCCAACGGGTCAGAAAAGAGACTCAGTCTAATATTTGATGCTCACCGGTAGTTGAGAGATGGTGTAGTGTCGTCCAATTGCTGCCATCCGCGAGCAGCATGGCGGGGAAATATATAGTGTGGAAATAAACATTATCTTTGCCCATGAATTGGTACAGTCGAACATTATCCGGGTTGAGCCACCATTGTTTCCATTCCGGGGTATATTCTCCAGTGATACTGACGTAGCCAATGACTGCGTCGAACTACAGAGAAAGTGTTATGACAAGGTGTAGCACAAAAGTATTGTCAACTAACCCAAACATCTGTCGTCGCCCATCAATATACCGGAGAGATTTAGGAGAACTAGCCACTCACACAACACTTTTCCACCCATCTCCTTGTCATCTTCTCGACCAAGAGGTGGAATAGGAACGCCCCAGGCGAGATCTCGCGTCACCGGAGTAGGTTTAAGTCCGCTTTTCATGCGCGCATCTACGATTTCGCCATCGGCATTGATTGTGGCATTGGGTGACCATTTCCCTTTCTTCCATGACTTCTTGATCCAGTCTTCTAACGCTGGTTGAGCAGCATCTAGTTTGAAATACATATGTGAAGATGAACGTGCAACGACATTGTGAGTCTTGTCAATCAAGCATCGAGGCTCGATTAGGTCGATAGCATCTAGCGTGCGACTGCATCCATCACATTGATCGCCACGAGCATCCTGAGACAGATAGTGAGAATATGCATTATTATTAGCTGTTTGACGTACGATAAAGCTGCAATGAGGACAGATACCCTCTACGTAGCGATCAGCCAAAAACCTGAGGCGAATGTTGGAACTGTTTTATTAGCTTTTAGCAACACTCACTTTTTGCAGCCTTCACAATACGTCTGATCTTTGATCTGCCTTTCTAGATATCCGTGTTGGCCGAGGTTGAGGTAAATTGATTGACATATCCTGTGTTTCGGTGTTAATGAGTGGTAACGGAATTGTATTTTTACACTGACTCGGTATGTTTGGCGGTTGACGTGCGCCCAAAGAGATCGAAACTAAGGAAGTTCAGTAGAGAAAAACTGTGCTTGTGGTGGATACGCACCCGATATCAAACCACTCATACGTCTCTTTATGTAAGGCGTAGTATTTATCGCACAACTCTCTGGGAGTCATACCCTCCTTAAGAGCCGCAGTCTCTGTGGCAGTTCCATACTCATCAGTTCCACAAATATAGAGAGTACGTCGATTCCGTGTCCCTGTAAAAAATGTTGAGAGGATATAGGATTGTGCGAGACTATCACTGACGGTTGTATCTATCAAGCGAGGATGTTCTGAGTACGTATCACAAGACACCAGTAAGTGACTCACCGGCTGAAGACGTCTGCGCTCAGAGTGCTTCCTATAATGTTTCCTAATGATGATTATCGCCGTCAGACTTATGATATAATAGTACATCGGACAACGCACCAAGATGAGGCACATTGTTGCAGTAAGGCAAAGCGGACGTGATAAGGATGTTTGTTTCTCCATCCTTTGGTAGTCTGCGCCAATGACAATATAGATGATAGATTGGAAGCTATGATCTGATAAACTTACACGGCGCCCTGCCCAGGATCAGGAATAGATCGTAGGACATCGTCCGTCACTCTGATTTTCTGAGTCATGACTCCGAGTCGTTCTGGTGCGTGTCAAAGTAAGGTGAGGAAATCGCTTAGATCTTGGACCCATTATAATACCGAGTGTAGGACCCCGGATTTCCCTCGAGCCGGCGTCAATGCTTCGAGTCATCTCTTTTCACTCTATCTCATATGGATGTTTGGTTACACTTCAACTTCCCGCGAAGCCGCACGGGTTCACCGACTCACCGATAACTGGTAGATGACCATCTTAATGAGCACTCTGGTGCTTCTCTCCATTTCAATTCAGCACCTACAATTTCTTCCTTTCCAACTCGAAGCGCTGCAGCGGAGTCACTGTCTATTAATACTGCCTGCTGAAAGTTATTGCAACAATTATTATATTCCGCCCGGTTTATTGACCATGTCGTTGACCACTACGAGAATTATGGCATCGGCAGACAGCAGAAATGGTCTCGCCCATACCATGCACTCAGCATTCAACGCTACATCCTGCAATTCTGTCAACGTTAATTGCAACACCGTGGCGATGCGACTAGGAGGTAGAATTGGTCACCCAATGCAGGGAGATAAATGTCGTGTAGCTGTTGTGTCATACGCTATAGGAACCTTTGCTGCGTCTGTTATGTCTCGCCACGATCTTGTTCTGTAACACAGTACAGCTACCAAATCACCTCGGTTTCAGGACGCAAACAATGGTAACCATCGATGCCACGAACCTCAGAGAAAGAATTGGGCGCTCTCGAGTTCTGATCATAGTAGGGAGAGCAAACGCAGGCAAAATGACCATTCTTCAGAAGGTCTGCAACACCACGTCGGATGAACCAGAAATTCACGATACTGAAGGAAAGAAGGTGCGGATGATGATCTATGCCATGCGCGCGTCTTAGACCGATGCTGCTGCCGTGAAATCCTCGATCAAGGTGTGTACACCATTTGCTCTGGGGCATACATGTACTGACGGACGCTCAGCATGGAAATCACAAATGAGATGGTGTTCATAAGCAATCCTGATTTCGGTTTTCACGACCCGTGCGATTTCGAAGCGGGCTCTGAAACGAATTCGAGAGCATGAAGAAATTTGTCTCAGGACGCGTACACACGACGAAATTGGAGGGGCGAATTCATGCTATCTGGCAAATAACTCCCTCCTGATGTTCCGCGCTTGTTGGTTGCCGTCAAGTATTGTCTTCCAATGGACAACCCGAGTCAAACATTCCGGTGAGCCTGCAACTCCATTGTCACTTGCCGTGCTGGACTAAATGAACAATCTTTAGTTCCCGTGGTTGTGGTGTTCACCAACTTCAAAGCTTGGCATCCAGTTGCGTATGGAGAAATCAAGAAGCAACTGAAAGGGTATCGGGAGAAGACGCTCGAAGAGGATTGTCCAGCGCTTCGAAGAACAATTCACGAACACAGGTGTCTTGAATGAGTTGTGTGAGCCTGAAAACCGTCTCAGTCCTAAGTCCCACATACACTTGGAGAATCGGTAGTCAGGTTGACTTGTCCCATGTCGAAGTTATTAGTAACCGTCCGTCCTAGTCTTGGGTCAGGACAGATAGCGATGCCGCTGAAAACCACACGGATGAATTTTTTTGTACGTTGACAGCCTACAGGCATGGTAGGTGTCTCAGCGCTTGAGGCTGTGTGGTCACTGGTCCGCTTTCAATATGTGGATTCATAGCAACATCCGGTAGGGTCAAAACAGGTACTGGTGCAGTGAGTCACTGCTTGTAGGTGACCAAAGACCAGATGACCATGGCTTCGTGAGCATGTCACTGGATTTATATAGCCCAATCAGCACGACGCCAATGCGAGAACGGTGACAACCAGCCACTAGTGGACTTGCTGGATTCGCTAAAGCATGTCTACATACTTACCAAAGGATTGAGAACGATATGATCATGTACACCGACCGAACAAGTTGAGCCTAGTAAGGACTCGAACCCAGACAATATTATGTAAGTAGTACCGTACAATCGTTTAGTCTGTGACAGACTTGTGATCGCCGCTGAAGCGCTAACGCCCCAGTTTCCGACTCCGCCAGGTCTATCATTCTTAATTTCAACACTTTTGTCAAGACCTGTCCCAGCTGCTATCTTGACAGTTTAAGTTTATCGCGCGTCTCGTCCTGCGCGCTGAAAAAAAAGACTGGTGAAATTGAGTTGGGTGAGAGTTAAGGATATGTGTGCAGTACATTGCAAGGGACGGTAGGCTTGACTCTTTGAGATCTCAATGATGACCATCCTGACATGTGCACTTTCAGTATTGCTGCACTGCAGTGCGATAAAAAACATTATACTACGGCCCCAACTTTGGATGTCTTTGATATAGTTAGTTGTGCTCAAGCCACCGCTTTGGGCTGGCTTGGGCTCACAGCCTATGCTTGGAATCCGGTAAGCCTGAGCTCCTTTAAAGTTAGGTCCAGGGAAGGGCTTTCAGGCCAAGCCAGGCCCGACCATGATGCTGATCACTAATTGTAATGCGATGTAAATTAACGTTGCAACAACTGCTCGGAGTCATACTGCACCAGAGGCTATGGTCGTAAGTGAAATATATTTAATTTGCGCATATAATACGCTGGCCTTCCTGTCTTTGCCTCCTATCATTATAGCAGATTCTTCCGAACTGATGGAAGAAAATCCGCATCCTTCTGGCCTTGCATCGAACACACATTCGGGTCACCAGGAATTTGACCGGATGATATCCAATGCAAAGTCCACTGTTGATACTACCGCCGATTTCCACTACCACGGTCTGACAAATCGCAGATATGCCCTTGTTGGAGTGGCATGTTCAAGTATTCTTAGCTGCTTATTCATCATTGCAGGTGTTATCACTTTCGCCAATCACACTATCCTAGGAGTAACCAGGCTGTTGAGCCTGGTCGATATTGATCAGGCTGCTCAATTTCAGGGGGTATTGATCCTGATACTTGACTTAATCGTCATGTTATGTACCGAGTCCATAGGATTCGTACACAGCGTCTCATTGCGCTCTGCGCTAGCCTCAGAGTCTCGGCTTCGTTTCAACACCAACCTGCGCCTTCTCACCGCAGCTCGTAGATGGTACAACCCCAACGGCGCGCTACTTAACGGCATCTCGGCTGTCCTCCTCATTATATCCTACAGTTCGGCCTCATCCATCGTATGTCTGGACCAAAATGACTCGGAGACATCCCAAGCAGTTGGTGTTGCCATCGCAGGGATACCTCTCCTCATTTTGGGTGTCGCACTCCTCCTCCAAGTGATGATCGCATTGTCAGGGATGCGGGCTGTCAAAATCTTGACGTGGAGCTCCTCACCTTTCGACTTGACCGCCGCACTAGTCCACCACGCACAATTGACCCCCACTCCTTTCCGGTGCATGCGTCGTGTGTCTGACCTAGACACGTGTGGAGGTCCGGCGAAGCCACAAGAGACACAGCCCTCCGCGTGGCATGCTCACCCTAGCATCCGGAAAGTTATCATTTTTCTTTGGATCATCGTTGCAGCATGCGCTGGATGGGCCACGCTCGTCACGTGCGTCTGGGACCACTTGGCCACCTATCCGCTGACCCTACAAACGTGGTCGTTCTTCCGGAGCGCGCAGTCCAATGCCATCTGGTATTGGATGCCAGGTTCCGATCTTGATGTGGGGATTCTGCTCTATCTCAACATTATATTTCTCCAGGGACCGTTGACGCTTGGGCTACATTGCGCGGAGCTCATCGCGAATGTCATCCGAGATGAAAGACAGTGGAGATACGCTACCAGAAGGAAAGGACTTGGAGTGTCGACGAACCCGCTGGTATCGATTCTTAATCATCCGATCTGTCTCGTACTTTTCATCACGAAGCCTTTTCTGCGTGAGTCATTCACGCCTAGTATTTTTTTGTCAGTGTTATTGAACACTATCCTTGACGATCACAGACTGGATGTTTGGGCTTTCATTCAGCATATATGTGGACACCTATAAAGAGACCCTATACGATATTCCGATAAACATGTACCCTGCTCAAGTTCGCACTTCCTGCTCATGTAAATTAGTTACAACATTCTCACACATATTTGCAGATCTGGAACTTATGCATTGCGCTCTTTATATTTGCCTGTTTCTTCACTTTCGTCGCACTACGCCGACCGTCCGGTCCCCAGCCAGCTGCATACGGCCACCTCCAGACGCTCGCCGACCTTGTGGACGAGTGGTCGCCTGTGATGTGGTGGGGACACAAGGAGGATGGAATTCCGTACTGTCATGCTGGTAGGTACTTGCATACTCATGATGATGATGCATTGACACTTTTGAAAAGGGACAAGCGATCACCCACTGCCGGATGTGAAGATGGACTGTGTTTATGCTGGTTCCGGTACTGGGTCACTGGTACCCCTCTCGTGAGAGGTACTTTCTTTGCTTTTAAAAGGAATTTGTTGCAATGATTGATAGGGGCGGGAGGGACGTTTTGACTGGAACGGACTTGGAATGTGGGAACCGACAATTTCAGTATCATATGTATGTGAGAGGTGCAATCGTCGTGGGTTGCGCTCATCTAAATAGATACCCATAGTTACTCTAGATCTTTAGATGACTCGGTTTTGAACATTTTTTTGTTTTCGATGTTTAAACGGAGAGATACGTCAGTCCGATGCATTCACACAACCAGCTATGCCGTTGAACGAGACATACGATGTGTTGGGTTATGATATATGAATAGTGAGACTGTTCCTGCATCATAAGCTGGGATAAAATATTTCATAGATGTCCAAGCTAGGTGGAGGTTTGAAACCTGCAGACAAAAATACCACAACGTATCCTCGACCAAATTTCTCCTCCCTGCAGAATACTTATTATTCGGCAGGCATTTCCCTACATGATGCAGTGCTAGTTGGTACATGTACATGCTCCTGAAAGACAATCGATTTCATGCTGGCTTCTGCGTCGGAGTCCACCACGAGTTTGGCGTGATATTCTCGAACGCTAAGAATGAGGCTTGTGAACCTAGAGGTCAAAGTTTATTAACAGCCTGTAGCAAAGGACTCGACATAAAAGAAGTAAATGATCCACGAGCCAAGTTTCTGATACATTTTCCCATGCTATGCGCTCGTGTGATGTGCGACATCTAGCACGCCAGTTTCAACTCCTGAGCGGTGCAGTCTGATGTTTCCTTGTTTCCAATGCTCTTCCCCATGCTATGGTGGCACCCCAGCTTCAACTGCTGAGCGCTGCAAACTGTATCAGGTTTCAACACCCGTTTTTCGGATCTCATCATGTCGCGCTCTGTTTTGTGCTGTGTAGATTTAGGCTCGCAGTCAAATGATTGATGTCCATTCTTGTTTTCCATCATGAGAATTCGAGGACTGGCTCGGTATCCTTCAATGCTGAAGCGGACAGGCATGACAGCATCGTCGATGATTGTCGAGACAGCATGCAGCCTGGGGGAGTAAGTCATGTATATGAAAGTCTGGGAGACCGTGGTACATTTGTAACAGACAAACCATGCAGGAGCCAATCACAGCATTGGATCATTGTCTTGTAATTAAACATCACTTTATTGTCTTAACGAAGATATCGGACAGAAAACCAAGATGACAGGAAATGATGCGGATGCTATCAAGTCATTGACAGCAACGTGAAGCGTATGTATGCTGTGGACATGACAAGGCAGCACCTGAATAAGTTGAAGTCAGATGGGAAGAGCAGACAATAGAGGCTAGATACAAGCAATCGCGAAGATGAGAAGCATTTTCATAACGAGGGACGCGTCATCGAGTGAACTACGTCTGCTCTGCTTGGTTCCTTTCAGGTCCATTCTTCCGTACGGTGAGGGTGTTCCAGAATCCACATCTTTGTTTGCGACCGCAAAAAGACGTGTTTAGGTGTGGGCCATTGGGTCAGGACAGATAGCGATGTCGCTGAAAACCACACGGATGAATTTTCTGTACGTTGACACTGGGCATGGTAGGTGTCTCAGCACTTGAGGCTGTGTGGTCACTGGTCCGCTTTCAGTATGTGGATTCATAGCAACACCCGGTAGAGTGAAAACAAGTACTTGGTGCCGCAGTCACTGTTTGTAGGTGACCAAAGACCAGATGACTTCGTGAGCATGTCACTAGATTTACATAGCCCAATCAGCACGGCGCCAATGCGAGAACGGTAGCCAGCCACTAGTGGACTTGCTGGATCCACTAAAGCATGTCCACATACTTACCAAGGGATTGAGAACGATATGTGTAGCGTTGAGAGCGTTCAGGCAGATGTTCGACGGAGCTAGATGAATATTATTATCTCAGTCTCGAGGTAAAGGACTCTCGTATGTACCTAGATGAATATTATTCTAAACGGACTTGTTAGCTCGTAACGTAAACGATGGTATAGGTACTCACATCTCAGTCTCGAGGTAAAGGACTGAGATGTTTCGACGTTGGTACTGGGGATTTTATCGTACGGGTAGAGTAGGAAAGAAAACATTACTTTGAAATAGTGTTGTTGGCAAAACAGCCGAGTTTTGCCAACTGGTTGTGCCAGACCGGTTGTGCCCGGTGATCGGCAAAACTCATGCAAAATGGGGGTGGCACAACTTGGCAAAACTCGCAGAGATGTAACTTAAATCTGATAAATATACCTTGAAATTCAATAGAATATCGTCCCTAAAGCAAGATGTTCCATGGTGGAGGATACCCACTTGCATCATTGATGAATTTCGAGCGCCTAGAACTCAAGGTTAGACTTGGCATTCAAGTTGCAAAGTGCTGAAATGATTGGGATATAATGATAGCGAAAACACTTTCTGATAACCTGCAGCCCTACATGAAATTCACATACTCAAGGCCTTTAGTCATCAGTAAATTCACACATTTCTTGGCAGACCTTTTTTCGAAAATTAAAACTTATTTTTAACTTATTGACACTTATTCACCTTTATTCACTTGGCTGTTTGTTTTCACAAGTCAAAAAAGGAAGTGTATGACACACAAGTGCCGAAAAGTAGCATAAGATCAAAAAAGTCAGTTCAAGTATTCGAAACAGAAATAAGTACAGCAAGTAAATAAGTAGTTCAACTTGGTATGTAACCCGCGGCAGGTAGTAACTCGTGACCCATGTATTCATGTACTAGACATATGGGTGTAGGTACAATGTATATCAGTAGTAGCAACACAATAACGAGATCGACAGACTCACGAACTGTGAACAGCAGGAAATGACTTGGATCAGTGTGGCTTGAGCTCGAAGGGGGATCGACAGACTCATGAACTGCAAACGGCAGGAAACGACTTGGATCAGCATGGGTCTTGCTCGAAGGGGGATCGACAGACTCACGAACTGTGAACAGCAGGAAACGACTTAGATCAGCATGGGTCTTGCTCAAACGAGGATCGACACACTCACTTCCTGCGAGCGGTGGCAACGACTTGGATCAGCGTGGCTCGAACTCGAACAAGGAGGGTGCTGGAGGGCGCCAGGTATGGGTGCTGGAGGGTGCAGTTGGGCATGGTTGGATTGGGAGGATGCGAGAGATGTGCCGGGGGGTGTGTGGAGGGCTGCAGTTAGCAAAAATTGAAAGAACAATTGATAGATGCACGTACAGTACCCAAACCCAAACTATACAAACCGATTCCTTCAATCTGCATGAAGCTAAAGTCAGTATGACAAAGATGGGCGCATGCAGTTTCAGGATTTGTCAAAAATGAGCGCTGTGAACCATCACGCTGTAGAGACTCATGCCTCTCATTGTGCAATATGGCAGTTTTCACTGGGGAGTACATGGCACGAACTTGTAGCATCACTCTGTGTGCTACCTGCAGCTATCTCTATATGAGGCGCAGCTTTCCCGCGCAACGCGCGCCATGCGCGCGTACCTTTCCCGCGCTTCACGATGTATATGCGCGCGCGCTTTCCCGCGCTTGAGCGCCCTATAGCGCCAGCCATCCGGAAGCATCCATCCACTGTCCACCAAGTTCCCTAGTGCGTATATTTCCATTTCTCACATTTGCTTATCGTTCCATCTTTATTTTTATCATGGACCCTTACTTACATATATCTTTACATACCTTACTCGGTAGCGCTTCGGCTCCGCATGACAGCGCTTAGGCGCCATACTTAAGCGCCAGCAGTACATACTATGACAAAAACGGACTTACTCTCCCACCAGAATGACAGAGGACTTACTGGTTACTACCCACTATTCACCTAGCAGAACATAGTAGAAATCTATTTGTTTACACCTCGCATCTCTCTTCTCTTGTCTTACATCATATCATCACTTAAGCAAACTCACTCTTACTCTCTCTCTTGTTTCTGCATACACGCGCGCGCATTCCCGCGCTTCGCGCATTCTCGCGCTTCGCATTGGCCAACCAGTAGCGCTTTCAGCGCATACCTCTAGATCCTTGCTGCACTCGCTTCCCCTTTAGGGTCGAACGCACTTGTTGTCTCAAGTATAGCAGACTAGGCAACGCGCGACCTTACAACATTTATAGATACAGTCAGGAGCATTGTTTGTGCCTCGCTGTATCGTTGAACCTTCAACGCGTCACGTGTCATATTTGAACCACGTCAGTTTTTCACACGAAGTTCACTCTCAACGTTAACGTTCAACCTTGTCTGACTCTCAATCTAACTTCCATGCATCATCTCACATACCTCCATACCTCAGTGTCTGAAACTTCACTCTCATGGTCTCGCACCCTTTCGCACACCTCCCAGTAAGTTTTTTTATTTGTTTTTTTTTCCATTTTACTAAAAATGTCTGTGTCTGAAACTTCGCCCGTCCTTTCGCATGGCCTCCAAGTAAGTTTTTATTTATTTGTTGTATTTTCTTTTACTAATAATGTCTGCTTGCCTCAGCATCTGAAACTTCGCCCGTCCTTTCATGTACCTCCAAGTAAGTTTTTTTTCATTTTTTTAAATTTCCCTTGACTAATAATGTCCGCTTGCCTCAGTGTCCAAACTTCGCCTGTCCTTTCGCATACCTCCAAGTAAGTTTTTTTCATTTGTTTTACTTCCTTTTATTAATAGCATCTGCTTCATTGCAGTCTGCCGCTTGCCTCATGTGCCGTCTGCCTTGTATGCCGCCTTTCATTCCTCGCATCCCGCCTTTCACCCTCTTCAAAATTTGCTGCTGCTGGCTCCCCATTCTTTGAGTTTGTTTCTGCATCTAGTCGCCACTGCCACAAGTAGTTGTATTGTTTCCCCACTAGTACTTAGTAGTCCTATCATGTAATTATCCTTGAATGCAATATTTTGTCATTTTTGTCGAAACAAGTGTGAAATAAGTAGCCCCAACTTGCACTACTTGCAATGTGGGCTATTTTACAAATAAGTGCCAAAAAAGCCAACAAAAAGTTTGAAAAAGTCGAAGTCAAGAGGAGGCATCTACTTTTTCGACTTAAATTGCCTTGTGGCAAGTTGATGGCAAGTTGGTGTCACCGTTCTTATGAATGACTTTTCCGCTCCTTTTTTGGAATTACCCGGCAGCAAGTTGCAAAAAAGGAAGTTCAAGCAATGTGTGAATTTACTGATGTACTGTGATGATTCTCTCGATTCCATGTCTATTAGAAACTCATCTTTTCACTAGTATAAAGTT